CTTCCGGATGGCCGACTCAGCGAGACGGGACAGACCGAAACGGGAACCCCAATTGGTAGTCTGGCGAATGGCGACGGCGTTGACACCACGATTGATACCGCGGATACCCTCCTTACGGTAGATATCCATGAAGGTCGCAAAGGTGCCGGGAGGCTTAACACCGGTGGCGGCCAACTTGTGCTTGGTAATCTCGACCGTCTTCATACAGGTACAGAAGCCCATGGTAGCGTAGGCCTGAGCGACACCGCCGGCCATACCACCGCTGATACCGGAGACGAAGTCATTGGCACCGAAGGAGCGGGCGTAGTATTCGGCTTCGGAGGCGACGAAGAGGAGAACCGCACCCTTGGTGGATGCCTCAATCCAGGCCCACGGAATGAGTCCCTGGTAGTCTAAACATCCGATCTCGCAATTAGTTCGAGTTCATGATATCTGGCGGGTCCACCCGTCTAACCCCCACGCGCTAGCTGGAGAGGTCGGGGGAAATTGGAAGCGGGTATTGAATAGATTTGAAAGCGGGTATTGAATGGACACTTACAACCGAAAATGCCGCCACGGCCCCAAATCCGACCCATAGCGCCCGCGAAGCTGTCGCCCCGGTTTGCGGCCATGGTTGTCTTGATCACCTCCAGCGGCTTAGGGATGGTTAGCATTGTTTACTAGATTCGAAAAGTCGGCCGTACCTGTCCCAATGATGTAACCTCGAACAAGTTCAATCCTGCGCCCAGCAACAAGTTACTGAACTTGACGGGCTTCTTCTCGAGGGGGCCGAGGCCTTGGACGTAGTTGTAGACATTCTGGGATGAGGGATGCGCTGAAAGGGGCCCTGACCAAGGGATATAGGGGGGCTTCGTGCGTGTTAAAAGAAGAAGGGAAGGAGTAAAAAAAAAAGCCAAAGAGGATAGATTGCAAGTGTGTAAGTAGAATGGAAGGGAGAGAAAGGAGAAGGTAGTCTTATAGGGTCGGGGAAATCAGAGTAAGCTGGGGGACAACTAGTACTTGGTACATCTGATCTCCAGAGTTTCCACTCATACCATTGGGTACTCGGTACCTCCCATACCAGCTTCGGAAGGAATCCACCAATTCCTTCACCAAACATCTATATTTTATTGATATTTTTTTTTTATTAATAGTACTCCATAAGAATAGATTTGTTTACTTTCTATATTCAATTTCTACTTCTATCTAACAATTGATGTATATATACTCCGTATATATACCTCTCATGTCCTTAACGTATTGAGTTAACATGTGGGGGACAATCGTTGAGTGTTCCCAACAATATCCCGCATGTGATCGATTCAACACAGGTAGCTGTCAGACCGTGCAGATTCTCTACGCCGTACGTTAAGTCCCCATTGACTTTTTTGGGAGGGGAACGGATTCTGACCGATACGATCTATACATGACGGAATATATCGCCGATTCTGAGAAATGATTTGACATGGAAGTTCTGTTACAAGGCCCGCTCGAACCGATCAAGTCCCTATCATACATGAAAATAACCAAAGACTCTCTCGGTCAAACAAAGGGAGATAATACAAATGTCTAACGCGGGTTTTAAACGGGCCCCAAGGGTGATATTAAAAAACAAAATGGAAAAGAAGTCATGCGCTTAAAGCTTAGCACCGACCAACTTAGCGTAGGCCTCGGTGCTGAAAGACTTGGGGCGCTCAATGGGCATACCAAGAGCACGATCGATGATCAGCTGGGGAAGGACACCAATGGCACGGGACACACCGAACAGGACGGTGTAGTAGTTAGCCTCGGTCAAACCGTAGTACTGAAGGAGAACTCCAGAGTGGGCATCGACGTTGGGGTAGGGGTTCTTGGTCTTGCCGTGCTCGGTCAGAACACCGGGGGCGATCTTGTAGACCTGGCTGACCAGCTTGAACAGAGGGTCATCGGGAAGCTTGCGGAGAGCAAACTCGCGCTGGGAGACGTAGCGGGGATCAGTCTTACGCAGAACGGCGTGGCCGTAACCGGGGACGACCTGGCCGTTGTTAAGGGTGGCCCAGAGGTAATCCTTGATGGACTGGTCACTGATGTCGTTGCCGACGGACTCCTTCATCTTGGTGATCCAGTTCAGGACCTCCTGGTTAGCGAGACCGTGAAGGGGACCGGCAAGACCCTGGAGACCAGCGGACAGAGAGAGCATGGGGGAGCTCAGAGCACTGCCAACCAAGTGAGTGGTGTGGGCACTGACGTTACCACCCTCGTGGTCCGAGTGAATGGTCAGGTACAGACGCATCAGCTCAACAAAGTCCTTGTTGCCGCCGAAGCCAAGCTGGTTGGCCAAGTTGAAGGAGTAATCCTTGTCCTTCTGGACAGGGGCGACCTTGCCATCTTTGAAGACGTTGCGGTAGATGCGAGAAGCAATGGTGGGCAGCTTGGCGATGAGGTCCATGGAGTCCTCGAAGGTGTAGGTCCAGTACTCCTTCTTGTTGACACCCTTGGCGTAGGCCTTGGCGAAGGCAGACTCGTGCTCGAGGGCGGTCACGGCCAGAGAGAACTGAGCCATGGGGTGGAGGGTGTTGGGGCAACGATCGATGAGCTCCTCAACGAACTTGGGGACATCGGAGCGGGCAGCCCACTCAGCAGAGAGGTTACGGACCTGCTGCTCGGAGGGGATCTCGCCGGTCAACAGAAGCCAGAAGAGACCCTCAGGAAGGGGCTCTTCACCACCAGGAGCCTTGGGCAGGAGCTTTTGGCACTCGGGGATCTAGAAATAAATAGTGAGCAAACATCAAAATGGTGTCCGAATCGATCAAGACCTACAGTGTAGCCACGGAAACGGATACCCTCCTCAGAGTCAAGGACGGAACCCTATGAAGAAAAAAAAAAGAGGTTAGCGCCATCATTTGCCAGGGGTGGAATTTCTCATCTTACCTCCCAAACGAGGGACTTGATGCCACGGGCACCACCGTAAGCCTGGTCGAGGGTAACCTCACCGATGACCTTGTTGCCATACTCCCTATAACAATTGAATATTATGATCAGTTATTTGATTTTCAATAAGAAGGGCGCGTCACATACTTGCGGAGCTTCTTGACCTTCTCGATCTCGGCGGGCAAGTTGTCGGCAAAGGTGTCCTTGAGGGACTAGACATTTGAACTGGCTTAGCATTTCACTTGAAATTTAGTTGGAAACCCGAATAGACACCATACCTTAACCTTAGCGGAAGAGTAGCAGCGCACGCCATTGAAGGCAGCGGACTGCACCGGCTTCGCGATGGAAGACCGGAGAGCGGTAGAACCGATTCTGAGGGAAGAAGCCATGTCGAATCAGACAGGATATATGATATGGGGGATATGGAGGAGATGGAGAAGTGGTCACAAAGCCTGGGGGAAAAGAAGAAGGAAAGGAAAGAAATCGGGGAGAAGCTCTTTTGCGCCTGGAATTTTCTCGGTTTTTTCCCATTTGGCCGTATTACACCCGGTACCGTTGTTACGGTAACTGGGGCTTTCGGCACCCCGTGGAAGCTCAGTCAGCCATAGCTTCCGTAATTTTTACGGTTCCCCCAACAAAAGAGCACGGGCTCGGGTTGACAGATTGTGATTGATTACGATGGAATTGAAGGATGTACATATCGGTTGTTCGTTCTCTATTTTGTATATAAATCGACATCTATTATATATGAGAAGTAGGATAGTGTGTTCATTTCGAGAAATTCGACATACGTAATCGAATTCTCATGTGGATATTTTGCCCCGGTTCCATTTCCAACTTTCGGTAAAGCAAATACAGGAGCGGCAGGCAGTGACGTCGGGAAGTCGCCATTTCTATCCGTGCCGCCATCCGTCCGATATGGCAAACCCTCGGAGCTTATCAGATGGATTTGGTATAGAAACGTCGATGTCATTGTTTGATCCACCATGTGCTAGTATCTCCCAGCTCCTAGGAGTATCGTCGTATGCATATGCTGGATGGCATTTCTAAAATGGTTCACCGAGGTAGGGAGCTGTCGGGCGGTATCAGAGGGCAGAAATGGAGTAAAAGGGATGGGATGTCCACGGGTCCCTCGGCTCAACGGTGTAAGTATAGGATCTTCTGCTTGGTGGTTTAACACTGAGATCTACCTTGTATACTGGAATCAAAAAGTCCTCCATTCACTCTCAATGTCATTTGAACAACGTTTGTTATCTTGATTGCGTCTTCATCCTTCTCGGCCGTATTACTGAATGGATAACATAAATTAAAGACTGTAAAAAAAACAAATATGATACCTTAGTCAAGGTCAAAGGTTAGAAAGCTTTGAATACAATATGGAGCCGAGGCATGATAGATACTATTTGACAATATCCTCACCTCGGCCTCTCTTTGAGGCTTTTGTGTGCCTTTGCATCGACTTGGTCAGATATAACGATCGAAATCATCCGGTTGCGGACAACAGCCAAAGACGCAAAGTCCCAATCAGCACGTGATCCATGATACGCCAAGGTCGCAGAGTCTGCTTTCTCCCCTTTGATGATCTTGCCATTCACCCTCATCTTCTCCCCCTCCCCTCAAAGTCAGCATCCTTTTTCCTTTCGATTTCATCAGTTTCTCGACTTCAGTTCATTCGCTGACTACGCTGAACTTCACTGGATCCTCTTGGACTCCGTAAACCCTGATCTGGTTTAATTTTTTCTCTGGGATCTCACTGCAAAAAAAAAGACGCTCTAGGCTGTACATCTCCCGTACTCCCCGTACTCTCGTACTCGGCGCCAGGCAGCCTTCATCAATATCGCTAGGCTGTATTCCAGCTGTAGGCGGCTATTCTCTGGTCGACAGTGAATGCGCTCGTGGAGTCTGTAGTGAAGAATCGCCGGGGACTCGATTAAACATATCTTTTTTTTTTTTTTTGCATACCGAGAGATTGTTCGTCGCGTTACAAAGCGCAGTAGCCGGGACTTCTCGATTGCTTCCTCCCATCTGCATAAAGCCTTGACTGGGAACTCCTTTCATTCTTCCTTTTGCGACTCCCCTTACAAGTGGACTTGACGGTAGTATTATCCGCCATGTCTTCCGCAGTAGCTGAACTGGAGAATCTTCTCCAATCCATGCTAGCTCTCAAGCCGCCTGGTGTCTCCGGCTCAAAGATTGGTGGCATCACAAACTTGTGCAATGCCAACGTGCAGGTACGCTTGTCCCCTTTGGTCGATTGATTCACCTCATTGGTCCCAACGTGATCGATGATATGCTAACCCTGCACACAGAATGAATCAGTTCTCATTCAGAAAATTTACACTCACTTCAAGAAGGCCCCGGGCTCCCACAAGCTGGGTGTGCTCTATGTGGTAGACTCAGTAACTCGACAGTGGGTAGAGGCCGCACGTAAGGCCGGACAGGTCCCTGGAGGCGATGCTCCCGATGGGACCTTCGCTGCTGGTGTCAAGCGTGTCACTGATCTTTTGCCTATCTTGATGACGGACATTATCAATAATGCCCCCCACGACCAAAAGGTACGCAATAGAACATACTTGTATCATGATAAACCTCAAGCCCCATCCTCGCAGCCTTGGCGATGGCCAAGCCCTGATTTGGGGCTTGTGCATTGCATATTGTATCCTTGCCCCGATGTACTTCGATCTGAAGATCATGCCTTGAACAGACCCTTTCGAACATGTAACTCACATATACCCTGTCACAATTTAGGACAAGATCAAGAAGTTGGTCGACATCTGGGAACGTGGTGCGACATTCCCAGCTCCGATGCTCAATTCGTTCAAAGAAAAACTCAATGCTCCTCAAAGTAAGTCCTCAAGGATGGCACTGCGTTTTGCCGATGCTCACAATTCATTAGATGTCGAATCAAACACCCCCGAAGGATCGCCTGCACCGAACGCCAACCCGATCGGAATCCCGCAACAGTCGGCACCTGATACCTCGAGCATCCTGAAAGCTTTGGCCGACATGGCAAAGCAGAACACTACCGCCCCTGCTGCCCCTTCGGCTCTTGCCCCGGCCAACCCTCTCGGTGCCTTCAACTCCGCCTCTGTGACCCCTGCCAACGACCCGAATTCGCAAATGGCCGCTGCCATGAATGCACTCGGCGCCGGTGGACCTGTCGCGTCTCCCTTCCCAGGTATGCCCGGCATGGCTCAGAACCCTTCTCTCCAGCCACAGAGCCAAAGCGGAACTCCAATCTCGATGGCCGCCGCGAACCCATTGACCGCGATGCTTCCTCAGGCCACGCAGCCTGCGGCACCTGATGCGAACGCCATGGCACAGCAGCTTCAACTTCTTCAGATGCTCGCTGCTCAGGGTATCCCCCAGGACCAGTGGGGAACTGCCCTGCAGCTCTTCAGCATGACGAACAACAATGGCATGGGTGCTATGCCCGGTATGTCTGCGATGCCTGGTATGCCTGCGATGCCAGGAGGCCCGATGGCTGGATTCAACCCGATGCAAGGACAGAACGTTGGTGGATGGGGTCACTCGGATGCCCAGAATAAGGATGATCGTGGCCGTGAATACCCTCGCTCGCCGCCCACTGGATATCGTCGTCGCTCTCGCTCTCCAGGCTGGGACAGACGCCGCACTGCTTCGCCCCCTCGCCGTCGCGATAGCCCTGTTTATGGAGAATATGGAGAATCCCCTGGTCGTCGCGGAGACCCACGTGATGCGCGTGGCCGTCGTGGTAATGAGTATCGTCAGCGTAGCCCCCCTGGTGGTCGGGCTGGTGGTAGACGTCGCTCGCCCTCGCCTGCTCGTAACAAGGATCCAAACCTGCCTCCCCCTGGACCTAAGTTTATTGAATGGGACTATTCGATTGGTCAGGGTATGATCAAGGTTTTGAGTCGAACTCTTTTCGTTGGTGGTGTCACCTCCTCGGAGGCTCACTTGCGTCAGCTGTTTGGCCAATTTGGAGTTGTTCAGACTTGCATTGTCAACGTGGACAAGCGCCACGCTTTTATCAAGATGGTTAGCCGCACCGACGCCATGCAGGCACGTGATGGAATGGAGTCTTACCGTACTGGCGAGATGCAACTTAGGGTAAGTCATGTCCTTCTTTTTTTTTTCCTTTTCCCTTGTGAGGCCCTCCGTGGGTTGTTGGAGCCTATCGCTGACTTTACACATGTAGACCCGTTGGGGTGTTGGATTCGGTCCCCGTGACTGCAGCGACTACCAGACTGGTGTTAGCATCATTCCGATTGAGCGACTGACTGAAGCTGATCGTAAGTGGATGATTTCTGCGGAGTACGGTGGGACTGGTGGACGTCCTATTGAATCTGGAATGATTGTTGAGGAGCCCGATATCGAAATCGGCGCAGGTGTTTCCTCCAAGGCTATCAGCCGTCGTATCGCCACTGACACTGGCGGCAAACGGGGCCCAATCTCCACTCGCACCAACCCCAACACTCAGGATACCCGTTTCGGCGGTCGTCGTCCGGAGCGTGATGGATATGGTGGTCCTCAGATGGGTGATGCTGACATGCCTAACATGAACCAGGGAGCCGCACCTGCAGTTCCTTCCTATGGTTTCAACTTTGCCAGTATGCCCATGCTGCCTCCCGGATTTATGATGGGTGGTCAGCCCGGTATGCCCGGTGCTCAGCCTCCTTCCGGTGGTCAGGGCAACTGATCTTTCTTCATTCCTCATTGATGTGTGCATATGGTCCAAATAGGATGCGCGCACCGCGCATGGCAAAGGCGTTAGGGGTGGATTGAACATTTTTCTTTATCTTGAGGCATACCGTTTGGCGGGCGGAGGTTTTTCGTTCTTTCTGTACTTCTCTTACTTTAATTTCCAAAGATGTGCAGGTCTCGCCTACGGTTGGACAAGGACACATTCGGGATGGACCGAAATTTTATGAGAAATTCAAATCATTAACATTACCTCATGCCTCCCTTGTGATTGTAAGATTTTTTTTTTTTTTTTTTTTCGTCTTCGCCGTGTGGCTGCCCCTATGGGACATCTGCGGAAACGCCTCACGTGTATTCATTTAGTAAAAAGTGTTCATTTATATCGTGGGTCATCACTAAATTTTACCATGCCGCTATGTAGTGTCCTTTCTGTATTCCACTGTTATGCACAGCATTTTACATGTGTCGGAATCTTCAAGCAGTACGGTCAGGTAGAGCCTTTGATGCCTGGAAGGACTGCTCAAAGTCAGCAATGATATCGTCAATGTACTCTGTGCCAACGGAAATGCGGATTGCATCTTCGGTCACACCGGAGTCACGACGCTCCTGCTCCGTGAGCTGTTCATGGGTGGTGGACCAAGGGTGGATGGCCAGAGTCTTGGAATCGCCGACACTACAGTGTGTTAGTCAAAGGTTTCAGAGAGCGAATGAGAATGAGTCATACTTGGCAAGGTTGGAGATCAACTTGAAGTTGTCAACGACCTGAGCACCAGCGGTAGCGCCGCCCTTGATGCCCACAGACAGAACACCACCAAAGCCGCGAGTCAGGTACTTCTTCGCGAGCTCGTGACTAGAGTGATCCTCTAGACCGGGGTATGAGACCCAGCTCACATTCTCATTCTTCTGCAACCACTTTGCCAGGGCGATGGCGTTGGTTGCATGTCGCTCGCAGCGCAGACTCAGAGTCTCCAGGCCGAGAATTAATTGCTGGGCAGCGAAGGGGTTCAGGGCAGAGCCAAGGTCACGCAGGATCTCAACGCGCACTCGGATAGCATATGCAAGCGAGCCGAAGGTTTCCCAGAACTTCAATCCATGGTAGCCCTCGGATGGCTCGACGAATTGGGGGAATCGGGCCGCGTTCTTTCCCCAGTCAAACTTTCCACTGTCAACCACGACTCCACCAATGGTGGTGCCATGGCCACCGATCCACTTGGTAGCACTATGCACAACAATATCGGCACCGTGGTCAATTGGGCGAACAAAGTAACCACCTGCACCGAAGGTGTTATCAACCTGGAAAAAAAGAATATGTAAGTTTTACATTCTCGCATGGCTTTGCTTTCCAAACAACCATACCACAACGGGAACACCCTTCTCATGTGCCACCTTGGCAATAGCCTCAAAATCGGGCACATTGTAGCGAGGGTTACCGATAGACTCAATATAGACAGCCTTGGTGCGGTCATCAATGGCAGCAGCAATATCCTCGGGCTTGTCACCCTGGACGAACTTGGTATTGATTCCCAGGCGTGGGAACGTAACCTTGAACTGGTTGTAGGTACCACCGTACAAGTTACTTGTAGCGACGATATTGTCACCGGCATGAGCGAGCGCCGAGATGGCCATGAATTGAGCTGCTTGACCGGAGGCGGCGGCAACAGCGGCAACACCACCTTCCAGAGCTGCAATGCGCTTCTCGAAGACGTCGACAGTCGGGTTCATGATTCGGCTGTAGATGTTACCGAACTCCTTGAGGCCGAACAGCCTTGCGCCGTGGGCCGAGTCATTGAAGACATAGGAGCTGGTCGCGTAAATTGGGACAGCTCGTGAGTTTGTGGTTGAATCAGGCTCATGACTTGATCTGTTAGATTTGGTTTTTCATTGAAGTTGAAGACTTACCCAGCATGAAGCTGCAGAGTATCAAAGTGAAGATTCTGAGACATGATTAATAGAGAAGATACTACGAATATTTTGGAGAAGAGAAAGGGAAAATAAATAGGGCGGGGGATATGGCGGGGTGCAGATTGCGTGATTTGGTCCACATGATATGTTCCTGCATGAACTGAGACCGTGCCCTAATTCAGAACGGGAATTGAGCTATAGAAGAGAATTGATCTATTGAACACCCTTCCATTTCACCTACTCCTTTGTAATGAGCTGATTCTATTCAATACTTTCGAGCTTCTCTTTTCATGTGTTGACCGTATCGGAGTTGCTCCATGAATTACTTGCACATTCTCTATTTCTCGTGTATAAAAGCGAAGTGACAGAATATCCCAAAGTAATCGAAAGAGAGCATAGAAAAAGCAGTACCAAGCCCCCATATCCATATCCAGCCAAACGCTCACAAACTGCAGGTTGGTTCCTGTTTGGCTTGGCAACTTGCCCATTCCATGATGACATCAATCACATCTTCAATCTGCTTTTTCGTATGATCAACATGTATCGAAATCCGCACCCGATCCAAGCCCTTTGGAACAATGGGATATCTCACCGGATTGGCCCAGAATTTAGATTGATGCATGTGTCCGGCCAGTTTAGTTGACTCATTGGGTCGGGTAACCAAGGGAATAATGGGCGCTCGATATAACTCAGAGTCCCAACTACCCTCATTGGGGATATGAATAATTCCTTCTTTTCGGATTGCCGCCCACTGAGGATGATTGAGGAAAGTTTTTTGAAAGTGCCGGATGTTTTCTTGGAGGGTTCGCCGGCGCTAATTCAATTAGCCCTCATCGGATGGATCTAGAAGAAAGAAAAAGAAAACAAAAACAAACCTGTTCTCCATCTTCACTGGCTAAGATTTCGTAGCCAGCTTTGACAGCAGCTAATGCAACAAAGCTGGGTGCTGTGGAGAAGATGATATTCCGCGCATAGTTGATGAGAGTGAATTTGATAGTCGGTTCAGCCAGTAGCACCGCTAAAGTAATTAGATCAAGACGGAAGCGAGAATGAGTAGGAACCATACCTCCATTGGACCCTAAAGCTTTGCCAAAGGTATGCACACGAAGGCCTATTTCCTTCTCGAGTCCATAATGGGAAATGAATCCGGCGCCATTCGGTCCTAGAAGGCCATTTGAATGTGCCTCATCCACCGAAAAAATATAATTTTTTCTGGCCAGAGTATTCTTGGCAATATCAAGAAGTTCATGAATTGGCACTTCATCCCCATCCATGCTATAGAATGACTCCAGGGCAACAAAAACCACGCGACTGCCATCCGCAATGCTAGGATTCTGGTCACGAAGGCTTTCCAAACAGTGACGAAAAGAAGCGCAGTCGTTATGTGCAAACTCGATAGTCTTAGCCCGTCCACTTTTCATTCCATCATGTATGCTTGCATGCACATACTGATCATACAAGACAAAGTCTCCAGGCTGCGTGATAGTTGACCAAAGTGCAACATTCGCATCAAATCCGGAGTTGAAAAACAAAGCTGACTCGGCGTTGTGGAACCGAGCCAGATAACTTTCAAGATCTTTCAAATATTGGGTGGTGCCTTCAAAAATGCGAGTCGAGGTACTGCCGAGAATGAAGTCTTGATTGTTCTGGAGTTGATCTAGAAAAGATCTGGTCAATGCTCCCGATGTCGATAGCGAAAGTGTATCATTTGACCCAAAGTCTACCATTTGGGCAACAGTCGAAGGATCAGGAGGATTGATCAATCTTTTATCCTGGTCACGCTTATCCAATGCAGCGTGAAGTCTCTGGGAGAGAATCTTCTTGCCTTCCATGATTGCTCTAGGTGGATTTTGATGCAGTATAGAGCAATGAAACCTTTTTGTTGTAGACTCAAAATATTGAACACCATGGAAGACTTTTGGGTCGTCATCATGCTACTGTTATATATCATGATGTTCAAAGATCCCAACAGGAGATCAATGTCTGCCTAGTACTAGGCATTATGCAAGAGGCGCCTATCTTGGAGACTTCCGGATGGACGAGGCCTATCAGGGCACAAAGTGAACCCGGAAATAACGTACCTTGCAAGAATTTTGTTATGCACCTCGAAAGAAGCAGGTGATATTGTTGCCCAATAGGCGTCTTTTCGTGTCCTTGTCATGTCCTTGTCATGTCACGATATTGCCTCAACCAACTTCATGACGTGATGCGTAGTACAACATACGTACAACATATATTGGGGAAATTGATATAGGGCCCCCTTGCCTGCACCTTCAGTGCCACCTTCCTAATTCATACTCAGGAGCAGTACCCAATTAGCCCCTAATCTTGCCAAGCGCCCAACGGTGTGTTGGCGCGGCCAGATGCAAGTTTATCATTATATTCATCCTTTGTATGAGTTGATACAAGTGATACTTCAGCTCTTTGTAGGTATGATCCAAAAATGTTCACCTCTCAAGCCAGATCAAGTGAGAGTGTAAATCAATGTATCATATGAGTATCGCCTAACAAATCTAACGCTAGGACTTCCAATATCTCACATAGAAGAAAAACGATTAAATTTTCTAAAAAAAAAAAAAAAACATGAGATATGAATTCATATGTACGTAGTATTGTTTGAGTAAAAAAGTTGCATCGTACAATATGACACACCACACAGGTTTTAGCGCTGTAGATTCTGTTGGTCAAATATGCACCAATTAGAAAGGTGATCACAACTACTCCGTAGGGGTAATCAATTCAGAAGACTGTACGGAGTACGGAGTACCCCGTAGAAAAAGGGGTTCTGCAGTCACTGACGCACTTCATGGCAAAAAAAAAGTCGCATCCGGAGAGCTTGATCCATGCCATGTATCGATTTGAAGTTGCTCGAGCGTGAGGAAGTTTAAGCGAAGTTGCACAAAAAGAAAGTACAAGTAGATTCTCGTTATATATAAAAACTAACCTCCAGTATCGAAAAATCATTATATCACCTGATACTCATCTATAATAATGGAGAAAATCATCTACGAAAATTCCCAGATAGCTCCAGACTCCACAGCCGTGGAGGACAAAACCTTGTCGCTGAGCTACTCCGAACTGCTTGCGGAAGCCGCTCATCTAGCTCGCACGCTTGGAGAGGTAGCCTCTGGTGAACTTATTGGCATTTTTCTTGGCCCTGGTATCTACCAGATTGTTGCACAGCTGGCTGTGCGCCTATATGATGGTACTTGAGTGCCCATTGAGCCATCACTTCCAAAGAGTCGCGTTATCATGCTTCTAGGTGGTATTACTGTGAGGCGTATATTCGTCGACCAAGAAAACACTGCACATTGGAATGATCTTGAAGTTATACACCTGCAGCCAATTTCACATCGGGTCATCCTTAATTTGGCACCAGAGATCTTGAAAACCAGTCAGAAATAAGCCATATTCTCTTCACTTCCGGGTCAACTGGAAAACCCAAGCCAGTCCAGATTCGTGCAGAGAGTATCTTGCACATGGCTACGAGGACTCCTGCAATAGCCTTGCAAACAACTGATAAGTTACTGAGCTCTACAATCCGGGATTTGATATCAATCATCCGAATAATGGGTCGCGTTGATCTCCGGGGCCACGATTGTGGTGATGCCTCGAAATACAGCTACCGATCCCGGCGTCTTTGGGGGTTTCTTGAAATCTCACAACTTGACTGTGATATTTTTGACTGCTGCATTGTTCCACATGTCCTCTGTGGGGGAAATTTGGCGAACGTGCGCGCTATGAAAAATGTCTTGGAGAATGGGCCACCGCAGAATCTTTGGAATATATACGGTCCAATTGAGTGTATGGCGTTGGTCACTTTGACTCGCGTCACATTGGAAGAGACATCTCGAGAAAGAATCAGCATCGGTAGTCCAATAGGCGAGACGGTACTCGTGCTATTGGACGAGAACCAGAACACCATTCGTGATAGCGGAAGACGAGGCGAGATCTATCTAGAAGGATCCCAGCAGTCCCTCGGATACTTGAACCGGCTTTATGAGACGAGCCAGTCCTTTGTTTATTTAGCGAGAAAGAGGATGGGCTTTCCAGGGGAGGGTGCTGTTCGTTTGTATCGAACAGGTGACATGGCTGAATGGTGTGACGCCACCTACCTTCTTGATTTTGCTGGACGCACTAATAATTAGGTAAAGCAAGCCGGATTTCACATGAACTTGGGCAAGATTGAATGTACTTTGCTTTTTCATAGAGGCGTTCAGTCCGTTGTGGTGGTCCGGCAGCCTCCGTTATCCTAGGATGGGATGCACTCACTCGTGGCTTTGATAACTAAGCCCTTGAATATGCTAAGGAGCATCTTCCGGCTAACATGGTCCCGATGCCATCGAAAGTATCACCGAGTTCTCACTCATGCCGAACCGAAAGGTGGACCGAAACGCGCTTGTTCGACGACGGCTTCACACTCTTCAACAAAAAGCAGCAGTGCACGCGCGTCAGCCTGGAGACAAAGAGCTCTTCGGAATTTGTGGAAAGATCTGCTCAACATCCCCGAGAACCGAAATGAAGACGATTTATTTGCTTCTGGGGGTAGTTTACTCCAGGCTGCAGCGCTCATTTTTCTTATTCAGAAGCGCCTTAGAACTCTTGTATCGATGCAGGACTTGCGCACAAATTCCACATTCGATAGAGTGCTGTAGCTAATTGACACCACCTATTCCAAACATAAAATTGCGCTGAATGACGCAAAGACATGGATGGAAGACGTCAAGCTCGTATATCATATCGAGCTCCTTCCTCAATGGGAAGCCGACACAGAAGGACGTTTTTTTGTCACTGGTGTGACTGGCTTTATGGGAGCTCACCTTTTACGTTTCGTGGGAAACCCTTCCGTGAAACAGATTGCGTGCCTAGCGCGTCCCAAAAATGGGTTCAGCGCGGCCACTCGGATCCAACAGACCATGGAGCGGTACGACCTATGGCCCAGCAAATTTGACCAGACCCAGAGGCTTTTGGTACTAGAGGGCAATTCAACAGGCCACAAACTTGGCTTGGAGAGTGAAATGTTTATCTGGCTTGCAAACTGGGCCTCGATAATCTTTCACCTCGGTGCAAATGTTAAATTCTGCGAGTCATACCGTGAGCACCATGTCAGCAATGTTGTAGGAAACATGCAATACGCTCCGGTTAGCTTCCACTGGTCGCCGCAAACCATTTCACTACATGTCTAGCATTGATGTATGGGGCCCCACTGGTTGTACTCTTGGTACTAAAGAGCTGTATGAGGATGAACCCTTGGAGCATCATGTTGAAGGTCTTCGGTATGATTTGGGCCACGCGCAAAGTCAATCGACAGCCGAAGCCATGGTACGCTGTATGAGAGGCAGGGGCTTACCTCTTACCATATACCGGCCGGGCTTTATCATCGCTGATAGCAAGACAGGGACGAACAATCGTGACGACCTTTTCTCCCGGCTTCTGGTGGGAAGTATTTAGCTCGGGACATTCCCAATAATCGAGTAGCGGCTGGAATATGTGACCGCTGACTATGTTCTCGATGCTCTCATACACATTGCATCCGATAACAAGAATATAGGCAGGTCCTATAGCTTGCTTTTTCCCGATGTACGACAGTCAGTGGATGTTGTGAGGACCTGCGCTGTGCTCAATGAGGCGGGATACGATGTCAAACCCATCGCTTATGAGGATTGGGTAGAGCAACTAAAAAAGCAGCCGGAAGACGGGCCCTTGATGTCCTTGGTGCCTATGTTTCAGGAGAGGGTGCTAAGTTGGCTGACTTGCTGGGTGGCAAGTCAAGACTCGCCTGTTTACTGTTGCGATAACACGGCAGAAGCGTTGAAGCACAATCCTGGCATCAGATTTGCTCCGTTCGATTCGGCGCTATTGAAGAAATCCATCGGCTTTTGGAACCGGAAAAGGGTTCTACCATATCTGTTACCAGCTAATCTTTTAAGCAAAAGAGTGTATTTCAGCGAGAATTTCAATTACGAAGGGGAGGAGAAGAAAGGAAAAGAGATTGGTGGGATCAGAGTATTTATAGGCCGAATCGGGTAACTAGAGTATACAAATAGTGTAAATATCTACCCTTCTCGCTTACCCTCCTAGTCGGATAACACCGGTATAATACTTTGGCAGAGCTCCAGATCGTCACACAATCAATGATTTTTTGAGCATGAGACTAAGGAGGAATATATATGACCATGACGCCATTATTATCGCACACGCGATGTCCTTGAAACGCATAGATATTAAGAAATTAAAATTTCAATATTCAAATAACCATAAGTTCAGTGTCTAATAAAAAGTAACACCTGTCAACCTCAAGAATCCACCAAGGCACCATCGCGACGCCGGCTCTTATAATCATCCAACACCCTAACAACATCCTCATTCAACTCCGGCGGTGCAAAAGTCAACGAATTCTTCTTTGTCAAGTCTCGATCAGCCTGCACCCGACCAGTAGAAAGCAAAAGCTTAACTGCCTCGACATGTCCCCCCACAGCAGCGTACATAAGTGGTGTACTACCATTCCTATCCATCCCATCCGGTTCGACCCCCTTTGCGAGCAGTAACCGCTTAATACTTGTCTCGCCTTGTTACGCTGCCCTTGCGAGTGCCGTAACTCCGTGTCTATCCGGAAAGCTCGGATCAACCTTGCCGCTGGAAAGAAGCGCCTCTACAATATCCATGCGCCCAGCAACAACGGCAGTTGAGAGAGACCGGTTTCCAAAACCAGGCTGTGGATTTGGATCCAGGAGAGGGATAGCAAGAAGATATTTCACAATCTCCACATATCCCTTCCACGTAGCGGCCAGGAGAGGGCCATTTCCGCTCTGGAGACTGGCGTCCGCATCCACGCCTTCAATTGCCAGGAGGCGTTTGACAATGCTTAGATGCCCATACTGGGCTGCTGCAACGAGTGATGTTTGGCCGAATTTATTTTTGGAACTTGCGTCTACCTTGCCCGTGCGAAGCAACTCCTCTACTATATCTCCTGCCCCCGCTGCTGCGGCAGCCACAAGGGGTGTTTCACCACGTTCGGTCCGGCAATCAGGCTGGATATCTTTTGTCGATAGTAACAATTTCACAATGGCGAGGTAATCGTCCTGCTTTGGATGCACGGCACCCGTTCTTAGCCTGGACAGACCCCACCCCGTAAGAGGAGCAGGCTCGCCGTACCCTGCTGCCCAGGTGAGAGGAGTTTGGAGATGTATGTCGGGCGCATTCGGGAGTATGTTTTCCGAGCTCAGAAAAATCGAAGAGACCTGTCTATGGCCGTTTCCGGCTGCCCATGAAAGGGGCGATCTGTGCTCCGCATCTTGGGTGTTAGGGTTGGCGCCTTCTTGCAGTAGACGGTTGCAAGGGTCTTGTTTGCCGTGTTTGGCGGCCCATATTAAGGCCGAGCTACCTTGATGAAGGATTTGGTGGCGGTAGAGAATCGGGTTAGAGATTGTGTACATGAGTTTAGACGCTTTGGCTAGCGAATTCACGTCTTGTGCAGATGGAAGGAGGTGGGTGGCGATGCATGAGAGTAGTTCGACTGGGAGATTTTGTAGATACATGTCTATGTTCAAGAAGTTGGAAGGTGGAACAAACTGGGCTGGATCGATAGAGGCAAATGAATTTATTTAGTCCCCTTTGGGGCTGTGGAGACCAGTTATCAGGGCTGGGGACTAATGACAAAAATCTGTGTGTTTACGAGAACGGTGGTATCAAATCCAGTATTGAAATCTCTACTCAATCAGTGAGTCGACTAGCTAGCATCAAATGCTATAAGTGTCTCACAATTCAGGACATAAATTCTGTCGAAATGCAACTTGAATTAATTACTGGGCCCTTCGCTTCCGTACTAACTTAAAACATAATTTGTCGAGTATATACTTGATAAAACCATTGAGGAATTTCTAACCCGATCGTTTCACTTTCCAAATATCAATAATGTTACTACTTCCCGAGAAATATTGTGGCCAGGACCAGATCGAAGAGTTATGACTGCAACAACATAATGTGAGAAAAACCAGTACGCAGGGGGAAGGACACGCCAGAGGCTTCGGGGCGTATGAGATATTTATGTATCCCCCGTGACGTACCCGGTAGTCAACTGGTGGTGTTTTTAGCATTCAGGCGAATAGGCTAGGGTGATAAATAGTGATAAAAAAGACAACAAAAAGACAAAACAAAAACATACAACAGTGGGGATTCGCTGGTGGTCACCCACCCAACTACTAACTCACCGGCGTGTGGCTTAAGTACGGCTGAGCGGACGGGAAGCCCTGTTTTCCACACCCTATGGTCGTATGTGCTTGATATTGCTTGAGAATAAAATATATACGGCCAAATATTGATCCAGAATCACTTAATATGGGTGTCCTCACTATGCTGTAGTCGTGCGATGTAGGTAGCATGATGGATAGAGTCAGCATCATCCTCCCTTACACCGACCATTCCAGCCGAAAAAATATACTATTATGGCCATATACCTGCCCCGGACGCATTCTCGTGCATTTTGAAGCTAAAATGTCTCCGTAACCAGTTGCTCTCATAGCTCCTTGGGCTTCTTCCTAGGATTTTGAAAAAAAAAAAAAAAAAAAAAAAAAAACGTCATTTCTTGTGAAAATAAGAAGAAGATCACATAGAATATGCCGAGTGTTCAACTCCGATGTTCCTCTCGAGTTCATGAATTATAGCAACCAACCTCAACTGTATAATATAACCTGATCGATCCCATCGGCTCAGCCGATGACTCGATCCCAGACGGCTAGGAATGCAATCGAAAAGGTGAAATGGGTACTTGAGCACTACCTATCGCTCTCTACCAGCCTGTGTACTTTATGTCGCCTTCTTTCCGCTCCATATAAGCTCCCGCCGCGGCAGTATGTTGACGTCGAAATTTTGACATCAAGGGGCTGAAGGACCAAGCTAACAATTCTAAAGATGATGAAATACATTTCAATTTCATGTCACCCACGCTGGTACGACTTGGTGGGAATGATAATGAGTGGCACGAAATCCACATTGTTCGCGATGGGCACGGCAAAAGGGTCTTTCGCGGTTGGGCTTAGACCTCCGCAAAGCTCACGAAGTCCGAAGCCCAACCCCCCGACCCACTAATGGGCTAGGTTTTAGGCCCGGGGTGAAAGTCTACTGGGCTTTGACTACGGGCCCAATGTGGCATAATAGGCACCGAAGAATACAATCATTCTAAAAAAACGTGACTTTTTCACTTTACGTTTAAACGCCATTTTTAGCTCTTATTGCGAGGTAATATGTTACCATTCTACTTGAGGAATCATCAGTCATTACTTAAATTGATAGTATGTTACTTTAATATAAGCAGATACTACCTGATTTGCCTGGGCAATTGGTGTTAAAATTATATAACAGAGGTTCACTTAGAAAGCGGTGGTACTCCCATCCAATTCCCGAATATGTATCCAGTACCAAGATATATATGAACATTTTTTCGAGTTTTACTAGTCAGATTCTATTTCAAAATGGAATGTACGTCTAGACAACAACTACATGTATATGATCTAAACTTACACTACATACAACCAGTAGTAGTGTCAGACGACAGCTATTATAACATGTTAGCTGAACCCGTTAAACTGGCTATGGTTGGGTTGAGCTTCGAAGATTAAGCCAATAGCCTACTGATGGTAGGGCACTGTGCCCAGAGCCTGGGACCATTTATGGGCTTTGCAGAGGTCCAATTGGGCCTATTCCGTCTCTGAATGGGGGCAGTACATAAACCAAGGAAATTGTTAAGATATACGTAGATCCAGAGGGGGACAAGGATCTGGATAATCCACATCTCATAGATGCGGATGCTGATGGCCCAAACAAAGAGACACCTAGTCTGATGGCCCTGTGTGACTATGTCACGACTTTGCTAGAGTGAAGTCACCGAGGAATGGACAACACAGTATCTCGATCAAATTGCCACCGACCCTGAAGCTTTCTCAGCCCGACCAAAATACCGCGATCCTTTTTCATATCCACAATTTACCGTCGCTGACATGCAATCGGGCGGACGAGTATGTTCTCATATAGATCCAATAACCCACTCACTGCCATCGTGGGATCTCATGCCGATACAGTGGACCTTGCACAGAATCCGTGCTTTGAGCGGCATCGCTGAGACAACTGAGCAAGGTAAAAGACCGGATTCAGACGATGAATTTGCTTTCGGGGTAAGGGTTGAAGAAGATATCGACCTTTCTGATGGCCGGTCTGGTGTCTCTGAATCGACAGAAACACATGACACGGAGTATTGATACTACCAGTCTCTACTGTCAATATCCCTTGGTTAACCTTGACAATCAGATATGTTTGTTTTAGTAGGAGTGATTATGCCTGAATTGACCACATTGCTTTTTTTTCCCCCTGGGAAGTATGTTGTAGATGGATGTAGAATGGGGTTATTGTTCATCATTCTTTTAGTATTTCTCAGAACTAGCATGATATAGGCCTTTTCACTGTAATGTCAAGCACATACGACCATAGGGTGTGGAAAACAGGGCTTCCCGTCCGCTCAGCCGTACTTAAGCCACACGCCGGTGAGTTAGTAGTTGGGTGGGTGACCACCAGCGAATCCTCACTGTTGTATGTTTTTGGGATCTTTTTTTTAAGATCCCATGAAGGCCTCCTTGGAGAATAACACAAGGGATGTGGCTGAACATCGAAACTAGTGAAAGGCGGCAAGCTAAGCTGGGGCGAAACAACAGAACATTATACGTACAGATGAACTACCTTTTGGAACAAGGTATTCCATCAGTTTAGTCCTATCCCAGTGAGGTTGCATACTGTTTGGAGGACAGCGTAAACGAGCTATGAGAAGAAATACAAAACGACCAGGCGCAAAATACAAGTTGAATGTTCATTGTAGTATCAAGTCGTGCTATCATGCACCGGGCGATTTATCTATCGGCGCCTCTTTGAGTGGCCCACCTCATCCAGATTTCTGTCCTCATGAGCAAAGGTAGGATTTGGTATAATAATGGTGGTTGGCGCGCAAACCCATCACTGGTGTTGCTGCCATTTTCCTCATTCATCGGAAACCAAAGCTCACCCACACATACGCAAACACTGCTGCTGGAAACGTCTTCAGATGGTATAAGCTCCTCGTTTTTTTTTAGTCGAGGCTCAAGGTACACATGGGTAGAAGCACCGGGCACCTGGCGAGAGATGCTAACCGAGCTAGGACCACAATGTAGAGAAAACTTGAAGGATACATCCTAAATCCTTTGACAAGCTTCTCCGAAAACCTTCTTATATGAGATTAGTGGGTGAGCCTCCCGGTATTATGTATGAAGGGAGCGCCGAATTATTGTTCGAGAAAGCACACTTTTACGATGGCCTCCAACCTTGGCTCTTGGGCCCAGACCGGTACAATGTCGAGTCATCTTCCATCTCAGTTGAGTCAGCCTCGGGCGTTCGGAGGCAGTCCACCAAATCTGGCCTACGGATGACTAGATTGGTGAAAGGCAAAAAAGTCAAAAGAAGAAATAATGCGATCCTTAAGGCAGAGGAGGGGAGGGGGGAGGGGGCGCAACTAGAGAAAAGCCAGTGCTTAATTATTAAACGAGCATACGCTTTTATCTGAAACTGTCCCAATGGTATGTAAAGAAAGGCGACTAATCAAGTTGAAGGGCATACATACTCTCATTGATTTACTCCGTACGCTAATCTGGCATGCTGTGTCTTCTAAAGTGGTGGTATCAGCAGATAGGTTGGCTATGGGTGCAATCCATTCATCTAGGTATCATCTGCAAACGTAGCAAGAGTAATTATATACGGCCAACATTAGCATCAGCCTTACTCTTATCTAAAGACGTTTTAGCGTAGGTTCATACATTGTTGCGACATGCGGTAGAAAGGTGTGGGTTTCCTAGATTGGTAAACGATTTGACAACCGGGCTCAATCTCTATAATCATGATACAAATCATCATCATACTCCGTTCTCTTACCTACCGGTTCTACATAGCTATTGGAGTTTAAACAGTATCCTTACAGAAATATGTATGTATTATTAGTACACTTATTTCTGGAGTGAATGTTTGGCAGAATACACGACACTCTGCCTTTTGTGGAGCAACATTGACCAATACAATATATCAAGAAAAAAAAGTTACAATTAGGATAAATGATCGCATGTTGTATTTTAGTTTATTAAACTCCATACATGATCCATATATGGGGTCATTAAAAAAAAGTGGACCTGCGCGGGATTGAACCACGAATCTCCGAGGAATGGCATGAAAACCCCCTTTAAGGATGTTTACATAAGCTCGGCGCCTTCACCATTGGGCCACAGGTCCTGTGTGGCAAACCCGTCAACGACTTCCTAAATCGTACAGTTCATTTCACCCTACACACTTCCCCCTAAATCTTAAGCCTATACCTTGGTATTAGCTTGAAAGATCCACCTGGTAGTATGTAATGGTAGGACTATCATCGTCGCTAATCAAGCAGTATCAGTTTCATAGGCAATGCGAAGGACACCCGTGGACTAGATATAGCACTAATTAAGAAATATTTTTTTTGGGGAAAAAAAACCAGATCGGTTCGTCGAGTGGATCACGTGTGGGGCTTGAGCCCTACCCTATTTACGGCAATTGCGGCAAGGCAGAATCCGCCTCGTGGAGCGAGCACCTTGTCTCACTTAGTTTGTTCACTTCCCTTGATGAGAATCAACCCTTTTCTTTCACTACGTACACCCCAAAATTAAAAATATACCCTTATCTGAGTCTTTGTCTACATCTTTAAATACTCGTTAGAGCAATGCTCTTTTGAACCAATAACTTGGGTTGAAAGCCAGGATATTTGGGGCCCGGTGAATGCAAAGATAAGCCAAGTCCTGGAAGGACTTGAGGTTCGAAGTGGAAAACTACATAGATTGGTGTAGATCTATCCAGGAACATCGCCCTGCCGCCGAGGAAGTGAAGCTGCACAAGCAATTTGAAGATCGATCAGATATGTTATAGTCATGATCAAAAGAGATGCGCCCAGCTACAATACCATCCCCCTACAACTCAGCTCTGGGCGATCTTTATAATGGTCTAAATCTATTTGCTGTTAACGAGAGCTGGGGGTGGTACCCAGAAATGCAATTCTCATGGCCTCCTTCAGTCAATTGGCATATTTCGAATTAACCACAACCTCTCCATCACAAAGATGCCTAATCACCACGCGCATCAATCTGCGTCCCAGAGATGTCCCCATTGAAAAACCTGACCGTGATTTCCCACAGCCCTAGGCCTGATTCTCGGGGCTTGAGAACGGCTCGTCCGTTTCCCCGGAATATAGTTGGAGTCGAAGGCATGGCATGGGCAGTGTATATGAGTTGAGGTCTTGATTCAAGTGAGTGAGTAGACCAGATAGTTTTGAATCGACCTTGTTTAAGTGGCATACCAAACCCCGGAAGTAGCCAGTTTCCTCGACTCAATAGTAACAAAAAGCCCGACAACTTTCGCCATCATCTGGTGGAGATAATACTGCAGATTTCCTTCCATTCCCGCGCTGTTACTGACATGCGGCCATAGCGATAGATCGGGCAACGCATAAGAAAAGGGAGGGGACCGTTGTTTGAATCTGAGTATTTGACTAATATTTTCATGTCTAGCCTCATTCTAGTTTTGTATGAAAAATAATCATCCGAAATAGACCCATTATCATGGATGTGCATGTCTCTTTCGAGTCTGGGGCTGAAACATACCTCGGCTTTGTCCGATATGTAGATCTCTCTGATCTACGGAGTACTTACTCCGTACTTCCACACGTAAGAAAAGGTCAGGTGAGACGCTCAGACCGGAATGTATGAAATTCCCCAACCGTACGCTATTTAGCCGATCAGACCGTGGCGTCCACGTTAGTCTATAAGCAGGATAGTTGAGAGATTTTTACATTTGCAATGTCACATCCCCGTGGGATTTTCTTTGAAGCCAATCAGTTCATTTCATTTCATTTTCTTCCTCGTCCGGGGCCCCGCATCTTTGATGAATCTCCCCAGAGTCACATCAATGGGTTCGTACATAGAGTGACTATATATATATTTCGTATATGCAATTTAAATCCGGCCTTCTTCCCCCAAAGGTTAACCGCAAACGCCACAATTCTTCTAGTCAGCCCATTTCCAGCCATATAGCGCCGCTGGCTAACCTTTTGTGGACTCAGCTAAGCTTCCAACGTCCTAGGCTTCTGGCTAAGTTCGGATAAATTGTCTACTGTAACCGTCGTGTTCATGGGAATGGGGAAAAACCCCGGCGGCACAGGGTTGCACCCCCTGCGTGCCTATCCGACCGCTACTGTCCTTGTTTGGACAGCTCTCGGATGACAGAATTAATCCACGTATCACGCGTGTATTGTACCCTGGAGACGCGCAGATGAAGTCAAATGATATAAGACCTCCAGTCCGTCTTTTCTTTTTCTTTTCTTTTTGTTCTTTTCTCCGAGCTTTGACTTTCACTCCATTCTTGACCTGGACATAAGAATCTTCAAAAATGTCGGGTATCGACACAAAAGATGACCTGCACGAGGAGAAGGCCGGTATTGAGCAATCCGAGGTCTTGGTCAATTCGGATCTCATGAACGATGCCTTCGATGGCGAGAACCGTGAACATGAGATGAGTACATGGGCGGCCATTAAAAGTCACCCTTGGGCTTGCTTATGGGCGTTCACCATGTGCTTCACTATTGTGAGTTGATATATTTCCCCGTTGATAAATCGACTAACTAATCAACCAAAAGGTCATGGAATCCTTCGACATGTTCCTGAATGGTAACTTTGTCGCACTTCCTGCTTTTCAAGTGCGGTATGGGGTTCAAATCGAGGGACACGAAGGTCATGTTATTCCAACCAAATGGCAGAGTTCCCTCTTCCAGGCTGGTCAATGTGGCGCTTTTGTCGGTGTTTTCCTGGCCGGCCCAGTCACCAACAGATATGGCTACCGTTTGACAACTATTTTTGCCCTGATCCTTATGAACGCTACTATTTTTGTTTCCTTCTTTGTAAGTTCACTCCCAATTGTTGAGACTCTCCTCTAACTCTCCTTAGGCCAACTCACTCGCCCTTCTTGTAGTCGGGCAGGCCCTGGAAGGTGTCCCTTGGGGATTCTTCATTGCAAACTCCCCCGCTTATGCTAGCGAGATTGTTCCTCTTTCCTTGAGAGGTGCCTGCACCGCTACTCTACAAATGAGTTGGTCTATCGGCTCAATCATTGTCGCCGGCGCGACCTACGGTTTCAATAAGCGTTCTGATGAGTGGTCCTGGCGTATACCTCTTGCCTTGCAGTGGATCTTCCCCGTGAGTGCTTTTTCCGTTAAAAAGAAGAAATCTTTCATTCAGAGACACTGACTGTTTCAAGACTCCTCTTTTGATTCTTCTCTTCTTCGCCCCCGAATCCCCTTGGTGGCTGATTCGCCGCGGACGTAAAGATGAGGCCCTTCGTTCCATCAAACGCCTTGGTAGCGAATCCGACGAGCAAGCGCAACAGTCACTTGCCATGATTGAGCGAACCGTGGAGATCGAAGCTCAGATGGGCGGTGCCCCTACTCTCCTCGACCTCCTGAAGGGAACCGATTTGAGACGGACAATCATCACCTGCTTGATCTATGCGTCGCAGAACTTCGCCGGTAACTTGATTGCCAACCAGGCAACTTACTTCTTCGAACGTGAGTAGCTTCCTCTCCCTCTGGCTGAGTTCTAAGCTGTAACGGATCAACTAACTCCCCACTCAGAGGCCGGCATGGGATCCGACCGTTCCTTCCAGCTCAATCTCATCAACTCGTGTCTTCAGTTGGTCGCTAACATAATCTCTCTACCTCTGGCATCCTCGTTCGGTCGCCGAACCATCTACCTCTGGGGAACCATCACCAACGTCACTCTACTCATGCTTCTCGGCGTCTGCGCCTCTATCAGCCAGAATAATGCGACAAATTATGCCCAGGCCGTTCTGGGAATCATCATCTCCTTCGTCTTTGCCGGTTCTCTTGGACCCATATCGTACACCATTATTGCCGAGACCTCCTCCGTCCGTCTTCGCGCTTTGAGCACCGGTGTCGGTCGTGCCGCCTACTATGTTGCCGAGATCCCCATGATCTACCTTGCCTCGCAGATGCTCAATCCTACCGGATGGAATCTCGCTGGAAAGTGTGGCTACGTCTGGGGAGGTACTGCCTGTGTCTGCTTCGTGTCGGCCTACTTCTTCCTTCCTGAGCTCAAGGGTCGCTCTTACCGTGAAAGCGATATCTTGTTCAATCGCAAGATTCCTGCTCGGAAGTTCAAGACGACCGTCATTGATGTTAGGGATAACGAGTAAGGCATGGCGATACGAAGAAATGAGATATGCTTTGTGACATTCTGTAGCGTGATAACTCAGAAATGTTTCTTTTTCTTTGGGAGACTATTCAACTCCCCGAGTACACGTTGCAAGCTTTCCACTCGGCACATGTATGTGACCAATACTGTCGCTGCTATACATAACCCCCTATTACGGAAGATACCAGCAAGTCTAGCCTAGGAAGACTTCATAATCTAAATTTTACACGCACTTAATGTTGAACCGCGGAAATAGGGAAAACACTCGTGATACTTAATTTAGTTTACAGCCTCGAACTCTCTCCGAAACCCCATCTTTAACATGTGAAAGCCAAAAAAAAAGACTACGAGCTAGATCCCTTTCTTTGTTTTCAAATATGTAGTACTCCGTGATGCGCTTCCATCTCCGAGCTAGATTTTTATTGAATCTGGTGGGGGTCTAGGGGGCTATCTTGCAGGTAAAAAGTGAATATAAGCGAACTCTTTCTGGGCGATACCTATAGTTTTGAGGGAAACATAGATTGGGTTAATTAAAGTAGGTTCCATTGCATATTTGCTATGCATCTCTAAAGTAGCTAATATATCAAGGTGAACAGTCACATTAATAGCACAGGAACCATAGGGGTACAGCGCAGGGTTACACGTGGGGTCTAGCGTGTCCTTTCAGGTAGCCCAGATGCCTGGCTCTCTTCTTAAGATACGAGGTCTGAGGTCTGAGCACTAAAATGGAAAAGAAAATCGAATTGGCAGAGGTCATCTGGTGAAAATAGCAGCAATAATAGGCCACCCGTAATTCAAACACCAACGCTATCAAATCACATTGTAAGAAAATTAGAATAAAAAAACCCCCCGTAAAGCATAGATCGTGGATCGTGAATCGAAGATCCATAGCATCATTTCGCGAAACATCCACTCGCAAATAGGGAATATCCTGTTTTCAATCTTCTACCGTTCCATAGATTGCATAACTATGGTAAGTAGAAGATCTGGTAATATTAAGGTAATAAAGTCTGATCATGCCGAAATCTTCGTCTCGGGCTTGGCAGCACCATTTAGATTCTTCTCGGATTGAGCAGTGGAAGTGGATGATGAGCTCTCCTTGGTGGGCTCGCCCGAGAGCTTGGCCTCAGCGGCGGCCAACTTGGCAGTGGTTGTGTCCAATGTCGTCTTCAGAGCCTTGATGTAATCAATAGCCATCTCCACAGCGGTGGCCTTGCTGATGGCTTGAGTGGCCTTTTCTTTCTCTTTTTCCTTCTCGTTGGCCTTGCCACTGGATTCTGCGGCTTCTTTGGCGTTGCGGGCGTCGATGAACTCCTGCGGAATGAGCAGCTCAATCTCTTTGAGAGCATTGTTGATTCGATTCCGGCGTCCCTGCTCTGCGAGCTTGTGATTCGTCCGCTTGGAGCTTAGATTCTCTGCCAAGGCCTCTGGATAGCTCACACCGGATGGTAGAGTGCCGTCGAGAATGTGTTGGTAGTTGGACTTTGATGCAAGGTAAAGCGCATCCTGTGACATGCCTGGAATATAGTTAGTATGATATCCATGGGAATCGATTCAGGCAAAGACTTACCCTCACTGCCTTTCATAAGTGGTTGGATGCTGGGACTAATCTTGGGTCGCAACTGTGGGCTGGCATGAGTGGAACTCAAACTGGGTCGTTTCCGATTAGACGCAGTCCTGGAATCTGATTTCCGAGGGACCGGTCCACTGGGAGATGGCATTGCAGCTGTGTGTGGACTGGGGGCAAGCGATGAACTAGGGGGTTTATCGTACGACGCAGACGAAGGATCCATGAAAGGTGTCCCATTGGTGGAGATCGACGGAGTCCGTATAGCGGTATCGATGCGGTTGGGTTTCGGACGCAGCTGTGAAGGAGCAGCCGCCTCTGGAAGAGATATATCTTCCATTATTTCATCTGGGAACCCTGGCTCTGCGAGCTGGGCTTGACCGCGGAACTGGCCTGATGGATCTTGCAAATGCTGATTCCGCTGGATGCGCATCAAAAGCGCAGGGGTGGCAGCAGTGCCGGGCGAAGAGGTTTGAACATGGGGAGCAATAGCAGGAGACATGCGAGGAGGGGGGAGAGCGGGAGGTGGCATCAATGGTTCTGATAATGGCTCGGGAGATACCGAGTCCTGCCCGGAGCCCTCATTACTGCTGAGCCGGAGTGAGCGAATATCCTGATTCTGTGGTTTTGTGGTGTTCAACTCCTGTGTAAGGCTGCTGTAGAACTCCTCCGAATTGGTAGCTAAAGTGCTGCGTTTGCGCTGCGCCCGAATAATGGGTGATTGCTTGACCTTCCGTCCATTATTGAGCCGAGTCGTGGTCGTCGATTGTCGGTGACGAGTGTTGGGCTTCCGAATGATGCTAGGAGAAGGCGGAGCCGAAGTTCCGGGAAGAGGGTTCACCTCCGCGGTAGTGGGAACGAAGCCCATATCCGATACCTGCCTTGCATGGTACTGGTAACTGCTAGATTCGGCATTTTGGGCCTCCAGGGCGGGAGAGGTAAGAGGTGTGAAGTATTCGCCAGGAATTGTATACTCAGGAAGTCGAAATTGGTTCTCCAGGGGTGTCATAGCCGGTGAAATAAGAGGAGTGTAGAGAGCCTTATTCGTTAGCCAACGTTCATCTAGGACTTGTGTCTGAACTAACCTGCTCCTCGTTGATGCGGGAGTAACCGTCGTACATATCCGGGGTTTCGTCCGCGCGCTGGGGGTATCGGGCAGTATTTCCATGCATCTCGACACTATTCGGAGTAGGAGGGATCATGCCGTGGTTCTGCGTATAATTTTGCTGCGCAGGCGGTTGTGACATGGGCGACGGTTGCGCGCAAAACCCTGGCGTCATATGGGGAGTCGAGTAAGGCATTGGTTGGGTATGGTGCGCGTGCGACTGTGTGTTCTCACTGAAATCCATGAGGCCCTCCATCTGGCCCGAGTACTGCACGGGATGCGATCGTAGGTGAGCCATATCCGACTCCGAGCCGGTGGTGGTCGGTAGGGAATGGGAATGCTGCATATTCCCTGGTCCGTGCTCGATTTCGGGAAAAGGTATGTTGAACTCGAACAAGTTAGAGAACTCCTCTTCGGGCGCATTGATGAGAGTATTCTCATTAAGCTGTTCCGGCCACGACATGGCTGGTTCCATTGTCTCGAAATATACTCAGTTAGGCCAGTCAGACCGAGAGGGAAGTAGGATGTGAAGTTGGGACATTCAAGAGAAGGTCGGAGAAAAGGAGAATCCGGGCATTGGGGGAAATCAAAAAGAGCCCTGGAAAGAGATGAAGTGGAGTTCAAGGCGGAGACGGTACTCCGTGGTCGGCATCGTCTTGCCACTGTGAGATAGGCTTTTGGTCTTATTTCTTATTCTGCGCTAGATGCGCGTGTGTTTATAGTGCTTATAGCCGACGTAAAGAAAAAAAAATAAAAAAGTACGAGCTTACGGAGTACTCCGTTAATTCTTTTAAGCCCACAGTGGAGATCCGGAGAAACTGAGAGACATCCGGAAATATCTATTAGTGATGCATATTGTATCCATTATATCAGGAAGAAGCAAGGAATACAGCTAGATCATTCATAAGGAGAGAGAGAGAGAGATACGTACATATATACATCTATATATATATATATATATATATAGGTATATATGCACATACCCGAATGAATATATAAGCAATTTGATGGAATATCAATCTATGTGGATACCTCAGGCAGAAATCAAGAGGGGTACAAGGTTATCACCTCGTGATGCTTACTTGAGCAATGACATCTCCAAGGCCTAAAACTTCCCCCTGGACTTTGTTAACTTTGTTGACTTCCTTGACTTATTTCAGTATCTCCTGTGAAATGTCTTCATCATGAGACCTATTCCAGACCTCTCATTCTCTCGCAAATCCTCTGACCATTCCCCATCCCCATCCCTTGACCCCCGCATTGACACCCCCACGACCTTCTTCTTATCGCGCAGTTCACATGTCGCGGATCACGATCCCAGTATATCGATAGATAGTGGGGATGTCAAAGAGAATATGTATGGAGTACAAAGCTTAGCTTCTCTGTCCCAATCAGAATTCACGTCCTTGCCCGGACGCTTCGCAGAGGACGACCCGAAACAGGCAACCGACGATTTGGAATCGCATCTCGCACAGCACCGGTCAACATTGAAGTCCCTAGACTCGGGTACCAGGGAATCCTCTGAACATGCATCTCCCACTCATGCATTGTCTCGGCCCCTGACTCCGCTTACGTTGGGCATCCCCGATGACCCATCCTCGCTGCCCAGCAGCCCCAAATCTATATCCAACCAGTCCATGCGGCCTCTCGATGAGATTTCTATCACGGATGAAATCAATAGTCAGGCTGTCGGATCCGGAGATGAGGAGGAAATGCTCCACGGGTCTCCATTTCTGGGTCCAGGTGGGGCCCCCCAGCTTATCATGCCAAGTATCAAAATGCCCAGTCGGCGCCCGTTTACCGAGCGAGGAAAAGCCATGGGTCGATTCAAAGTTCTGCTGGCTGGTTCTCCCGGTAGGTTTCAACTGTTTCAAAACAGATCACACAGCTAATTGTCGCAAACGGTAGGTTCTGGTAAGACCTCATTGATCAAGTCTATTGTTCAGACATGCGACGATATCGTACATGTCGACACCATCCCGCAAGCCTCTCTAGGACGTCGCAGACTTTCCACTCTCCGATCTCGGGGGACGTTGACTGCTACTACGGAAATTTATGCCAGCACCAAACCTTATCCCTCATGGTGGTCTGATCTGGAAGATTCCCGCGTGCTTCAGCGCCGGAGAAGCATCGGAGAAATTGTGCTGGAGCGGAATCTCTGTTTTGTAGACACACCCGCGACAACTTTAAGCCAAACAGGTCAAACCGATGCTCTGGGGCAGTATATGAGACAGCAATTATTTCGTGCTACCAATGCGCTCAATGGGCCCAGTGTCGATTTCCAAAACCTACTAGCGGGGAATGGTGGATCCCAGGTGGATGCCGTATTATATTTGATTTCTAATGGTGGGTTCCCTCTTTTCTGTCTCCGAAGCAAACCTCCAAAACCAACCCCGATCGCTGACTTTCCATAGACACCCTCTCGACAGATGTGGAATGCATCAGCAAGCTCTGTGGACTAAGCAATGTAGTTCCAATAATATCTAAAGCAGATACCCTCACTCCAGCTCAAATCACCCATTTAAAAGTACGCTTTCACGAACAAGCTCGCGAGGCCGGGATAAAGCCATTTCTGTTCGGCGATCCACCGAATGGTCTGGATGGACTCGAATCCCAGCCTCCATATGCTGTCTCCTCCGAGAAAACAATAGACAATGAAACAATGGATGCAAGTACTCTCATGAGCCCGGACTATGTCCAGCCCCTCGTGCCCTCCGAATTAGATGCTCTAGTCAACAAAATGTTCGACCGCGACAACCTAGCCTGGATGCGACATTCTGCCGCAAAGAAACTCCTCCAGCAACGCACGGGCTCATCCTTGCTCCCGCCCTCAATGCCGCTACCTCGCGCGCAGCCGGGTCCTACTGCAAGTGGGTCTGCATATGCATCTAGCAGCCGGCATTCCGTCTCGGAAATCCCCATCTCTCCCGGCTCTCCACCTGGCTATGCCATGGCTCGCATCGCAGATTACACCCGACACGAGGAGCGCATGGCGCAGGTCCGCCTTGCGCAGTGGGCGACAGACCTGCAGCGCAGCCTGCAGAACGAGCGCGATCGATATGCCTCCCTGGCTCGCGGCGAGCGCGCTGTATGGCTCACTCAGCGGCTGGGTGAGTGTGTTGTCGACGGCTCGTTGGTACCTCTTTCGCAGACGCCTGGATTTTGTGGTTTACATGGCCACGGCGGCGAGAAGAGCGCTGGTGGGTTCCAGGTCATGCGCTCACATACCAGTTCCGGAAAGTATCGCTCTGCAACTTTCAGTCCGAACGACCCCCTCGGTGTGGTTGGCTGGATTGATGACCTCGGACACCGGAGTTGGGTGCTTGTTCAGATCGTTGGGAGCGTGGGTGTTGTTGGTGGGTTGGCGCTCTGGCTTGCGCGCACTTGGGGTTTGCCGACGCGCAGTCTTTCAGATCTGAGGGTTGAATACTGGTGCGGTACCCTGGAACGGTAGGTTGAACGAATGGCTCTGGTATGATAATGAGGGTATGAATATGTGTGGGCTTTGTGGAGTTATGGGATTCTAGTTTGTTGTCTGGAGGATCTCCACCGGACGGGTTCGTCTTCCCGCTGTTTCGTTCTTGAATTTTCGGAAATGATTTTGTTTCATCTTCCTTCGGCGTCTTATGGTGCCCTATGGCTCTCAGGCTATTCCTTTTTGTTGTTCCAGGTCACATAGCATAGTCAGATAGGGATAAAACTACACGAGAATGATGAACTGAGTTTTCATTCTAAGAAATTGATACTCCCTTTCTCTTTTCAATCCTTATGTCCCTTGAGTCAGTAAAAACTGTATACTAACGTGGTTCATCGTATACGGCAATGTTATGTACATGGTACAAACCTTGTATCTCGCCTGTATCTAGCATCTAATTTCCTTGGAAAAGAAGGCAGCGAATTACAACTTATCATTAGGATTTGCGCTACACTGTGTGGGTTATACAGCTGTTGTTTTTCCTTTATATTTTCACCACCTCGTCGATCTTCCATCCAATTGGTAAGATGGCCGAGTTGGTCTAAGGCGCACGGTTCAGGTTAACCTGATCCCGATGGTATACAACTGTCTCCGTGTCTCGAAAGGGGCGTGGGTTCAAATCCCACTCTTATCATGTCTTTTTTTTTTTTTTTGTTCGACCAAACCCTTCTTATCATAAACTGGTTGTTGGTGTGTTTTATCCTTTTGATCTACGTTGTGATGAATCTCTTTTATCTATGTCAAATCAATGATTGGCCTTCGAAGTTCCAGGCCTTGTTGCCAGCAGCTCTGTGTAGGAAACCCATGGATGGTTCATGTCGATTCAGTTACTTTTGTTTTGAAAAGTGAGAGAGCATGAAAACCAAGGAAGGGGTATGGATAGAGGAAGCATGCAAGTAATGATCGATCCTTGCCATAGAATTCTACCTCGCTCCAGGATCATGACCACAAGCAAAGGGACCCATAAATCTACCGAAGAGAATGGAAACAAAGGATAAGGTACAATTGTATTACAGTCAACTACACCCTTAAAAGAACAAAGGAGATATCGGCAATGAATCTAGGCACAAGTGGTCACATCAAATCCAAAATGGAGGGAACAGACTCTTCCCTCTCTACGGTGTAATGTATACAGGGATTTTAAACGGTCAGACCGAGGTCCTCGGCGAAGGGAAGCTGGTGGATATCACCAACGCTGACGAGGGTAGCCTTGCCAGTCAGGAAGGTGTTGGCAACCTATGGGTAATTGTTAGCATCACGGAATCAACAATGCGGAGAGAGAAAAAAAAATAACATACCTCCTTGACCTGCTGCTCAGTGACCTTCTCAAGAGCCTCAGCAATCTCGTTGATCTGGTAGGGCTTGTTGCCGTGGATGAGGCCGGAGCCGGTAGCCTCAAGACCAGTCTCGAGGGTCTGAACGGACTCCAGAGCGCGGAAATTGGCGAGGGCGATAGCCTTCTTGATGTCCTCAGAGGCGACCTCACCGGCAGCAGCCTTCTTGAGGGCGTCAACGACGTTCTTGCTGGCGGCACCGACCTGGTCAGCCTGGCCAGACAGGGTAACGGTGAAAAGACCGGCATCGGAGTAGGCGTTGTTCTGGGTAGAAACACGCAACTGGTTGAAGCCCTTGGTGGCCTGGGACAGAAGGGAGAAGCCGGGGGTCCACTTGATGGTGGACTCGCCGCCAAGAAGAGCAGCGAGAACGGAAGCCTCGGCCTTGTAGCCCGCGGTGCCGAAAGCGCTGGAGCCGGGGAAGGCGATCACAACCGCGTTGCCGATCTTAGAGGCAATGCGCTGCTCACCACCGTAGTACTTGGAGGCGACGGAGGGCAGAACGTTGTATTTGCTGGAGGCGTTGCCGGTGGGGGTGTCCTTGAAGAACTGGCCAACCCACTTGGAGAGCTCAGCAGAGTTGGGGCCGCTGGCAACAAGAGCAATGTTGGACTTGGAGTAGGCGTTCTGGGCGAACTCGGCCAGGGCATCGCCGGAGACGTACTTCTCGTAAGGAGAAGACTGGGAGGGGGTGATGGAGGCGCCCAGACCGCGGTGGAAAGCAACACCGTGGGCGGCATCGACAGCGACAGTCTCCGGGTTGGAGTGGACGGCCTGCTGCTTGTACTTGAGGAGCTTACTGACAACCTCGTTCAATTCGTGGTCTGATATCACCGAGGGGGCTTAAGTCAGCAAAAGATGCTCATATAATTGCGACCCAACGATCACTATTGACTAAAAGGGGCCGACTTACCTGCGAACTTGGTCTGGGAAGCAACCTCAGCCAGCAACTCTGTGAAGTAAGGAAGATCCTTGGAGAGGAACTTGGTCCGGAGGACAATGTTTTCGCGCGAGTGTGTCGACGAGATTTCACCGCCCAGCAGCTCAGTCTCCCGGGTGATCCGCAGTGCAGACCGCTTGAGGGTACTCTGTTGAGGAATTGAATGATTAGTATCACCAAATAACCCTGAGATGGATCAATTGATGGTATGAAACCGACCTTGAAAGCGAATCGGTCGAGAGCATCGGAGAAACCAGGGAAGGGCTGGTAACGGGAGCCAGCCTTAGCAACTAGGGCCAGGGTACCAGTAGGGCCCTCAACTTGACGGTTGGCGACCTTCACACCGGAGGCTTCGGAAACTTCGTACTGGAAGGCTGGGTTGGCAGCCGAGGCCATGGACCGACGGCCGGCGGCGGCGAACGCACGCGGCGCATTTCGGCTGAGGGAAGACCGCGACAGCATCGTCGCCTGTGCCGAGAAGATGTGAGAGAAAAAGAAGAGATAGAAACCCGAATTGGGTTTGAAAAGAGGCGCAAATGAGGCGGGGAAGGAGGTGGGATGCGGAGAGAGCAAGAGGGAAGAGGCAGTTTGGGAGGTCACGAAAAGCTTCAAGATCCCGACTCGTCACTCCAGCCAATCAGCGCTCAAGTAATCAAAAGCGCGGACGGAACCGGAGTTACTTTTGTTCGAGTATATAGAAGGAGCTTCCTATTGCCTTTGCTGATAATTGCTCTTAGTCTTATTGAGTACTTTTTTTCAAAGAATTGAGATCGTTATTCGAATTGTGAATACCTCTATTGTTCCCCCATTGTCTCTGCCTGAATACGTTTCTCCCGAATGAGGCTTTAAGATCACCTGATTGATGTCACGTGAATATACCGATAAGCAAAAAAAGAACAAAAGAACGTTAAAGACCTGCATCTCAACGCGCATTGGATTTTTTGGACTCGCAGATCTTTACTGACTTGGAAATCTTCATGAACATTCGGTGACCCTCAAGTGCCCTCTCTCGAGGTTTGGTGGCTGGTGAATCTTTTTTTATCTCTTTAGCCCACTATGATGTCCCAGGTATGCGACTGTCCCGCTAACCTCGAAAGCTACTTACTGACATGAAGTTAGTGCTCTGCCGAGCTCTGTATGCTCTTGATCGAAGACAATTTTGGAGAGCTATTTGCTGTGAGTCATTTTGTGCTAATTCTGGGGCTGTCATGATTCCTTGCGACAGCAGGGAAGGAACCAGGCTAACTTTTTGCAGCGCATCTTTACCGTCCTTCAACGTTACGAACGACTAACTCTCCCTCGATTAAAATTTTATGCTCGCCTGTCAGATCGCCAGCTGCACAATGGCCTCTCCGCCATGATTCAACACCACTTGATCTATCACTTCACTTCCCTCGATGACGGCAACACCTACTACGAAGCTAATCCACAAGCTGCATACTCCCTCGTACGTTCTGGAAAAATCCTCCAGCTGGTTGAAAGCCGGTTGGGAGAATACGCGGCCCAGGTGTTGGAAACAATCATGAACCTCGGTCACTCCTCGATCGCCCACCTCGAGACGCTTCCCGAGCTTCAATCCACGAAGCAGCGCATTCCGAACGGAGTCAACCATGGTGAAGAGGAGGTCGATGAAAACGAGGGTAAAGAAGAGGACTCCGCTGCTCCTAATGGCGATCATGGTGTGAGCGAGAAACCGGCGCGTCTTCACCCCACCTTGAAGAGCCTTGCCTCCCATGGATACATCCATCGCCTTCGAGAGGCCCACTTCCAGAGCCCAAATGACAATTGGCTAGATGCTTCCCGAATTATCTCGTCAAGGCCAGATGTCAAAATAATGAAGGGCAAACAACAAGCGATGGAAATTGAGGAGAAGGCGAAGGAAATGGTCAAAGAAAGAACCGAAGGAGATCTGAGCCGGGGTCTGATGTACAATGGTCTTCCTCAAGGCGCCAAAAGAAAACGCGACCACGGGACCAAGGAGTCCAACCAGCCGGCGCCGAATGGGACCAACGGTGTCAACGGGGGCAATGTAGATGACGAGGAAGAAGAGGAGAACGATTGGTCTGAAGATGAAGATGGAATTGATTCAATGCCAATGGATGTAAGCTCGTTCCGTCTTCTCTTCCCGCGGTTTCGAGTAAACCACTGACATCTACCACAGTCTAACCTCATCATTCGAGTGAACTACGAGAAATTTGACGTGGCTCTTCGAAACACGCGGTTCCTCGAGCTTGCTGAGCAAGATGCACCTTCTGCCTCAATTCAGATTTACGATTGTCTGCTTCGGCGAATTGAATATCAAACAGCCCGCTGCCGAGACTCTTATGAGATCCCTCGCGAAGGAGAAGAAGGCGAGCAATACTCTGCTCCAATCCAATTAAGCTCAATCGTCGAAGACGTTGACCCAAATTTGGATCTTACAGGATGTATTGGCCCGATGGAGCCTTCGACAGTGTTAAACCGACGCGGGAAGCGACCACTGGACGATGATACAAACGGCGTGAATGGTGACGAACATGAAGACGAGCCTAACGGGCAGAACCGTGCGTACGAGATCGACCAGCACCTTAGTATTCTCTCACAACCTCCCTTGAATCTTACTACCAAACACGTCATCTCCGGCCTCCCTACGTGGCGAGTTGCATTCCGAGGCCTGGCCCGCAAGCTTCGCCATTTAGAACTGGAGCGCATGATTGAATCACGGTACGGAGATGTGGCACTACGGGTGATCCGCGTCTTGCATGCCAAGGGCAAGCTTGACGAGAAACGACTCCAGGAGATCAGTCTTCTGCCCTTTAAAGACCTGCGCCAGACGCTTGCTAGCATGCAAACCGGAGGCTTTGTAGATTTGCAGGAAGTGCCGCGTGACGCGCAGCGTCAACCTTCCAAGACAATCTACCTGTGGTACTACGATCCGGATCGCGTGTGCAGCAGTATCCTGGAGGATACATACAAAGCCATGTCACGGTGTCTGCAGCGCATCAAATTTGAACGTACCCGCGAGAGAGATTTCCTTGAAAAGACGGAACGAACTGACGTCAAGGGCCATGAGGAAGAATTCCTCTCAGAGGCTGAATTAGAACACCTTCGCAATTGGAAGGCCAAGGAAGCCTTGCTGCTGGCGGAGGTATCCCGATTAGATGATATGGTTGCTGTTTTCCGAGATTATTGATTTGCCACATTCATATCATGCAAAGTGGGAAATAATTAGGGTGGCTACATAAATCTGTACAGGCGTATGAGCGACGAATTGATACAAATGACATCTACACGCTCGTTTTGCGAGTCTATCTAGACAAAGGTTAGACATGTGAAGCAATGTTCACTGTAGATCCTTCTTTGTAGAGTGTCCCATGGTCACCAGGGCTATTGATATCTAGACCCTTTTCTTGTCTATGGAGTCTGTGAGAGCGACCCAGGCCTTTGTTTTCCACACAGCCACAATAGGAATGAATGCGTGTGCGAGAAACGGATTGTCTGTCTGTATCCCTATGTCGCACGAATCAAGTACACTGGATACTGGAGCATACACAAAGCATGTATCACTAATATGGTAGGATAGACTGGTAGAATTCGATCCAAGATCAGAAAATATAGATTGAAGTACAGCCTATGGACATACAACATAGATGTATGACCAAGTTTCACAGTGATCGGCAGCCTGGCGTCATATTGCTTGCACGTGCATTTGGCCAAGATACGGAGGACTCCGTAGACCAAAAATACTTTATAGGCAACAAGTGTAGGATATCAAGGTCTAGGCAGTAGTTTTGAAGGACATGGAAGGGGGTTGTGTTGGAGTATATAAAGTCAAGGGTAATTCATCGCGAAAGAAAACAGGACAGGTCGGAAGTGTCATCTACCAAGTATTCAAAGGTATGTAGAAAGATGCTACGTCAGCCCTATAGGTATTAAAAGTGTCAAAACCAAGTCTGAATATTAATGACGCTGGCGCGACGCCAGTGGCTGCGCCAACCCCTGCACCCTTTATATACCATGCCATACCCTGAGCTGCCTACACAAGGTCTATTCTGACGCAAATTCCGCAGATAATTTTACATTGTCTTGATATTCACATCCATATCCACATTACATATCTACATCAGCATCAACATCAACATTAGCATCTACATCTACATCCACATCAGAGATGGCCCTACCGTGGATCTACCCCGTCCGAATCGTGCAAGCACTCTTTGGCGTGATCGTGATTGGCTTGACAGGATATGGTCCGTCGCTTCAGAACGAAGTCTCCAATCTATGAAAACTGACGAAGTTGTAGTGGTGTCAACATACTATTGGGCATGGTCATACTCGGACACGGTCAACTTTCTTCTCTTCCTCGGTTGTTGGACTGCCTTTGTAGCAGTGCCCTACCTCGCCATCTCACCCATATGGTTCCCTCGTCTTGCACACCACTATGTGATGCCTGCTGTTGAAGTGATTACCATGATATTCTGGTTTGCCGGGTTTATCGCTATGGGCGCGATGTTGCCCCCGCCAAGGGCGTGTCATGGCAGTGTATGCAGCTCGCTCCAGGCAGCAACGGTATTTGCAGCTCTTGAATGGTGAGATTCCGTTCCTTTTGTTTTTGTTTTGTTTGTTTTGTTGGATTTACAACAGTATCTATTGAAAAATTATTAACTGTCTGTGACATATAGGGTGTTTTTCGCAGTCACCAGCTATTTCAGTATTGTCGATCTGATGAATCACCGCCGTGGTGGGGAACCGAAACCCCATTCGAATGTGCATATGGGGGTTTGAAGTACAAGGTGAATTGCATGATGTTGATGTTTGAATAATCTTGGATATACCCTAAGCGCTGGACTTTGATATCTTGAAATGTCATTTTTATTATTCTTATTATCACTTAGCTTCAAGTTATCTCCGCAAACGGCCGACCTTTGCCAAGGCCACCGCCAAGTATGTGGCTTCGACGTAATTCCTCAATTAATTATCAGATATAAAAGGGTTCAGGTGATGAAATAGATAAATAACTATGGGATCCGACACACTATAGAGTCTTGTGTACCTACCTAGGTAGGTACCTAAGGAGGTTCCTATACACAGATATGGATAGCATAGTAAGATGATATAGATCAACCCGTATAAAGGGTAGGCAACAGAAGGTCCAAGGTTGTCTACGAGGTCGATAATATTAAATCTAGCAAAGTCCCTTACAGTATCTAAAATATCTAAACACCAAATCAACCCAAGTGCTATACTCCGGGGGCAAAGAGTGTCGCCACCAGAGAAAAACTCTTTCCCGGCAAACCCACCTCAGGGTGGTATTGGTGGTATTGGAGGGGAAAAAATTGGAAAAGTTTGATTTTCAAGGGAAATCAAAATGATATAGAATAAGAATCTGCATAATAAAATCTATCTACCTTCATATTCCCTCTCTAAATAATTCCGAGCTCAGGCGTCTCCACAGAAGAAAAAAAAAAAAAGCGCCTGTCTTCGGAACCCCAGTGGACTTAATCGAGTGGAGACTTAGTGTTGCACTCAAATCCTTTCTCTCTCTTTCCCACCTTGAATTGTCTTACCCCAGCAGACATGGCTTTGGACGAGTCAGTCAGCCCGTACAAGGGAAAGACGAGCACTGAAATGCCAGTGCAAGTCCATACACAGAGCCCGGTCGACTATGATATCGACTACGAAAAGCATGGCGCTCAGCGCGAGGCGAATCCGCTACCGGATCTCAAGCGGAGACTGAAGAGCAGACATCTGCAGATGATTGCTATCGGTTAGTTGGATGCTATCGTCGGTTCTCGATCAGAACCTTCACAAGAATCTTCATACTAACAGTCTTCAAAGGCGGCACAATAGGAACCGGATTGTTCATTGGTAGCGGTACCGCCATTGCTCACGGAGGCCCGGTGGGCGCTCTCATCGCGTATGTCTTCGTGGGAACGATTGTGTATTCGGTCATGACCGCTCTCGGAGAAATTGCAACTTATATCCCGATTCCCGGCGCCTTCACCTCTTACGCTGCTCGTTTGATTGATCCTAGTCTGGGCTTTGCGATGGGTTGGATCTATTGGTTCTCATGGGCATCAACATTTGCGCTGGAGTTGACTGCAACCGGGTTGATTATTCAGTTCTGGGACAACAACATTCCGATCGCCATCTTCATCGCCGTTTTCTGGGTCGTAATCATCTTGTTCAACCTGATGCCCGTGGGCTTCTACGGTGAAATCGAATTTTGGTTCGCCAGTATCAAGGTTATCACCGTGGTTGGCTTCATGATCTTCTCGATTTGTATGAATGCCGGCGTCGGAAAGGAAGGTTATCTCGGTTTTCGGTATTGGGTGCACCCCGGTCCGTTCGTTCCCTACTTGATTGAAGGGAATGATTCCTTGGCCAAATTTGTTGGATTCTGGTCGACGCTTATTCAGGCCGGATTTTCTTACCAGGGAACCGAACTGGTTGGTATTGCGGCCGGTGAGACCGAGAACCCTCGCAAGACCGTTCCATCCGCAATCCGCAAAACCTTTTTCCGTATCGTTTTCTTCTTCATCCTGACCATCTTCTTCCTCGGGATTGTCGTGCCCTCCGACGACCCTGGCCTGTTGGCTAGCCAGGGAGACGGTGCTTCCGCTCAGAACGCTAACGCTTCGCCATTTGTCATTGCTGCCAACCGTGCGGGTGTCACGGCTCTCCCCGGTATCATCAACGCCGTTCTTCTGACCGTGGTGCTTTCGGCAGCCAACTCCAATGTTTACAGCGGCAGTCGTATCCTAGTCGGTCTAGCCCAGGAAGGTCTCGCTCCTCATTGGTTCAAGATTACCACCAAGCACGGTGTTCCTTACTACAGTGTGCTATTCACGGCGGCATTTGGTTTGCTCGGATTCTTGAACGTTTCTGATGCAGGCAGCACCGTATTCACCTGGTTACTCCAGATCTCTGGTGTGGCTGGTTTCATCACCTGGTCTTCACTCAACGCCTGTCACCTCGCTTTCCAGCGGGCGCTCAAGGCTCGCAACATCTCTCGGGATATCCTACCCTACAAGGCTCTCTGGCAGCCCTGGTTCTCGTGGTATGGTCTGTTTTTCAACATTCTGATCATCTTCACCCAAGGATTCACTGCCTTCATCCCACACTTCCAGGTCAAGGAGTTTTTCATCAACTACCTGAGCTTGATCTTGTTCGTGGTGTTGTATGCCGGACACAAAATCGTTTACCGCCCTGCCTTTGTCAAGCCTATCGAGGCCGACCTGGATACCGGCCGCACCACTGCTGAGAATGAGACATGGGAGACTATTGAGCCCACTACCTGGTATGGCAAAACATGGAAGTGGATTTCCTCGTGATTTGAGACTGCCGATCTCACTGTATATATATTTATATATTTTTCTTGCATATTCTATGGGCGTTATCTTTTTCTTCCGCATATATACAATATACTCCGTATATTCATGTATCTTATTTCAATCTCAATGCATATAACATACTGATATATAATATTTTTCTTACTCGGTTTCCATGTGAAAAGTAGAGGTGCATGTGAGTTGTGCAAATGACGGTATGCAAGGATCCACTAGTGCAGGTACCTGAGATAACATGGGAGGTACCACCATGTGGCAAGTACCTTTCAAAAGAGCCGAGGTTCCTTGTCGGCTCATGTCTTTTTTTGTGTCCGAAAAGCGTCGGTCGCTCCGGTATTAACTCCAGTTTTCTCCCCCACACTTTTTGCCCCCTTTAAGACGGATCACTCGGGCCTTTCTTTCTTTCGCTCCTTTCTTTAAATTCTGGTTCGTCCGCCCATTGTTTGTCCTGATCCTCTCTTCCCCCCTCCGGCTAACCGTATCCCGACAGACATGTTTTTCTCACAACCCGCCCACTTGGCTAAGGCCGAGGAGCTCAAGAAAGCCCCTCCAAAGGGTGTAGCTTACTCTGTGGCGATTCCGGGCACTGAACAGCCAGGCCGGAGTCGGGTCTACCGAGCATGGAATGCGCAAAAAGAACTTTTGACGACATTGGACCCCAAGGTACAGAGGCCCACGCGCGAATCCCACGGTGTCATAATATTGACCAATTCTAGGTCACCACGGCCCATGATATGTTTGAGTCGACCGCCAATCGCCAGCCCAAGAATCACTGCCTTGGTTGGCGTCCGTATAACTCCATTACCAAGTCCTTTGATCCATACCAGTGGCTTAGTTACGAGACTGTGCAAAAGAGACGCGCTGCATTCGGTGCTGGTCTGGTAGAGCTGCACCACAAACACAACTGCCATCGCCCCGGTCAGTATGGTATCGGTCTCTGGGCCCAGAACCGGCCGGAGTGGCAGATCACTGGTGAGTTAGGTCGCGCGAACGAACAATTCAAGGTATAAGACACTAAAACAAGATCATCTACAGATCTGGCCTGCGTTTCCCAATCTCTGTACTCCGTCTCGATCTACGACGTCCTGGCCCCGGACGCTACCGAATATATTATCAACCACGCAGAACTGCACTGTGTCGTCACTTCTCTACCCCATATCCCGACTTTGATCAAGCTCAAGTCCTCTCTTCCGAATCTCAAGATCATTATCAGTTTGGACCCGTTGGATGCAGGTGAGCAGGACAGTCTCACCAAGCGTGCCCTTCTCGAGTCCATGGCCGCCGACCAGGGCCTGGCAATCTATACTATGGATCAGGTTGAGGAGCTGGGCTTGGCCTCAAAGCGCGGATACAATCCTCCTTCTGCCTCCGACATTGTCACGATCAACTACACCTCCGGTACGACCGGTCCCCCAAAGGGTGTCGTTCTGACGCACGGCAATGCCGTGGCTGCCACGTCCTGCGGTCTCATCACTATCGAGCAAGCTCGAGGTGATACGACAGCCTCTTATCTGCCGCTGGCCCATATCTATGCCCGCCTGGCAGAGCACACTGCTTTCTGGGGTGGTGCGCGAATTGGTTATTTCCATGGAAATATCGCGGAACTGGTCGATGATTTGAAGTTGCTGAAGCCTACTGGTTTCATGTCTGTTCCTCGTCTTTACAGTCGATTCGGTAGCGCGATCCGTTCCGCGACCGTTGAGCAGCCTGGCTTCAAGGGCGCTCTGTCGCGACACATCATTGCGGCCAAAACCGCCAACATGAAGAATCCCGATCCCTCCAAGGCGACAGTCAGGCACGCTCTGTATGATCGTATTTGGGCTAAAAAAGTGACTGCCGCTCTTGGTCTGGAGCGAACCAGATATATGGTGTCTGGCTCCGCGCCCTTGGACCCGACCCTGCACAACTTCCTCCGTGTTGCCACCGGTACCGATATTCTTCAGGGTTACGGTTTGACCGAATCCTACGCCTCGGCCACCGCCCAGCCGACGTATGATCTGACCGCCGGCAATTGTGGTAGTCTCGCACCCTGCGTTGAGGCATGCCTGGCCTCCCTGCCAGACATGGAGTACTCCGTGGACGACAAGCCGTTCCCCCGTGGTGAGCTTTTGTTGCGCGGCAACAACATGTTCCGCGAGTACTACAAGAACGAGGAAGAGACCCGTAATGCCATCACCGAAGATGGCTGGTTCCGCACTGGTGATGTCTGCACAATTGATGAAAAGGGCCGTTTCATCATCATTGACCGCCGCAAGAACGTGCTTAAGCTCGCCCAGGGCGAGTACATCTCCCCGAGCGTCTGGAGGGTGTCGTCCTTGCCGAGCTCGGCTTCATCGCCCAGGCTTATGTCCACGGTGATAGTATGCAGACCTTCTTGGTTGGCATCTTGGGTGTCGCGCCTGACCTCTTCGCTCCGTATGCCAGCAAGGTTCTGGGCAAGACCATTGCACCGACCGCGGAAGCAGTCAAGGAGTATCTGGGTGATGATAAGCTCCGCCGTGCTGTGCTCGCTGACCTCGAGCGCGTGGCTAAGCAGCACAAGTTTGCTGGCTACGAGCGGATTCGCAACGTCTCTCTCAAGGTAGAGCCTTTCACCGTTGAGAACAACTTGTTGACCCCGACGTAAGTTCTGATTCTGATTTCCACCTTCATAACCCCGGCATCGCTAACATTACTTTCTCCCTTCTACAGTCTCAAGCTCAAGCGTCCTCCCGTTGTCAAGGTCTACCGTTCCCTTTTGGATCAGCTCTACGAGCAGGCCACCGAGGAGATGTCTGCTCCCAGGGCTAAGCTGTAGTGGCCCCAGCACCTATTCATGTCCATTGTTCTTTTCCATCACGTTATTACTCTGGCCTTTGGCGATTCTCCTCGGACTCTCGGTTCAGAAACTGTACATAGAACCAGTCCGGACACTGTAGTATATTAAATATTTTGATTGACTTATGCTGCGTCATTACCTGGGGTCATTCGTGGCTTGGGGGAGGTATTACTCCGGTTGGCTCATCAGTTGATCTGGTGTTCTCTTGTTCTGGCTTTCTTCCTTGCGTCTTCTTCAGCACTAGAATAGATATATGCACATCCGCCTAGCTATTTCATTTTGCATTTGCTGCTTTTCGTTTTCTTCTTCTTCTTCTTCTTCTTCTTCTTCTTCTTCTTCTTCTTCTTCCACTTCCACCGTTGATAGCCTTGCTTTCATATATACTTTTCGTCGGATTCTATATTGTACATCCAGCACTCAGGTTCCATTGGTTGGGATGGTTGTTGCCCTCCGATGTACAGATGTCTAACGAGAAAAATGTTCACAAAAAAAGCAATTTCCCCACAGATTTTTGGGTTCTTATTGTAAATTTTACTACCGGATCGAAAAAAAAAAAGACATGATAAGAGTGGGATTTGAACCCACGCCCCTTTCGAGACACGGAGACAGTTGTATACCATCGGGATCAGGTTAACCTGAACCGTGCGCCTTAGACCAACTCGGCCATCTTACCAATTGATGTAAGGCTGATGAAGTTATAAAATTATTAAGGAAATGAAACATCAAGGCTTCAATTTAGGCATTCAGTAGATTAGATCATGCTGCTATATATCCCACTGTTTCGCTTTTCCATATCTCTGCAGCATGCATTGAAAGTGTAATTAAATCAGGTTTGAGTATCTTTAATTCTCATCACTCTCTCCTATGTTAAATTTTGGTGGAGTTGACTGAATATATATTTGCCGTAAGATATGATGTGTTCACTTGTCAACATGGATAATCAAATAAGCATAACATTATATTGATCAACACTGCACATATAGGCCGTACCACCTTGATCAAGAGCCCCACCGAAAACGCGCCGATAATAGCCTATCCCATGATCTTATCCAATTAATTCCACTCCTTCATGCAAGGTATGTGTAGACATGACCTATACGCATCCAAGTACTTATGATACCCAATTCTCATCTAATGTACCCCCTGATCGACTACCATGATAGTATGAAGAGACTTGGTAAGAAGATGTCAGTGTAGCTTGATTGGGTACCAAGTATGAAGGGTTGGCCTGGCCTGTGCGTCCACACCAGCTCGCCAACACCGCCCAAACCCTATCTATCCCTATTAAGTAGATATTCAATACCAGCACAAGGGAGGCTTTTCACATGTCGGCCAGGTTTCGGTAGGTCGAAAATGGAGATTGCGCGATCAGGAATGAGTTAAAGTCTGTTTTGGCTGGCACATGTTAAGTATAGTTGGACCCCGACGCAGAGACGCCCGGAACCAGGCTACTGGGTGGCATAGGATTAGCTTGGGGGGATTCTCATGTGTGAAATAAGGAGCCGAGGTTCCGCGATAGGATTTGGAAGCGAAGAAAATGGAAGTGAACGGCTGTGGATGTAAGCAGTGATAAGCAAAGGATAACACACAGCTATGTTAGTGCGGACTCAGCGTCTGTAAACCCGAGGACAATTATTACAGCTAAGCACGAGGTGAACACGCCACACAACGGGAAAATGGCCGGTATCCTTCGTGCAGCCATGTCGTATTAGAAAGATCTGGGACTTGGTTGCCTTTGTCTGCTATACTGCAACTAAAACCGAAGAGGTGAAATGCAATATGAATTTAACACACAGAATTTGCTGGGAAAGGGAAAGGGGGAGAGTACCAACAAGGCCGGTGAACTTAAAGGTACATAGCTACATACAAAAAGGTGCCTGCTAGACCCCCGATTATACGCACTAAAGAGACTCTATCTTGGACATAGTATATTTCCGAAGAATAATAGGCTCTAACCTGTGTTGCATTGAAGCATAAAGTATCTAAGATGTATTGCATAGGAGCACACTACAAGAATCTATGTAAATCTCTTGAAAAAGACGGCCGAAGATTGTGTTTATCAATTAGGAACAGTAGTTGGAATCAGTTATATTTTTTACTATCTCTATGTATTATTCTCTACTTAAGAGAGGACAGCTGTTTGCCTTTATAAAGCCGTATTTCCCTCGATCTTCCATCCAATTGGTAAGATGGCCGAGTTGGTCTAAGGCGCACGGTTCAGGTTAACCTGATCCCGATGGTATACAACTGTCTCCGTGTCTCGAAAGGGGCGTGGGTTCAAATCCCACTCTTATCATGTCTTTTTTGTTATTTTTTTGTTCGAATAATGGCTGGGACCTAGAAGCTCGATTCACTCTTTTGTTTTACTTCACTGCCCATAGCCACGGTAGTCTGCAGATAGATATATACCATACATGGCAGAATTTTTGTACAAGAATCAAAGAACATACCTAGGTATGATGCGCAATGTGTGGATCACAAACAGAAAGAGAATCAATACAAGTTTACCAGTGAACTAGACAGGAGTATAGTATCAATAAAATTATTTCAAAACCAGTAAAAATTCATTCTTGGCCACCTAGGAGTTTGATGGATATGAGATCAGCACAACGCACAACAATGATTTCAGCCATTTATCAAACCAAACACCAACATGGCCGATCAAGCTGATAAGAAAGCCTTCTATTGCGAAGATATGGAGTAAAAACAAAAGATATGATAAGAGTGGGATTCGAACCCACGCCTCTTGCGAGACCAGGAAACTATTGCTAGTTGTGGAGTCAAGGTATACCTTAACCTGGCGCCTTAGACCAACTCGGCCATCTTACCAATTGGATGAAATGTCAGGCATCAAGTGGCTACATAAACTAAACATAAGCTCAGATGTACATGTCATGACAGTTATATAACGTAAAGCGTCCAACTCGGATGTAACTCTCAAACCGTCTAGTGCTCGAATCTGGAACAACACTCCTATTCATGGGAACTATATCCCGTAGAACAAATGACAGTCATACTCGGATAGGCGCGTTTGCCCCCAGAATCCATATCTTATGAATGGACTGGCCTGAATTGAAATACTCTGAGTCCAGATCCTTCTCGTGCATCTTGCGTCGTTCGGGAATTCCAAATTAGGATTAGGTTGAGCTGCTATATGCGGGAGTTCGAAAAGCAAGTCCAACTCTCACCGAATCACCACAGAGAAAAGCACGAACACAGTGTGTACACATCGCAAATAAACGAAGATGAACAAGCCAAAGGCTGGATTGGGCACCAATGCATCTCGATGTTATTCTTCTGATATTGCATCAGCTATATATGTCCTTACGTTGTTTACTTCGGGTGATGTAGCCAAACTGCCCTAAAAAAACCTCAACTGATTCTAGCCTGACCATCTGTTTCTATCACATACCTGATAGAATTTATCTTCATTTTGGCTGCCAGCCATGTCAATCGAATGGGGCAAAGGCTCACGATCAACTAGCAATTGGCCAGAGCGTGGCATTCCCGTATCTGACACCCAGAAAAAGAAGTACCACGAGTCTATTGTTGACCTCGTCTCCAGGTGATAATTGTACAACTCAAGACTTATGAGGCCTGCCACTAATTTGAATTTAGCTTGTATCTCAAATCGAAGTATAGCGACTTGACCATTGTTTGCGATGGCCAGATCTTCTCAGCCCATAAACTTATTCTTTGCTCTAAATCGAGATATTTCCAAAACAAGGTAATAGAAAATCAGATTCTTGACAATTCCTTCACTCCAAAGTTACTAACGAGGGTGAATATCAGAAAACTAACGATGAGATTTATCTGAAGGAGAAAGAACCAATCCTAGTTGAAAAGATGTTGGAGTTTCTCTACACGGGAGACTATACCTTTGAACGCAGTAAAACCAAACTGGTAGATACACAGACGAATGGCAAAGAGGTGACAGCAATAGATCCAGAGTCTCCAGGAGACCCGACAATCTTGATACCAGAGGAGCCTCTCGTGGACGAGCCTACAGAAGCGATAGCATGTTTCTCAAATGAGACCGATGGGTCCCTGACGGAGACAGAGGCCACTTATAAAAGCCCAACGGCAGAAGAGAAGCTTGCAGAGGAGTTGGTGGATGAAATATTGATGGAAGAGAGCCAAGCTCCGATTGACAAAGTCCACGGACAAGATTTATGCGAGAAAGGGGATGCCGTGGAGCTCCTTGTCAACAGATTGACAGACTGCCACCCAAGCTACTTTCATGTGCTCATGTATGGCGAAGCGATCTTCTTCAACATCAGCGAGTTGCGAATCAAAGCAAAAGCAAACTTCCGTGCCTCTTTTATGGATTGTCCCGAAAGAGCGTCCTTTGCAAAGACAATTGAGAAAATTTATTCAACAGAGGGAAGCTATTGGAGGTTGAAGACATCAGCGATTGACATGATCACGGACAGCTTACCCAAACTTTGGGAAGCAGAGACACCGGTGATTGATAAAAATCTCGTCAATTCAGTCCCCGATTTTGGCTACGACTTATGGCACGCCACAATGAACAAGTATGCTGCTCCAGCTGATACACCCAGTTCCGTTGCGTTAGCAGAAGATGATCATTTCTCAAAGCAGGTGTAGCTCCAGAGTAAGTCATCATGTCTCGCCTTCTACTAGGATCTGCTGACCTTGCTATATTTAACTAGGCTCACCCTTCAATGGAGCGGAAGTGAGTGATGTTTGAGGTTGGCGGGGAGTTTCCCAGATTACCAACTATATTCGTTCATTCACGGGTTCGCAATCAATGTATATAATTTTTGGGGAATGAATCAGGGTTATGTGTATAGTCTACTCTTGAAAAAAACCGTTCCAAGGTTGCAGTGCCATATTGACCATATCCCATAAGCGCTAGCTCACACTATTGTTGTTAGTCTGTTCGGAGTTCCAACTGGAATTCCCCGAATAGGAAAATCAAGGTCCAATCCCGAGGTCCGATACCCAGGCCCTGTATATTGGCAGTAACCATTTTACCTCTCATTTAACCCAAAGCCTTGGGTTGTTTCTGATTAGTATTATCCCCAAAAAAGAAAGCCTCCTGTTTCCCACCAATTTGATGAAAATGGCAACACGTCGCAATGGACAGCTGTCATCGTGTGAGCCTTGTCGGAAGTCCAAATTACGCTGCGACCACCAGACTCCTATCTGTGGTCGATGTATCGGTCACGGCCAAGCCGAACGCTGCTTTTATCATCCTGCCCCACTGACTCAACCGCGCGTGCGCCCCTCCAGGGTGATATCACGGAGACCCAAGAGGCACCAACGCCCGGACAATCAGTCTGTTTTTCGTTTGGATCAGAATATCTCCAGCATGGCCATACCGGGGCCGCCGCCAGGCTTACCACCAACTACAGTCGGGGAAAGTACATTATGCGACCAGCACATCGCGCAATGGACTGCGAAGGAGAAGCGAACTCTGACACCAGGACTTTTAGGGCTTGTATCACCAAAAGATATTTTCAATGAGTATGAAAATACGCTTTGTGTTGAGGAACCAGACAGCCTACCAGCAACAACAGCACCAGCAACTGCGTACCCACCGAGTGACTCCAATCATGTGTTGCTAGGAGCTCAGATTCTATCACATCTACAGAAGATCCGCTGGTTCCATGAGATCATTGAGCTAAAGAACAAGATATCCCCAGCATGGGTTATAGGCACTCCATTGACTCGTGCCTTGTGTGATTCTATGGAGCAAATGTATGATTGTGCAGTCCACAAGTCCCAGGATACCCACGCATCACTAGCCACCTTGTCCCATCAAATATTTGTCAACACATCCAAAGATAGTCAGATACATCCAACCATGAATGTCTCTGAGTATTTTAATTCAATGGCTCCAAGGTGGGAGACAGTTGGACTTGTCTTCGCCCTGCTGGGAACATCATTATTCCTTACACCCGATGATGACCCGATTTTCACACATCGCAACCCGTGGAAGCTTGAAAAAGGCCAGCTCAGAAATGTGGCCACTGCCATTAGTGATATCTGCTACCAGTTCTGCAATAGTGCTGGAACGACTAGCGATCCATTTTGCTTGCTCATAGCCCAGCAAATCGTTCTCTTCACTGCAATGTTTGGCGACAGCGGTAATCACGATCCAAGATTGCCTACTGGAAAAGAGAGAAGATAGCTGATATTCGGATAGACTACAGAGTCTGGCAAAAGCTCGGAGATCTATCTACCGTTGTTTATGCGCTTGACTTACATCAGTCCGACGGAGACATTGAAGAAAACATTCCCTTTTTCTTGATGGAAATACGAAAGCGAACTATGGTGTGCGCATACGCAATTGATAAGGAGCTAGCGACCTTTTTGGGGCGCCCTCCACGAATCTGCTCTCGATACTGTAGTATTCCGCTTCCGTTGGACATAAGTTATGAGAAGATGGTCTTATCACGAAGTGAAAGAGAGAAGTCACCGCAGAATCTCGACATGCATGGCTGGAATATTGAAGGAAACCTGACCGTTGGCGTCAGGCTTCGTGTCGTGCTAATGACGAGCTTGTTGCGAGAAAGTATCCTAGAATTGTCCTTGAGTCCTAGTACTCAGCATATCCCAGCCAGAGTTGAGTACGTATCCCTTGATTGGCTTTATATCATATTGATATAGGAGACTAATGGAAGCAAACACAGAGAACTGATTCAGGAATCCCGTCAGACCCAGCAAGAACTCCCCTCGTTTTTGCACTGGTCTCCCGAGCAAGCTGCAGCTGGTGCCTACATCTTTCCACGAGACGAGGGCCGCGCCTTCGTTCACATGGAGTTTACGTACCAGGAGTTTCTGTTGCATCGGATCTTGCTCAAGCGCCTCGGCATAAACCCACCAGGTCTTATACAAAGCTCTCTGGAGATATTGACCACGCTATTAGACATGATTGCCATGCGGAATCGGTCCGGCCACCCGGTGACAAATATGTTATGGGATGTAAGACTGTTCTGCACTATAATACTGCCAAGAGGTCTCCATCATAAGCTCATCCTCTTCTAGTTATGCCATATGGGCCTTCCTGCTGCAGGCATCCTGACTTCGAAACTGCTCTCGGAGCATAGCTCTCAAATTTCGAAGCCGCCAGTACCACCGTTATCTGCCAACGTTCGTTCACGTACCATCGAGAAGCTCAATATTTTTGTTTCTCATCTGGCCGTCATGGCGAGGCCCCACGAGGGTAATTATGAGAGTGTGCAACAAGGGACTCGATTCATTCGTCGTATGCTCGATCGAATTGTTTCTTCTGAGTGTCCCCAGCCGGCCATGTCGACTCCAGATATTGATCTGTCTGAAAATTGGATGGATGGGTGTGATTTGGATGTTAATCTCGATTTTATGGCGTGGTTTGACAGTATTCACTGGAAGCAGGACCCTTTGTTAAACTTCACTTGACTTCAATAGTACAAAGACCCTAGAGCCCAGTATAGACCTTCCCAAGGAGATGAAAGGGCCTCTCGTTTGCTTTCAAGGGTTCTATTCTTCCTAATTATATTGCTACTCGTACAAAATGCGAGAGAATAATCGTATATATAACGTGTGCCTTTTCTCGAACTAGTTGAGCACTATATGTGTAGCTGTTTATGGCAGGGGCCCGTGAACACTAGAACTCCCAGGTTCCCTACCATAAGCAAATCTTGAACTTCTCAAGTTCACATGGATATACGATAACACTGCTTATCGTTACGCAAAGATCGGTAGAAGATAAAATGTAACGCGTGGGAAGTATACAAGTAGTTAAGGAAATGGGAGCTATACTAGTATAGTATGTCGATAGTAAACTGCACAAAGCATAGTAGAGCGGTACATTTACGTTGCTAATTATGGTTCTTAGATTAAAACTCCGGTGTTACCACAGCCTGATTATCTGTGTAAATAAACATTAACAAACCTGCTGTACGTTATGATAATGAATTCTATACCTCATTTGTAGACCCAACATTCTGTTGGGCCACAAAAAACAATTAATCGTCAGACTTTGAGTCTCTCTTTTGCCTCCACGCAGATCCACATCGCCGTATAACCCAGACTGCAAGCAACCCTGCCACACCATCAACAAGAGCAATGAGCGTAAAGAGCCAGGAATATCCAATTGCCTTTGACAACGGCTGGAGAGTGGTAACAGCAGCCGCAGAGAGCGCACATCGAGTGATATTATTTGCGGCGGCCGCCGCACCAGGACGTCTTGGGAAGATGTCAACTAGCAAAGCACTGAAACTCTGCAAGATCACTGTACATTTTGCGCCAATCAACGCCTGCAAAATCAACGGAATACTCGGATGAGCATGAAAATGAACGGCCCATCCATAACCCACCAATAGAGGGATGGAAGTGGACAAGACGATATAGATACCACGAGACCGAGCCTTTTCAATGGGAAATTGGCTCATGTCCACCCTATGGCTATCCCCCTCAAGACCTATGGCTCGTGCGGTGTGTCTATAGTTCCAATCCAGGAGACGCCCCGCAAGGAGGCCCCCGAGAATGACTCCTAGTCCCCCAGGGAGAAAGCAGAGACCAACAAACAATTCATTGTATCCGTATGTGTTTCTGAAGATGAGAGGGAGGGAAGTTTGGATACAATACCATACGGCATAGGGCGATGCAGCCATCCACAGGATTAAAATGGTGTCCCAGTAGAATATAATCTTTAGGGATATAAAAGGGTTTGGTATGATCCATTTGCCCTTTCCTGTTTTACCGGCGTTGATATCTGTTATTTGTCCTTGTGGCATGATGGCATTATCCGTTTCAGGATTGTTACCCAACTTGGGAATCTTCTCAACCAGCAAATTCCACCACGTCCTCCATATACTCTGTGGATAGACGGCACCATTGCCAACTACTGTTCTTGCGGTTTCTGGTAATGTCCATCCGATGAATAGAAGAGATATGATCCCAAAGATAAACAAAGCCCAGAAACACCACATGGCATCCCCCGAGGCTAGGATAGCGCCACCGCCAATTACAGGCCCGATGCAGGGGCCGAGATTTGTCGATGTAAGCATGGGACCTAGAATTTTCCCACGTTCGGAGTGAGGCGAGACGTCTGCTACAACGGCGTAGGCAAGGGACATGACAGCTGATCCTCCAATGCTCTGGAGGCCACGCAATAAGATGAGGGCGGTATAGTTGGATTTATTCAGAGCTAGTCCGAGACTGGCACAGACATAAATTGAGAACGTCATGAGGAAGACTGGACGGCGGCCCAGGGTGTCAGAGAGTGGAGCCCAGAATGCGGGCGAGATGGCCTGGAAGATCACATAGCATGTGATAGTGAGATTGACGAGTTGGACGGATACGTGGTACTGGTTACTCAACAGATCGATGAGGGGGAAGTAGATGGTGGCCGTAAGCGAGGAAGCGAGAGTGAGATATCCGAGGAGATATGTGATGAACCATATTTTATTGCGTGTGAAGACGGTATATGGCTGAAAGATAGACATTGGGTTAATATTTGGTAGAGATGTGGGTAAATAGGTAGAGATAAGCTTAGAACCTTGGAGCTTAACCTATATCTGTTCCCATGGTTTGGCTGAGTTTAAAAAGAGGGGAAAAAGCCTCCAGAATTGAGAACTACACGACACACATCATGTGGGGAATCTGGTTACTGTAGTATATCACCACTGTGCTGTATCGTTACGAAATCGAGAAATCTATGTTTTCTATTGTGTGCATACGACGTACATGGCATGTATATAAGTACACAGTACTGTGTGGTTTTTTCAGGTTCTCGTGGAACAACGACAACGGGTAGATGGTAGGACTTGGAACCTTCCAACAGGCCTTTCCAAGAAACACCCGATTATCTCAGCATAACCCCTCTTTCCGAGGTCCAACCTTGAAAGCTTGAAAGCCTTTGTGTCAAAGGACTTCAGAGGACTTTCTCTTCCTTCGATCAGTTTCACAATTTACCGATTCAGTCTCACCTGCTTCCTTTATATTTGCTTTATCTGGAAGTCTATAATATGACAGGGGAGCAGAATCACCACATGGAATGGCAACTCCCCCAGAGCATTCTAGAAAGTAAGTCATGCTATGTTATTTCCCCGAGACAGATCCCTACAAAGTGCCTCAGTACTGAAATTCATTCAGATCTTCCAATCGCTGGCAGTAAAGTAGTCAATGTCACCCAATACGGTAAATCGCATTACGGGCAAACTACACAGTTAACAGTCCAGCTTCCCTCGGGATTGTTTGAAAGTTATTTTTTAAAGGTAGGGAAAGAGGATACCATTCAATGATCCGAGCGAGAAACCCATCCCCGGAGAATAGACTTCTCACTAACTCAGTAGATCCTAAAAGGAGAACTTGGAATGATCACCTGTCGAGGCGAGTATGAGTCCCTCAAGTCAATCTCCTCGGTGTGCGCACATACCCCAAAGCCACTAGGATGGGGCAGGTACAATAAGGACAATAGTGATTATTCATTTCTCCTCGCTGAGTTCTTGACTATCCGGAAGCAGGTAGGCTCTAAATCCACCCTAAGATTCTTTTATTTATCCCCGGTGACCTTTTATTCGAAGATGAATAATGATTTTAATTTATAGCCGGCGGATGCGAAAGCTCTCCCTGCTGCTCTGGCAGAGCTGCATCTGAAATCTCAATCACCCACGGGCAAATTTGGGTTCCATGTGCCCACCTGCCATACTCGTAATGTCCAGGCTGTCGACATTTGGACAGATTCATGGTGTGAACTGTTCTCTAGTCATCTTTCTCGCATTATCTCTCATGCCGAGACTGGTTTTGCGTCGCCTGTGTTTGATCAGCTTGGAAAGCTTGTTGTTTCAAAGGTCGTTCCTGCTCTCCTTTTACCGCTACAGGCGGATGGGCGCTCAATTAAACCATGTCTTATACACGGGGACTGCTGGGATGGAAACACTGCAACTGGGGAAGATGGCCGTGCTTTCTTTTTTGATGTTGCGTCCTTCTATGCACACAACGAATACGATTTGGGGAATTGGAGAGCCCCCAGGCATGCTCTTAGTGCTCCGGCCTATACGGATGCCTACAAAGCGTTGGTTCCGATGTCTGAACCAGGTGAGTAATTACCGTAAGAATATACCCCAGGAGAGGGAAAAAGGCAGAACTGACACATGATTTGTTTTGATCTGTCAAGTCGAGGATTGGGATAGTAGAAATCTGCTTTACTCGCTGACATGGAACATATGCAATGCATTGTTTGTGCCTCTCTCCACGCAAAAACCACAGTGAATCTATCTCCCCGGAGTTGGGCTTTTGTTGCAGGTTGGCTGATTTCCGATCTTCTTTTAACAGGGTGTTCAAAGACATGATTGCTCTCTGTGAGAGAGTTTGTCCGGATGACTTTCATGACGTACTACCTGAGTTAGACAACACAGAGAAAATCACTTATCTGCCAATGCTTGATATTGAGGACTGAACCATGCTATACTGAGCCTGAGGAGGAAGGCCCAAATAGCTCATCCTGTCTGAGAGTCAAACTTCCCTTTCTGGGCCCATCAGAACTGCCTTGGTGTGTGAAATCAAGGCCTCGCTTGATGATGACAAGCTCATTTAGTTTGACAAAGATGATTTCGCCTTTACGCCCAAGATCCAGTAGCAATTGACCGGTGGAACCAATCCAGTCATTAGGAATAAAAAAGTGTCGTATCATAGGCTCCTCCCTCTTTTTTAGATTGACGGAGCAAACCCAGCGGTCAATGTCAAGATATACTAGTCGTTCATCAAGCGCCCCAATAAGTGTCTCGACTCTTGATGATACAGCATCAAAGCTGTGCACGGGGGATTGGATCACGTTGTCCGAAATGAAGTTTCTGAAATCCCACACATGTATTTGTGGCTCAGAGGACTGAGTGGTTGAGGCGTCCTTTGTTATTGTTGCAAAGAAACGGGGGTCGTGGAGAGGGATCACGCGATCGATCACTGTCGAGGGTTGAAGCAGATGATCCAGAGAAACAGTGTTGAGGCATTCCAGAGAGGTCCAGTTGTATGCCAATGCCCCTGTGGGCATTACAAGAAGCAGATGATCGGGACACGAGGCACTCTGAGTCCAATATCTTCTGCCTTTGACCTCCTTGCGAACGAGAGGAGTCTTGTTTCTAGAGTCAACTAGATCCCAAAGAGTATCCTCAGTTTCGGTAGTTACAAGAAGCCTAGAGTGTTTGTTGCATGCAAGCAGTTGCTGTATACCTGCTTCAATGTATAGATCCAGAAAAGGCCCTTGAACACTCCATCTCGATCGTGGCAGTCGCATAAGCCTCCTGCTTACGACGTGACTGGCCGAGTCTGCGCATGTGAGAATACCCTCGTCAAAGTGGAGGAAATTGATCGGTATCCCAGGAGTTTGTACAAACAGTTGCTGGCTCTGAAGTTCAGACGCAATGTCGTAGACATGTACGGACCCATCCTCCTTTCCACAGAAGACAATCGAGGCAGATCGAACGCAGATAATCGAAGTGATGCTTACGGTTTCCAAAATGCGGTAGTCTATCTCCTGTGCGTTAGTTGAGACGGATACCGTGTCACTGTTTATGTCGTCAATATCCTGTCTCTGTAACACTGCAGGGTCCCAGATCCGGCATTGGTGGGCCCGAACGTCAAGGAGTCGAGTATTGTCCAAAGTGAAGGTGAGGATCTCGGATCCAAACGGGTCCCCGTCAAAGTTTAGCCGATAAATCATTTTAAGCGTTTCCATATCGTACAACTGAATTGTGCCCTGCGAGTCGGCAGTTACTAATGTGCGGCCGTCTGGGGAGCACGCCAGCGCGTGAGCATTCACCCCCCGTAGAGCACCTCTAACACCACCGGATGAGGTATCGTACACCATAGTATCTCCATCTGAGTAAGCCGCAACAAGAATATTTGCGTCAACAGCAGGGCTGAAGGCTAGAGTCCAAACCGTTGTGCTTCCGTTGCTTTCTTTCAACGACTCATATAGCGACCCGGACTCCTTCTCATAGACGTCGTGGATCTGTTCTAGCTCAAAGTCCCACAGGATCAGATACTCCCCGCGATAGATAATTGCCAGGAGTCTTTGATGAGGGCAGAACGCTGCGCCCGTAGGTTGCCTGAATTGGATATCACGCTTTTCAAAATCCTGCGTCCAATTGGTAGGCTCGTTCTGGATGATACCGCCATTTTGGACATCCCAGTATAGCAATTGATTGTTCTTCAATGCACCAAGTAGAAAACGGTCATTTTCCGTGAATGTCAGGGCGATGCATATTGCTGAGACTGGGAGCGTGCAAATCTTGGACCAGGAATCCAAGTTCCATACAGATATTGATTTTACACCGGCCGACGCGAGATAGTTTCCGCTCTCCCCAAATGTCAATTGCAACACCGCTCCTTGCTGCTGAATAGCATTGCATTCCTGGCACGTGGTACTATCGTAAAAGATGATTTTCCCATTTGCCATGCCCATAGCCATGTACTTGTTTGATGTCGCCACGCTCATGATCTGCCACGAATTGGAATGTGATATAGTGGCCATGCAGTCATCCCAAGTATGCAAAGATGAACCATGCACAGATAGCCCTCTAGGCGATGAGCCAAATAGCCGACGCACAGTCGAATCGCGGGGACAGAATGGGGGTATGAGGTGGTGGATTGACAACGGGTGGAGAGAAAGTTGGTGACCAAATCTAGTTATGAGATGAACCATATCATTTCCCCACTCTTGGATGAGCCGAAGATCTTTCTTCAGACCCATTGGGGGTGTATGTTGGGAACGCCGAGTTAACAGGTTGTCGATGGCCTTCCCGGCATGAAACACTAATTGCAGATCTCCATGTCTGGCAAGATATTCAATCCAACTCAGGATATTAGGTGACATGAGAAACTTCGCCAGGGCGACGAAAATATCCTCATCCGTTGATCTAGCCAAAGTCAAGTGTTTGAAGACAAACTTGCATGCATAATCTGCGAACGGGGACTTCTTCTCGACCTGTGTGGAGAGACTCAATTTTCTTGACCGAGGAGCTTTCATCTCGCTGCTGGAGAGGTACTGGAGACATGCTAGAGCAATCTGCCTGTGCGCATGTGACTTTGAAATTTCGAACTCTGGAACGCTGTTCTGACGTAGGAGGAAATCTCGCGCTGTCGAATGGATTAACCGGACCATTTTCTGGCTGTCAACGTAGGCGATGTTGCGACAACATGTGTTGATAGAGCGCTCAACGTCGTTGATGCGGTCACTTATGTCCAGCTCAATGGCCTGGTTTATCTCATCTATTGAAAGTGGCCGAAAAGAGCAGGCTGTCCAGGTAAGAATAGATTTTGCCAAATCCTTCCCGAATCGGGTGTTGGCCATATCGCTGAGAATCTTGCTGTAAAGATTGTCCATGCTATCAGAGCTGCTAGCCAAAACTCTCCGGATATCGGCCGATGTATTGGCTTGCTGGAGTTCCTTCAGCACCAAGTCGACACAGAGGAAGCAACCGTTTGACGTCTCAGTAATGTCGTCCACCATAGCCTTTTTTTCATCAATATTCCTTGACGGCAGTGAATCAATATGGGCTTGCAGGAGAAGTGATATATCTTTCTTTGTGTCCTGCTCCCCGATGACCTCCGATACGACTTCAATTGTCTGGTTCGTAAACCCCATAGAAGTCATTGGATATCGAGAGGTCACCAAGATGGACAACGGCCAAAGCTCCTGGGCCTTTGCCAGCAAAGACATGAGCTCAGAGCCTGCCTTGCACTCATCCAGAGCATCGATTACCCAGTATTGCTGCTTCATCAAGCGAATCTTGAGAAGACCGCGGAGGTAAAGTCTTTGCCAAACAGGATTATGGTCCGACTTGCTGATTGTTGCGTCCTGCCACGCCGCCGCAACGTCTAATACAGCTGACAAAATGTCGCCGTGTAACTGGGCCATTTGCCAAGCCAACGATCTTAAGAAAGAATTTATGGATACTTTTGATTTGTCCTCCTCCTTGAAGAAGAAAAAACAGCAATCTTGCCCCGATTCCCGCAGATGGTTAATGATGTGACTGGTTAAAACAGTCTTTCCCGCACCTGGTCGCCCTCGTAGCCAAAGTAGTTGGGAACAGGAAGAATCCTGCCATCGTTTGAAAGAGGGTTTGTGTAGGAACCAATCACATGAGCCCAAAATCCTATTGTCATCTTGGCTCATCAAGTCCCCTTCTGGGGCTTCGGATAGGCTAAGGAATGTATTCAAGGCTTCCAGTCGATCCCCCTCAACTCTTTGGCCCTGCGATATTTGGGAGCCCCGTTTGCTCTCAATGTATGCTGCCAGTGAGTTCCTAATTGCAAGGTAGGAAGGATCATTGGTAGACGCAAAACGAGCGACATCGCGGTGATTCGCGTTTAAATACATCTTTCTTTCGTTGACGTAGTTCATTACCGCGGAGCTTTTGTCTACAATGAGCCCTCGCCCAAAGACATAGTTCATCGGTTTGTTTTCATAAAACGAAAAGAGTTGTAGGTCACCACAAAGCTGGGGGAATTCTTCGTTGATCGATTCTAGCGCAGGCGATCCTGGAAAAAGGTCCTGTACGAATGCCCGGGTCCCTGAAACCACCTGTAGAAGTCGACTCAGGGTCTGCGCAAGATCTGCCCCTTGGTGGGGCGTTGCGAGGAAGAATATGGCGCAGATTCTGCGAACAAGTGGCCTCATATCTTCACTATCATGGGCAAAAATGAATGCCTTCTTGATGACGAGTCCACCCATGCTGTGACCAACCAAAATCAATGGTATCTTATGACATTGAACGATTAGCTGCTTAACTCTGAGGCTCTAAAAAGGGTCCAAAATTAAATCACCTACCTTGCTCTCTCTCAGGATGACAGGTGAATCATGTATAGAGTACAGTAGGGATCGTGCAAAATCCGGGATATTAAGAACAGACCCCTGCGCAATGGCAGAAGCATATCCGAAAGTATGGATTCGCACATCCTGGAAAGCTTGGTCCTTAGGGAGCCATTCTTGAGGCCAAAATAATGATGGATCTCCATTCTTGGTCCATGTGCTTTGAGAGCCCCCGTTGATCCCATGGACAAATATCAAGTCGACCACTATGTCATCAGGAGGGCTGTATACGGTGGTGAGACCGATTGGACCCTTAGTGCTAGCCTCTTGGTCAGGCCAGTCCGTAGTAGTGGTGGTGGTATCCCTGCGGGTGAGGGTCCGGGTAATAAGAGACCTGGTGGTGGCGATGGACACGAGGGATTTGCGTCTGTCTCCGTATTCTGATCCCATTTTTTATTCAATTACTACCCATAGAGTCACACGTACGTGGGATAGAGGCTGAATGTTTTTGTGCTTTTTGTGGATATCATCGGGGGAAGGGAGCAATTCCGAATTTTGGATGATTTTGACATGGGTCTCCCAGGATTACCCTGCACAACACCCATTCTAGCAAAGCTCGGCATCCTACGGAATAAAACTCATCCTGATAATATGTATTCGATGGCACAAAACTTGCCACGTCACGGTGACCTGCAGGGACGAATTCAAGCAATCAAGTTTGAGCTTGTGAATCCCTCTCCCGCCTCCTTCTCTCTCAAAAATAGGTCGTAATTCGCGCTTTCGGGGCTTTGTTGTCTATTCAGAAACCGAGTGATTGATATATTAACCGGAACACATAAATTTATAATGCTCTATATCGTTCCTCCTACAATCCATTCCCTTTCCAAAAAAAAAGCATTATAACATGGAACTGTCAAAACTTCTAATGTTGGAAAAGCTGTTGTGGGGGGTTAACTATGGACTTCCACCAATTTTTCCATGTATCTTAGCGCCTCTAATCAGGATGCTATATATAATTGGCCAACTAACGCAGTGTGACGGGACCAATGTGATGAGCGTGCATATAGAAGGCTGCACCCCAGGAGCGGCAATGGATCTAGAGCATTACCCCGCCTATTATTCATGTTGCCCTAAGTCATAAAAAGCCTCAATCCCATGAGAAACACCTTCGACAAAAGAGATTGAAAGCAGACACATGATGGTTGATTCATCTATCTGGGACCAGGAGATCGCAGTACCCGCAAGTGTTATAACATTTGTGGATGATAATGTTTCGAAGTGTAAGAAAGTTCTCTTGTTCTCTTGTTTTCTTGTTTTTAATCCCTGACTAAATTTCATACTACTATAGATTTCCCTGAGGGTTCAACCGTGGTCAGCATCTCTTCATATGGTGCCTCGTACTGGACAAGAACTGCCGAGATTAAGACGACTGATTCCGCCGGAGATAGTATCTCATTCTTTTTGAAAGTGAGTAGCATTAGAAATTTATCTAAAGTTTTGTGTTGCTTATTCTGCGATACATCAGGTTGCGCAAGGCGACATCGGTAAAGGGATGCTTCATGGCGAGTTCCATTCCATGACAGCTATCCATAAGGCTATGCCTGATATTGCCCCCCAGCCCATAGGACATGGGACCTACGAGGAGGATTCCGATACTCACTTTTTTCTCTGTCGCTTTCACAACATGTTGGATCGCCTCCCCCACCCCAAAATCTTTCCTGGTATATTGGCCCAACTACATAAGAGGGGAATATCCCCAAACGGGAAATTTGGATTTCATGTAACAACTTATCAGGGAGACTGCCCCAGAACACGACTGAGTGCGACACATGGGAAGAATGTTTCTCGAATGGCATCGAGCAGTTCTTCGACGCCGAGGAGGAGGCTCAAGGCTTCGACCAAGAAATGGCTGTTCTCAGAAAAGGGATAATGGAAAAAGTAATTCCGCGGTTGCTACGACCATTGGAGACTGGTGGAAACAAGATCCAGCCATGTTTGGTGCACGGGGACTTGTGGGATGGAAATACGTCGGTTGATGCCGAGACTGGAAAGCCCTTGATTTTCGATGCGTGTTCATCATACGCGCATCACGAATGTGAGTTCCATAGTAGGATAGCGAACAATACTAAGTCACTGCTAAAGATGCTTTCTGGGTTACAGATGAATTGGCTCCATGGAGGCCTGTGAGACACAAGATTGGAACGCCGTATGTGACGGAGTATCTCAAACATTTCTCTGCATCCAAGCCAGAAGCGGATTTTGACGATCGGAATGCATTATACTGCGTGTGAGTCACTAAAAACATAATCCTTTCAATCCAGATAAGAACCAATTGACTGAACGGCAATCATAGGAGGTTTAATTTATGCTCATCGGCTCTATACCCGGGAAACCTTCGCTTCAGAAATATGTAGGTGTTCCTGAAACTCCTCGCCATGAAGATATAAAACTAACTGGACTGGCTACAAAGCGTGAAGCAGGAGATGCGTGATCTTGTAGAGAAATTTCCAGCAGGATACGAAGATGATGATCGCAAGACTGCGAAGATGTATAGCGGCCAGGAGTCGGATTCAATTAGAATGCTAGTTGCTGCCTGATTGTGCTTGAATATGTCTAATTTTGATGCTGCTTTTAACACCATTCCATACCGTCTACTGTAAATAAGATTATAATCGAACCTATTCCCACGTGGATTATCAAAAAATCCATCATATCCACCGAAGCCTCAGTGTTAAAGCCCTCAGACTGCACAAAGATCTAGGTAGTAACAAGCAATTTAATTGAATCAAACCGCTGGGCTCTATACACCTTCACAGCAAAACGAAATTGGAGGTCAATTTGTAGGAGATGAAGGGAGAGAAACGAGACCATATCTATCTTCATGAGTGATTTAGTATGCGTGCATTATGAAATACATAGATATGAAGTTCATTGGTGAATATATAACTAAATTACGACACTGGTTGGGAAAGCTCCTGTGTGAACGAGGTGAGCTAGCTGTAGGAAGGTTTGACTGTCCCCAATAAATGCCACCGTGATAAAGATGTTGCTTATCCTCTAAGGCCTCTGTTTCGAGTATATGCAAGGGATGAAGTAGTATCTATATTAGGTGAATGGGTGGATATTCAAGCTGATAAAGCTCTTGTACCGAGGTTGGTGTTACCAAAAGAATATTCCACTAACATTTACATCAATGAACTGATCGCATGGGTGCATCATGTCCGTTGTGTCTTTCACAGCGAGGACTCGGCGGAAGGTAATTCCCTCCAAATAATATATGTTATTTTTTGTAGATTCAATTCCACGTGGTCAAGAATCGGTCAACACTACTATATTATATATAAATTAATTCTTATCCCGTAGAGTGCATCTCATAATCCTCCTCCTCCACCATCCATTCCTGTGTCTGGTGAATAATCAGACGTTGGCTATCCTGCGACCGCCGGGAGATAGTCAGAGTCAAATCAATCTCATCCGCTTCCCCACGGTCTTTTGAGTAGACGTGGGATTTATTGGTAGGGGCGCTCTCTCCGGTAGGTGTGAAATACGAATTTTGGCCGCTGCGATTTGTGACGCCCTGGCCCCATCCTGTGTTGAATACAATGACGAACGGTTTTAGACATGGCACGGTGGATACCATAATGCTGCTGTGAAGGAGAACTGCGGTCACGACTAGCGCATCTGATAGATGCAGAGGTGGGTCGGGATAGAAAAGCGAGCGGTTAAGATAAGTTTGACGGAGTATAATCAAGATGATGACCCTAAATATCGTAGAAAAATGATTAGCTTTTGTAGATATCTTTCTCTTTATCTCTTTTTATTGCTATATTAGATACTCACGGGAACCTCGTTCCAAATGCGAAGATTACAGTCCACTTTTGCTTCCACCGCATTTGAATTCCCCATACCAATAAAACACACAGTCCAAAGGTAAGGACTTCTGTAGTCACATCAAACGCAGTAATGATCTTCCAGGCCAAATTCTGCTCGACCTTGTTAGTTAGATCTTTTTATGCGAGTGAGGATAACGCACAATATTGCTACAATGTTGGGTCATGGTAAGTTGGTATTGTGGGAAGCAACTGAGGGCAACCGCAACAATCGAAGCAAGTGTCCACGCCACCATCATGCCCAAAAGGATCTTGGAACAGAGCAAATAGCTTTTCTGTCGACCCAGTTGCTTGAGAAGCAAACACACGGAAATCTTGGCCGCGCCGTGCCCAGCCAGGAATAAGAGGTTCGCTGCATAGATGCCCTAAAATGACATCTGTCAGTTTATTTCCCCTTTTTTTTCAGTAGCATCACAGAATGATTTGAGGTTTGAGGTTTGCAAGGGAAATCACCTTTCCGGCGCGTATTGCGTCTGACAGCAAGTTTTCATCCTCTGATCGGCCCAGACCATGGGAAACCGCATCCATGATCGCTCCTACATGGGCGATAGCCATGACCTAGATGATCAGACAGACACATATTAGAAAGCCAATTGGCGATGGGGCTAGGGAAGAAAGAAATTATTGGGATGTAAGAGTCATAACAAATAGAGACTTACACTCCCGGTAAACACTACCAAATCATCAATCTTCACTGGTCCATTGATCGCGAGCCGCATGTATAGTCGAATCAGACTCACTATTATCATCCACGTCATAAATAGTGTTTCAAAAATGACAATTAAGCCACTTCTATTCGTTGCGGAGACTGCATAGGGAGAGACGGACGCCATGAGGGAGGTCGAGATAGGTGTGCGGCGACGGGGACCGAAAAGCAGAGAATTGGCGATGGGTCATGATGATGACTTTTGAGAAAAACTGGAGCTATATTTGCAGTGTTTGAATGAATCGTAGGATTAAATGAGCGACAGGGATGCTGGTACTCCTTACTCCGTAGGCTTTTGTACATCGTGCTGGTATTGTTTGAACATACTCCGTTAATTCCGGGGGCTTGTGAACGATGTACTCCGTACTCCGTACTATTTTTTGGTGGTCTTTTACTCATATTTACGAGTGGATTATAACAGATTAATTTTTCTCCCAAGTGGTCGACCAGTCAATTTCGGCTTTTTCACGTCGACTTCAATTCTCAAATAGGAAGACCTAGGCAGTCCCAAGTAATTATTGGTCAAAACGAGTTATTTATTAATTCGCAGTTGACCTAAATTCATTAAGACAGGTATCAAAGGCCTAAACTAACATTAATTATGCATCTATCACGGAGCACGGCGAGGTGAGATGGTACGTTCCGAATCCACGAGCCAAGCTCGGGCAAAAACTAGCAAGGGTTTGGTGGACCACTATTTATAAATCAAACTTCTTATTCGCATAGTATAATACAATGCTATATGTTATAATTAATTGTCGGGCGGGATCTCCCGAATTGGCCGAGGCGCTGTTCATAGAGTACGCGTGCATCGTAGCGAGCTGTGGAGCTAATATCGAGGGAATTGAATCCACCCAATTGGATGATTTCAACAACTGGTCTATGTGCCTGGGATTGTGATCCTAAATGGGGCCAGACTACGGTGGAACTTCAGACCAAACCCGAAGATAGGGTCCTTTCACTTTGAATCATACAAAAGAGGCTAATGTATACCACAATGGAAAAAAAAAACACTTATTGCGTGGGGCCGGGACGGCATATGCAGGTTTTACTTCAGACGACTGGCGCGCTTTTGTAATACCCTAATGCATTGTACTTTGGCCACTGCCAACCATAACCTCTGCATGTTGACCAGGGTTCGGGAGGGATATTAAGCATTCTTACTATTCTGGTTTCTCGATGTCAAGGCAGTATCTGCCCCTTTTAGCTATCTTAAAAAAAATTTACCTAAAGCCCGGATACATTCTCGCCCTAGTGGCGTGCCACGTCTACTCCGTGGCTGCTTTTTCTTTCTTCACCTCCACTGATTTTTCTTTTTACTTGTTGATAATCACATATTACTGGGGTTGAATTGATAATCATTCACAATGGGGCGCGAGGAGGGGATAATGATGAATGTCCAACACTTCACGCCGGAAAAGGCGCCATCCATGGATGGCGTCTCCTCCAGAAGGGCAGGTACAGCACGGGACAAGCAAGACATGTGGCGTGCCGGGCGAGACCAGGAATTGAATGTATGTACTCCATAGCTCTGCGCGACCTTTCTACGTCTTCCTTCTCGAATCACGAAAGCCAGAAGAAAGAAGAAAGCAAAAATGACACATCTCGCAGAGAAACTTCCGTTTTCTTTCTGTTCTTGGGTTTACGGCGGTGCTGATGTGCACATGGGAAGCAGTCCTCTTGTAAGTTTTCTCTGGGTATATTCCGTACGGAGTACTCATCGATATATTCCCTCGAAGGGAAAACCCCATTATATTATGATGGATCGTGTGCTGACCTAACATATTAGTGGCTCATCTTACGGATTGACCAATGGTGGTAAAGGAGGTATGATCTATACTTACCTGGGGGGCCTGGTGGGGTTCAGCTTTGTGATCCTCTCGATGGCTGAAATGGCATCCATGTATGTATAGTTCAGGTGTCTTGACAATTCTTGGCAAACTGAGACTTCTAACCCTTCTTTCCGATGATTTCAGGGCCCCATTGTCCGGCGGTCAGTATCATTGGGTATCAGAATTTGCACCACCCAGTTCGCAAGCCCTATTGAGTTACATCACTGGCTGGATCTGCGTGTTGGGGTGGCATACCGGTATTGCAGGATGCTGCTATACAGTAGCTAACATGATGGTTGGCGTGATTTCCATAAACTACCCTGACACATATACTTATCAACCATGGCATGTCACACTGCTCGTCATTGCGGTGGCTCTGGTAGCCTTGATGTTCAACACTTTTCTGGCCCAGAAGCTCCCATTGATCGAGGGAATCATCTTGTTTGTGCACTGCTTCGGCTTTTTTGGAATCCTGATCCCACTTTGGGTCCTGTCCCCTAAAGTTACTGCTTCCGAAGTATTTGGTTCGATTGAGGACCGGGGGGGATGGGGCAACAATGGACTTTCGTGCATGGTGGGGCTGGTTGGACCTATATATGCATTGATCGGTATGCCTTTGCTTTGGTGGTCTCTGTTTTGGCCGTTGCTAACGATCTATCTCGAAAAGGTCCCGATTCAGCAGTTCATATGGGTACGTATCCTTTTACTATCCAAAGTGTGTAGGGGACACGTCTGATACCATAATACAGCCGAGGAAATAAGAGATGCATCCCGGGTGCTCCCTATGGGTATGCTCTGGACATTGATCCTCAATGGGTCTACTGGGTTTGTCATGATAGTCACGTTTGCGTTCTGCGTGGGCGACATTGATCAAGTGCTTGGGTCTGAAACAGGCTTCCCCTTCATCCAGGTCTTTCTCAACGCTACAGGATCAGTCAGCGCCACGACGGGAATGACGGTGATTATCATGATCATGCAATTTTGCGCGGCAATCAGCAATGTTGCCACAACCTCTCGACAGGTCTATTCTTTCGCCCGAGACAAGGGTCTTCCTTTTTCCAGTTTCTTTGCAAAGGTGGGTTTTTCGATATGTGAAAATCTATCGCTTTGGCTAAAAGAGGGGGAAACAGGTTAACCCGACCTTCACTGTTCCACTGAATGCCCTTTGCGTCAGTCTCGTGATTGTCTCTCTTCTTTCCTTGATCAACATCGGATCCTCTGTGGCTTTCAACGCCATTATGTCTCTTGGTACAGCTGCTCTTCTGTCCTCCTACATAATTTCCATCACCTGCGTTCGTCTTCGACGCTGGCGCAATCAGCCCCTTCCGCCGGCACGTTGGAACATGGGCAAGTTTACCCCAATCTGTGATACCATTTCCATCCTCATTTTGCTGGTAATCTGGGTGTTCAGCTTCTTTCCCTTGACCAAGGAGGTAGATCCAACTTCCATGAATTGGAGTGTGGCTATCTTTGGGGGAGTTGTTGTCGTTTCACTCGGTTATTATGTGATTTATGCCCGCAAAGTCTACAAGGGTCCAGTGACGCGGGTGAAAACGATACAGGGATGATACACACATGATATGATTGGCAATGATTAGACAGTCAGATAGATCCTCTCATTTCAGAACAAATTTTACAAGTTTCCTACCTACCTACCTACCTAGGTAGGTAACTATGAAGGTTTGGTCAGCATCACGTGCTCCAGGCTGAAATCCTGAAGGCGGTGTAGGCATACTGCCCCCACAGAATTCCTCCAAGTCAAAAGAGTAAGAGAGTCCAGATCGAGCCAACCTGGGCAGGGAGAAACCACCTTGCAATATGATTGACCGATCGGCCCATTCATAATTTTCACGTCCCTTACTACCGATGTGCCAATCTACTACTAGGTACAGATCTATCTTATGTAATATCGGCCCACTTCCAACATTCCAACATTCAAAATCTACGTATCACTGCCTCTGCTCTCTAGTTGTCTGGTGATTATCAAGAGACTTTAGTACATCTCATGTCATCGTCAGAGCCAGCCCAAGCTGAACCACCCAAGTTCAAATTAGCGCAAGAGAGGGAACTGTACAAGTATGTGGACAGGGTTCCAACATCCCACTATAGCCCCTCATTCTCTTGATTCTCGTCACTACTGAAGTGCAAGCTAAAATTTTACATTGATCTAAAGATATCTTAAACTCAACGAAGTTTTTCAATCTGGCCCAAGCGTCCTCGACACGCCTGAAAATGCGCGAATTCAACATACTGCCTACGTTCCCCGATCGTCGCCAGATACCGCGTTGACGGCCTTCGCCCAGTTAGGAGTTTTGAGGTTGAAGGCCCAACGTGCCTTGATTACGCTCTTTGGTCGAGACCAACATTATATCCTTGCAGAGGCCACTGAAACACTCAGTCTTCAAGATCATACCGTGGAGAATGATAGGGATGCCTTATGGTTGGGTTGCTGCGTTGTGCCCAAGGAGGAAGGGATATGTCAACAAGTTGCTTCCCTACCGAATATCAAACCAGAGGACGAAAAACACACGATAGAGGGGGGTATATACATGGTACCTGATCTGCGTGAGGATGATCGATTTAACAAATTGAACATGGTGGCCGGCTTCCCCAAAGCAAGGTTCTATGCAGGCGCCCCCATAATCAGTTCTAAAGGGATCATCATCGGATCTTACTGCATTATTGATGACGAGCCACGATCCGGATTAGAACCCCCGTCGATAAAGTTCCTGCAAAATATGGCTTCGACCGTCATGACCCACTTAGACATGGCCCGATGCAAAGCGGAACACCATCGCGCAGAGCGAATGGTTGTGGGATTCGGAAGTTTTGTGGAAGGAAAAGCAACCCTCCGCAAAGAGTGGGTACAGGATACTGGACTACGCCTGAATGAACAAGGACATGGCGAAGGCCACCTGAATATAGTGCAACAAAATGCACAAATCAAATCCGGTCTGCTCACAACAGTCCACACTCGCCCATCATCCCCACCGCTGCAGTCACAATCCTCCCCGCTAAATAGTCACGAGCAATTCAAACGCTCCGATTTGTCTGACGTACCATCGCCGAGCCTCTTCCCAAGACCATTCTCTTCGTCGTCAAAGTCTGACAAGAATTCAGACGCCAGTATCGACCAGATATCAAGTCCCAGCAAAGCCGAAACACAGACTAGTTTCTCTGTCCGAAGCACGGTATCGACCGAAAATCTACAAGACGACATTCTGTCCATCGGAGTTCGACAAATCTTTTCGCGGGCAGCTAACATCATCAGGGAGTCGATAGAAGTTGAAGGCGTCGCGTTCTTCGACGCGAGCATCGGGTCTTATGGTGGTCTCGTCAGTGATACGAAGCGAAAGGGGCCAGGCTCGGATAGCGGTACTCTGGAAAGCTCGATGGGCAGCAGTGACGATAGCACCGGATCTGATTACCAGAAAAGCTCTACCGCATCAGCCGGGAAGGAGACAGTTCCAGAGAATACGACTCTATGTGAAATCCTAGGTTTCTCGACTTCGGCTACATCCAGTATCAACGATGACTCGAAAGGAAGACTTGCCCTCCGGGAAGTGTTACTGAAGGCGCTCCTGCGGCGTTACCCACAGGGCAAGATTTTTAATTTCAGCGAGGAGGGATCGATGTCTTCGGACGAAAGCAGTGATGGCCCTTGGAAGAGCTCGTTGGACCGTGAGGACTCAAACCAGATCAAGACCAACCTCGTAGGTGGAAGAGGTAGAGGGAACCGGAAAAAGACGCGCAGTGCCACGCTCAAAGAGGATGGAAATATTCTCATTCGACTCTTCCCAGGAGCTCGTAGTATCGCTCTTCTGCCGATGTGGGATTCCCACCGAGCTCGGTGGTTCTCGGGCGCTCTGGTTTGGACAAATACACCTCAACGTGTCTTCACGTCCGAGACTGAACTCACGTATCTGTCAGCCTTCGGAAATAGTATCATGGCGGAGGTACATCGCCTGGATGTCGAGATGTCCGAAAAGGCGAAAACAAATCTGGTCAGCAGCATCTCGCACGAGTTACGAAGTCCTCTCCATGGTATTCTTGGCACGTCAGAAATACTTCGGGACACGGCAATGAACGCACTTCAGCACGGGTTGGTACACACTATTGAATCGTGTGGGCGGACATTGTTGGATACGATCAACCATTTGCTGGACTTTTCGAAGATAAACAATTTTCGGAAGGAAGGTAGCAACAAAGCTCTTCATAAACGGAAAGGCCCTTCAAAACGTCACAAAAACACAGATCCATCACCTCATAGCCTGCAGCCATCACGACGGTCAAGGCATAGTGGTATGATTAGTCTGAAGTCTGATATCCAGTTGGATGCGGTTTTGGAAGAGGTAATGGAAAGCGTCTTCGCAGGCTATAGTTTCTACCACAGCCCACAAAGGTCGATGACGATAGACCGTCCAAACCACATGGCACTCGACGTGTTGGGGCCCTTCCAGCAAGAAAATCAGGTCAGCATCATCCTGGATATCGACCAAGGTGCCGAATGGAGATTTTTCACCCAAATAGGTGCCTGGCGCCGAATCATGATGAACATTTTTGGCAACGCCCTCAAGTACACCAAAACTGGCTTTATCTTAGTGAAGTTGACGGCATCGCCTATCTCTCCCGCCAAAGATGCCGTCCCCGGAGGGCCTGCTGATTTTAAAGTGACTCTCACAGTTAAGGATACGGGTATTGGAATGAGCATGGAGTATCTCCAGAATAGTTTGTTCACTCCATTCACGCAAGAAGACTCGCTTGCGCCCGGAAACGGACTCGGGTTAAGCATCGTTCACCATGCGGTTCTGTCCATGGGTGGTCAGATCGAAGTCACTTCACTCCGGGGTCGTGGCACCGAAGTCTCGATTGAAGTACCTCTTATCCACATGCCCAACCAAAAAGCCACTGTCAGTCCATCTGAAATCGAGCCCATGTTGAAAATGAAACACGCTACACGTGGCGCGACCATGGGGCTCTTGGAGCTGGGATCACCTGACATCTCCGATCGCGATACAATTCTATGTAATTCTTTGGAGAAACTGTGCAAGAACTGGTTCGAGATGGATGTAAGTATTCTTGATCCATCGAATGCTTCTTGCCCCTCCTGCGATTTCTACATTGCAGTGCAGACAGATACCAATTCAGTCAACACTTGGGAATCTTGGTTGTCAAAACCCCAGAATTCTGCCAATGGCATTGTTGAGAATCGAAGATCTCCGATTGTGGTGATTTGTCGGTCGCCGGAGGCAGCACATCTCATGTTTGTTGCAGCAAATCAATCAAAACACGAGACCATAGTTGAATTCATCAGCCAGCCCTGCGGCCCACGAAAATTGGCCAAGGCATTGAACATTTGCATCAAGCGACAGCAAGGTCAGGACCTTCTGGCTGATAGTGACCCTAATATAAATCAAGATCAACCTCGAACAAGGCTTACGTTCCAGTCTACAGAGTCCCTTCCAGTCTCCAGGGAGGGCATCGAAACACAACGTGCAGAAGATGAGATGAATTTCCAAAAACACAAAGCAGGGAAAAAGGCGATGGATGATGAATACCGCAAGTTGGACGAAACGAAAGATCTCCAGCAACCTGGGGACACTCGTTCACAAAAAGAAAGAGATGCCATTACTTTACCAATTCGACAGGGATTGCCCAAGATAGAGGAGCCTAGTCTGACAGTGTTGTTGGTTGAAGATAATGATATCAATCTGCAGATATTGGTTGCACATATGAGGAAAGAGGGATACAGGTATACGACCGCCCGCAATGGGTTGGAGGCGTTGAACACTTTCAAAGCCCATCCTACAAAATTCGGAGTGATCCTAATGGGTAAGTTCTTGACTCCTTCTTGTACAGGAAGCTCTATTCTGAAATCGACAGATATCTCCATGCCTGTAATGAACGGGTTCGAATCTGCTCGGCTCATTCGCAAGGCTGAGCGGGCCTATCAGAACGGACTCGATTCCTCAGCGAAAGATTCATTCAGGCCCGTTACTATTGTCGCTCTGACTGGCCTTGCAAGTGCTAGTGATCGACACGAGGCCTATGGGTCAGGAATGGACCTCTTCTTGGCGAAACCAATCCAACGGAAAGAACTATTCGAGATATTGAATGAGAAGAACCTAAGCGAGGTTAAGAAATCCTCTCAATGACATGATATAACATACTAATGGCGTTGTCTCATTCTTGGTGTCAAGTATATATACGATTTTACTTGTCTTGTGTTAGCGGATGGCGTTGGTACTTTTTCTTCTTTCAATTCTACCCCTCTTAATAACCTCAGCACTGTCCATTGAGTGTTCAGTTGGGTCGTCTCGCTACGGATTTCCTCGAGCAACGGCAACATTGTAGTTGAGAGCCTTTTTTTGCGTGTGGAATAGGGATTCTCGTCCGTTCAGCCTACTTGAGCCTTATAATCTAATCGGCTAATTTTCTTATACACCCTCGGCGCTCAAGCGGCGCCTGGTGATATGGGTGAGAAGTCCAGAAACCAGCATGAACTATGTCGAACGGGTGGAAATTCCTGCTAAGGGCCAATATATGTTCCTAGGCCAAAAAAATATGAACAAGCTCGGGAGTGGCAAGGAAAATATACAGCAAATTCATATAAGCAGACGTCTACACGACCGAGAACCAAGAGTCAACAGAACCGATGATAATTTCTGGTTATGATTTTATTCCTTTGATAATTCTTTAGATGGCTTCATGTACAAACAGATAGAGGCCTAACAGCCACAAAGGACCATAAAGGAAAAAGAGAAGCATGCCGGTCCGTATCCTACTATACTGAAGCACGTATTTCAATGTTTCAAGTGTCATAGCATGTGGCTTTATATCTGAATTTCAAAACGGAAAGGTATAAGAAGCCAATATCACAGAAGTATACAGTACGATAATGTAGGGTCCCAATTGGGGTTGACTCTCTCGCCATCTGGAGTAATATCCGTTACCTACGCTCTATAGTCCGACGCAATAGGTAGACAGTCAATCAGGCATCACAATTAACGTGCACACTCAGTGACATACATACAGTCATATTTCATGAGTATTTGCACCCCAGTACTTCCTAATGCTTTTCATGTACTCTCTTCTATTGTAGCCTGCATGCTGGAGCTTCTATCATACATATATATAAGCGTGTATGTAAGCCTTCTACTTACTACTTATTACTTAACGCGTCCAATAAAGTATTAACAAGCAGAAAGGAAGGTGGCCTGAAAAGTTTGGTAGTACTGGGGTGCAAATACTCATGAAATGCCACTGTATATGTTCTACCGTACGGAATATGGAGTCTATGATCAAAAAAGGGATAGCGCAAAAGGCCACTCGGTATAACTATTTCGTGCATGGATTATGCTTTAGACTTGCTATCTATGATTGATACCCAGTCTTTCCCAAGTGACGGGCGAGTTTTTTTTTTTTTCGGGCAAAGAAAAAAGTTGTCAGTTTAAGCAAAGAAAGCGAAAGAGATAATTTATTAAAAAAAAAAGTCAAGTTGAATTATCAAAAGATATCAAAAAGGAATGGGCCCGAGCCCGGGATTGAACCGGGGACCTCGCGCAATATTGCTTTGGGTGAACCCTAAGCGCGAATCATACCACTAGACCACCCGGGCAGTTGTTAGAAACGTCTCAAAATTAGGGTTTATATTGGAAAACTCAGATTTCTCCACTTTTTTCTCAAGAACTGGCTTGGCAAAGGAGTTATGCTTTGCAACTCGTGCTCTATTCATGTCGTCGATCGCATTGAGTAACTCGAGAGAAATATCTTGAAGGCACTGCCTTAAATTCCTGGAAAGTCACCCATTTTCTATGCACAAGATAGCGAGATACGATTTTATTACAACCTTCTAGTTAGATAAAGCAATAGCCAGTTACGTATTCTAGTGGATATCGATGATGCTTATTGGCGCCACGAGCGAAAGTTGTTATTTCGGTACATTCTTTCAGTCTTGTTTGCTAATAAATAGGAAAATCTTAGGCAAACAGGCTGGAATTGGATTTGAGGGCAACTCGTTTAACAGGGAGACATAGGTAGATGAGAAAGTCGTTTATAGGCAATATATAGTGATTCATAGGATGAAATTTCCCAATCTCAGGCGATAAAATGAATGCAATTTATAAAAGAAGATCTCCCCGCTGGTTTTTTGCCTATTGTACTGTATTGTCACTAGATACGGTAGGAGTCGGTGATGTTACTTTTGTGTGGTATGTAGTAACATGGTTCCAATGGTTCTACTTTACATGTGAATAGATATCCCCATAGATTCTCTTGTTCTCGATATTGATTTCCACGAAAAAAGACAATTACATACAGGGTACTTACATCCTTATTTATTTCACTTCCGCCATATCTATAGCCTACTATTCGGCAACATCTCTCGGGCTCGTGCTGCAGCCATATGTGTCATTTGAACGAGATCTAGTGGAAAGAAGCCAACAAGAAGTATATATGGAATTTTATATCAGTAATTATGGCAAGTAGGACGAGATACTAGCTTATTTGGAGCTCTAATCTGCCGATATGATATATCTCCACTAGCACTAAGGTCTACACCAGTTAGTCGCTAGTAGCGATTTCTGGGGAATATCTATTCACTCCACAGGAAACCATTTGGCGCAGAGAAAGCGGATTTAATTCCTGCTTTTTTATTGGAATGGGATGTTTACCGCTAACGAAGCCTTTATAGTTTCCACTGGGCAAGACCTGTCGCCGATGCCGTAAAGCAAAGCCAAAGCCTATCACTTGAGGTAATAGTAGGATCTCCTCGTGCGTTTGATGCCTCCTATCGCAATACAGGAGACAGTCCTCTAACGGCATCTCATTGGTGCACATTTGATGACCCACTCTGGCATGTGTGATCTACGTGATGAGACCGGATTTTTGTACGGTATATATAGCTCAAACTGAGAATTTGATGCTTTTTCTTCCGTCTTTTTTCCCCTCGCCAACCTGTTGCGCTAGTATACTCGCTATGCTGGTGACTCTCGGCCCTATTCAGCCGAATGTCCGTCCAGCACATCTCTAAAGAGCTGATGCGCTCCTCGCCTATCACCCCCAGGCTGAAAGTAGAAAAGGATTAAAGACGACACGCTGGACTCCAGAAATGGTGGAAACACGTTGAATCATTCCTACTTATCTGGGATAGTGTACAATCCTGGCTAGCGGAGACCTTCTTAGATCTAAGTTTGGTAAATACTGCCGGGGAATGAACCTGGATAGTCTGAACTTGCTTGGGTTATTTAGCCCTTACCAAGTGGGCCTTGTTCTTTCAACACTTGCTCTCCTCACCGCGTGGGAATTAACTTCTTTTGCTCAACTATCAATGAGATACTCTTACAGGTGCGCCGCCTTTTCTCCGTTTCTTATGGCCTTGGTTTGGCCTCCACATGGTGTATCCTAACCCCATAGTAAGGGTTAATCGCAGTTTTGGAACATGATAAGACAAGCTTTGTATATGGTCTGGCGTTAGTAGATACTCCCGGAATGGCGTGGTTCTACGACATATCTGTGGGCTTATCCTCGACGTCAATGTCCCGCTCTTCGTATACATCTGAGGCAGGTGAGGTCGAGACTTGCGCCCGTAATAATCCAATTCCCTTCGAGTACTTAGCGGAAGTACTATTCTTACTCCACTATTGTTGGATCGAGCGTCTAGTGGAGGGGTGTATTAGATACATTAGAAAGGGACCCTAGGGCTTTTAGACATAGCGTGTTCTTGTTATATTCCTTAGTACCGAGTTATTATATATATTTGAGCTATTTTGTAATATTGAGTTAGCAGGATTTTGCGGCTGGGGATTTTACGGCAGCTCTGGTCAAGCCCACGCATGGAGCAGGAGTCTTGAGTGGCAGCGTAGAGGGCGCTCTTTTGGGAAGAGATTTCCAGTATGATTTGATTGGGAAAGTAAACTGTATTCTCAATTAAATAATTTTTGTTCAAGAAGACATCAACTGCCCGGGTGGTCTAGTGGTATGATTCGCGCTTAGGGTTCACCCAAAGCAATATTGCGCGAGGTCCCCGGTTCAATCCCGGGCTCGGGCCCACTTAATTTTTTTGCTTTTTGCTTTTTTTTCTGCCTCTATGTATTCTTACTACAACATAGATAGGACAAGATTTTTTTACTGATTAAACGAGGATCCATGAATTTATTAATCGAGAAGAGTAGATAGCCACGTAAATGGCTTTGTATAGGCTTTTGGTTTTCTAAGTACTTTCCCTAGTAGCTATACTAAGCGCCTGATGTATGTATATTGCTCGGCTCTACGCACGGCCCAACTCCAGAGTTGGGCTTCATGGGCTAAATATAAAAACTAGTTCAGTATAATTGTACCTTTTCTACACGATACACATATCAAAGATGTTTTAAAGAAATATATTTTCGATTATCTGATTTAATCATAGGAGGATATATTGTTCTTAAGAAACTACTTTCTTATTGAACTTTAAAGATATAGCTTTGACCTTTATTATTATTCAAAAGTAGAAAACAACGATCTAGGCTAGAGAGATATATATCTGAAGTACCTAGACTTCGGCAAAATGGGGTTTGGGTCGGAGGTCTCAACCCAATAACCGATTGATACCCCATTTGGACCCAATATTACATAAAATTGTATATTTTATAGTTACCTAGTCAATATTTTTATAGAATTTACAGTGCGTATAATTCCGAAAATCACATGACTTGGGCCCATTTGGCTAGCGTGCATAATATTATTGGGGCTCCAATAGATTAATTACCCAATGGGTTATGGAATTGGACCCAAAACCTACTGTATTTTGGGTCCGGGTTGGGTTGGGTTTTGCCGGAAGTCTAGAAGTACCTTTTGTATATTTATTCCATAGCAAAGGTATATTTAGCATTGAACTAGTTTACATTCAACCTGAGGGAATTGGGTCATGCGTAGGGTCGGGTCTAGCACTCTGTGTAGTCCGGTGTAGCTAGTTTTAAGCTCTCCAGCCAATTGTAAACGTTTACTTTTCGGAAAAACATCAATCGCCCGGGTGGTCTAGTGGTATGATTCGCGCTTAGGGTTCACCCAAAGCAATATTGCGCGAGGTCCCCGGTTCAATCCCGGGCTCGGGCCCGTCTTCTTTTTTCCTTTTTTTTCCTGCTTATATCCATAATAGGACTGTAGAGACACAAGGAAATCTATTTTACATCTTAAGTTTTTTTTACTAATCAGAAGAAGACCTATAAATTAATTAACCGAGAAGAGTAGATAGCCATGTATACAGCTTTGTATAATAGGGTTCTAGTATCCTAAGTATACCACGGTGTATAGGCGCCAGGGGTTAAATGCCTATTTCATATACACCTTGGTCAATTTGATATTCCATGAAGATGACACTTTCAATCTCTATATGAATAGAGATATCCTTGTATTTTTTGTACGGTTTGCGGGTATCAGAGTTGAGCCTTTTGCCTCCATACAATTGGAGATATCCTTTAAGGAACTGCCCAGAATATGGAGGTACGTATCTCCAATTGTATAGAGAGCAAAAAACAAAATCTTGCCACGTGTGAGCCGTCCAGAAAAAAACAATAATGGTGCTGGGTTTGTAGGAGATCGAGGGCATTTTTGACAGTTACAAGGACTATGGGTACTTCGCTGTTTAGGGCCTCTGTCATAGGTATTTTTATTTGTGAGCCAGTTAAAGATTACTCATAGAGGCCGGAACAAGGTATGGAAAAGTCACTACCGGCCCTATGTATGGCCTAACTCCCTTAGGTTGAATACAAAAACTAGTTCAATGCAATATGTACCTTTTCTATGGGATATAAACATAAGATGTACTTGAGAAATATATTTATACCTCGTCTAGATCGTTATTTTTCTATCGAATAGATATAGAGTTTAAATAATAGAGCCTATAGATATATGTGTATATTTATATATCTCTCTCAAAGTGTCTTTTGTATACGTATCGCGCAGAAAAGGTACATTTAGACTGAACTAGTTTTCGCATCTCACCACTGCCGCCTATACACCATCTTACTACATAGACACCTGTAAAGGAAAGGAGACTCGGAGAGTTGGGACCAAGGGCCACGATGTATATTTAACTTCTTTGCTCCTTATATCCCTTTGTTGCTTACCAAGGGCTGAGCATGTGATTATTCTTATGTCTTGAACGGGACTTGGGAGCCTGATGGAATAGCCATTGTGAAGTGCACGGATCAGGAACGAAGAGGTATGAGAACACCTTCCCCTGAAAAGTGGAATAAACAAGCACTAGTCTCTGCATAAGGAATACCATGCCTTTCACCATTCCACTTGCCTCACAACTAGTATTATTTTACAGTGCTAGTACTCTTTCTAGTAACTGCACTAAGCGCCTGATAACCGTGCCAAGCGCTTAAGCCTGATGACAGCATTTTCTTTTCGAATTAACATCAATCGCCCGGGTGGTCTAGTGGTATGATTCGCGCTTAGGGTTCACCCAAAGCAATATTGCGCGAGGTCCCCGGTTCAATCCCGGGCTCGGGCCCATTCCTTTTTTGATCTTTCAATTTTCACCCATAGCTTTTATTCTTTTATATTTTTATACTTTCCGTAAGAGTCTCCTTATCCGACATGTGTACAGAGTATGTGTGGAACTGCTTATGCATTCTTGATGATAATCTCAGTTAATTCCTAGGATGAATACAAGGCTAACCAGATTCGGCATTAGTGGATCCAGCAGAATCGAGATTAGCGTCATTTATGCAGTTACATAGAACATCGCCACAATTTCATACATACAACATGTATTATTAGGTGGTGTATGGAGTAGTGTAGACTAGATTCAACTACTTCAACCAATAGAATCCAATAATGTAGTTTTCTCCCTAGTCAACCCCTCCTCCCCTATTACATTGAGGGATTTCTAGTATCTGTAGGGGTGGAAACAGAAGTCTATAAATATATGCTTCTTTACAGCTGTACAAGAACCGAACTTACAACTAGTTCCTGCCTTGTACATTATCGCTCTACAAGAATGATCATTTCTCCGTGTTCTCATGCACGCTATCAACTCATCGTCGTACTATTCAACATACATAGTGGGTGGTGTTGTGTCTCTATATACATAAAGATATTGTTGTTGTGTTAATTCGCCGTGATCGATTTGCAATAGGTTGATTTCAAAGCTATCCCTGATTCATCATGTCATGTCGAGAGATCTAATAACCTAGAGAAGCGCTACCAACTCGGATGTAAGAGATCCTTCCACCGTACAAGTAGACCAAAAGTGTATCGTAGGGGAATAATTCACTAATCTGGCCGACAGAATTTAATGCTGTACCAATTTCAAATACAATATACGAAGATTAGAGGGATTTCATCTTTTCATACAAAGAGAGGAATCTTGAATATGGCCGAGATTGTTGATAGATTGAAAGTACAACAAGTTTGCGGTAGTAGGCATCATATTAGCTCCATCTGATTATCTCCTGCCTATATGTTCAGTGTATACATTGAATTTTATATTGGTGATAGTTCCCAGTACATAGCGGTATTCCTTTGGGGCTTAATCAGAGAGAGAAATGGCCGACAACGTATCCCCGTACAGTGATACCCTTTCGAATCATCCTTTGAAAAGACGAGGTATATAATATACTACAACCTCCATGGGCTCTGCTTTCTCCTATATACAGCATATAATGGACACATCAACATCGGCTGTGACTAACATGCTTTATCTGAAAAAATTTCATCGACCGAGCATGCTGTATTTTTGTTACGTGACATCAACTGTGACTGGATATTATCCATGATTTACGAGGGTGGTGAATTTTCCTGTAGCTAGCTGACTTTTTCTACATTAATGCCAATATGGAATCGGCTACCTACCTATCTCGTTTCTACACATGTATCAAAAGATACAAGCATATAGAAATATATAAAAAAGAAATGGGCCCGAGCCCGGGATTGAACCGGGGACCTCGCGCAATATTGCTTTGGGTGAACCCTAAGCGCGAATCATACCACTAGACCACCCGGGCGATTGATATTTTTCGGATCGGTATTTGCTTACACAAAACTAAACAAATCTTGAGTCATATCTGCATGCAACTCATTGTTACAAAATTTCGTCCGATCGCCCATCGCCCACCCCTGTCACATTTCAGTCAATCCCCACTAGCCATCTGGAACCTGATAAAGCGAGGAGAAGCGAGAAGAATGATTGATCTTCCATAAACAAACACGAAACTACAGAAATATGTGTATCCTGCTTGAAGAATCAGGCAATAAGCATGCCATCGGAGGTTGTACAGCTGTTTTCAAATTTAGCCTAGTTTTACACGGTCCCTCGAGTACTTAATATAAGAAACATATAGCAGAACCCTAGAGACCCAACTCAATTCCTGGGCATACATCGGATCCACATACTCATACACTGGCTAGTAAACCCCTCGTCTCCATTTCTGTTTTTATATCGACTAAAACTCCGGTTGCGCAAGCTTCCAGTGAAATAAATAGTATTGAGCTCTATGATGTACTACTTCATACACCCCCGAGTATATTGTAGCTCTTTGAAAGAATTATACACGTAAAGCTTTCGGGATATCCACTTACCTCTAAACAGTACATTGGCCTCACTACATTGATCACATCCAAGACAATAAGAGCCTGCCCTAAGATGTTCCCCTGCTGTCTAACTAGTCTAGCTCTTCAAGGTAAATCTCATCCAAGTTACGAGTTACGGATTGTGTCATGTCAGACACATCGCCCCTAGGGCTACCAGAAAGCACAACTACTTCTGGAACTACAAAGTAGAAGCCAGAAAGTGAGGATGAAGAGAGCTGTTTTGGAAAGGAGACGAAGCTCCGAAGTGTCTATCTAATCCAAGGGCTCGGTGCCTGAGACATCAATGCACCAAACACAACGATTGCTATCCACACTGCAGCTATTTTACGCTTTTTGCACGGGTCAAACTCTTTAGCAGGGATCAAGGCAGTGCGGTCGTCCATGTCAAAGGTGCCAGGCTGTGAAATGCGGCGCGGTAGTCGTCAGGTTGTCAGGTTGTCTGGTGGGTTTTACGTACTAGTAGCTCCTAGCCTACTAGTAAATACTTCACTCCTACTAGTAGACTTTACCTGACAACCTGACAGCTTTTAGGGTTGTAATTTATTTTATAAACCCTATATTAGTCGCGACCAGTAGCTCCGACCTCCTATTAGTAGCAACCAGCCTACTAGGAGGTACTAGTACGTAAAACCCACGTGACAACCTGACAACCTGCCCAGGTGAAGACCCCCCTATTCTGTGAAATGTCCCGGGGAAGGGTTTTACTTAATGAACTCATAACAATAAACTGCCTTGGCCTTATAATAATGTCTGCAACGCCTTTTACTTCCATCTAGTGAATAAATGAGTTGGCCTTATAGAGATCTTTGACAAGATTCGAAGTCACAGAGGAAGATGTCTCCATGGTATCCGTTGTGTACATGACGCAAAAAGTCAACCGTGACTCAGGATCTATTGGGAGCGTTTCCTGCACCCATACGTGTAGATGTCGCTGGCTGGGTGGCCTAATCTCGGCTTTTAAAATGACTTCCTATAGAGGCTCAATACGAAGAAAAAGCTCCATGTATGAATGTAATGTTACAACAAACATTACTTGCCTTTTGGTCCGAGTCCCGAGATATTTGCGGCCTTGTAGGAGTTCTTGCCGAGACTTCTCTCCGACGGTGAAGCTTCGATCAGCGGCACAAGCACGGGGCTTTTTTTCTTGCCCACGGAGTGCCTGAGATCTCAACGGCAAATATCAAGATCCCATCGTCATCCAGGAATATTCGAGAGGTTTCAAGGTCTTCTCTAATATTAGCCTCCCAAACATTATATTCTAACTCCTTCTCCCTGGACCTGACATTCTGAATTACATCATTTCTAGGATGGTCACAATCAACCGGTAGCTTCTCGTTCAATTGGGCCCAGGGGTCCCGAACAGCTTCGAGCTGCGCTCCATCAACGTTAAACTCCGGATCATGGCGTTTTCCAGATCTGTGGAATGAATTCATAGATGAAATCGTGGTCGCGTTTTGAAAATGACGTGGGGTCACATGCATTAAGACTAGGATTGCGTTGCTAAGACTCCCGCCTTCCTTTTCTTGCAAGAGGGATATGTCTTCGTCTATCGCAAATCCTCTACGCGTCAGCCACAGGCGAGTCATTGGGTGGATAGTTTCGAGCGTTAAATGCTCTTTAATTCCTTTCCGTTCATCCGTGTGATCTCGGATGGCCTTTGTCAGGGCACATCCATTATGGCCAGCGTAGGGGCGAATACCGACAGTCATGGTAGTGGCGGATGCAAAGTGAAGCACCTCAGATATTCTGTGTGTTTTGCGCCATTCTTGGAGAAGAAATGCGTCAACTGGCTTGGTATCAGAATGTAGACCCGCTTGATAGCTTCGTTTTCGATATCAAGAAACATAGGAAATTCCCCACTTCTTAGCTTAAGACGAGCCCCCTCACGCTCTGTGGGTAGAACAAGATCTTTTACTGTACGCCCACACATAAGAATAACCTGTAATCCACTAGGTTGAATGATTGATTGGTTGAACCGAATAAATGACTCCGTCTCACTCTCCTGGGTTGGCCGGCAACACCGTGCCACTGTAGTGAAATCTCTCTGAATGGGGTTTGCAGCCCGAGTGAGCGAGTTCATTACGTTCCATCCACTATCCTGAAATTGGCACGGAATAGATATCTTTGTGTTCCTCGGGTAACCTGATTGCGCATCAAGGGTATCTTCCAGCATGAAGCCGACCAGCGCTTCCAAACTTCCTTTAGGCAGAGCCCAGGGACAACCCCTTGGTTTCAAATCATTGTTAATTTGGCTCAAAATCTCAGAATTGTTCAAAGCTGAGTGTGGCAGGGGCTCGCTGCCACAGAAGACTCGCTTAGCTGGAGATGCTGAATTGCGTCTCGAAAACAGACATGAAACTCCGGTGATTGCATTAGAGGACGCTGAAAGTTGATGTTGGACTTCTCAGCCCTTTTCCCGTATTCGTAACGGAATTGGGGTCATCCAACAATATCAGAATCTGGGGAATTATTCCAAGGAAAACGAGGAGCTTTTTCGTACTGAATGCCCAAGTTGGGGCCCTTGCAGAACAGTGGGAATGATATTTAATCTATGATTGGAGTAAAGTTTCCCATCCTCCCTTGGCCCAAAATAAGCCTCCAAAGTACTCCCCGGAAGTGATTGAAAAGCACGACACATCTTCATCTCTAGGATATTGAGAGCCACGGCTCGAGGGATGCATGGTAGCTGAGTATCCTTTGGTGCTTCCCAGAGCTTAAGCTAATTTGCTGCTCAATATCCTTGTCCCTAGGAAATAACGTGATAATTTAGTGTGCTTTTGGATCCGCGCAAAATCTTTAATACGATCTGGTGGAGCTTTGGACTAATCAGGGTAAGAACGCCAATATTCACTGTTTCTTGAGTCTGGGAAAATGTCCACGTAGCCTCCATTTGGAATTCAACAATTATCCTGACGTGCCTGGGCATCAAGAAGGCTTCGAAAGTTTCAAAAAACATACTGTCAGGACTAGGGGTCAAACGTACTTCTTTGTCCGAAGGAGTCTACCTTCGGGGTCGATTTATCCTAGTAACATTTGGGCTGTCTTCTGTGGACCTCCAGAACATGTGATCACGGACTGAAATGGCAGCCGTTGCAGGTAAGCATCGAGGTCAGTCGCAAGGGCCTAAGCCAACTGACAAATCGTATTGCAAAGGCTCGGGACAACAACATTCGGGACTAGTTCCCAGGAATTCTGATTCTGAGTTAGCAGATAAGTCTTTAATAGGGCGCTTCTGAGCTGACCGTAGTAGTTTCCTGGGTATCCTATGAAAGAAGTATGGGATGAGGGCTGACTGAATTTTGGGAAGTTATGGATGAAGATAGATTTGTAGAGCGGAAAGGAGCTATGTGGGTAAGTCCTCACTGAGTTTCTTCCAGCGAGAGGGGGGGGATGGGGTACTTCAATTGCTTACAATAGCTCAGTAATCAATCGAGAAGCTTCTTGAACTAAGAGGCCTTCTTCGACGGGTATTTGCCTTCGAGATCGAGGCCCTTTTTGCTTCTACTTCTTATTACCGGTGCGTCATTTACTGACTTCTTTCTCAAGAAGTGCAGCGGATTACATAGTGACTTAGTATACCTTCAAGAACCTAATTTATAGCAGCATTGAGAGGACTTAGAGGGCTCCTTGATCCTAAACGAAGTAATGCTTTGGTTGATAAAGCTTACTTCTGTAACTAATTATAGTTCGAAGGCGTTTTAGTGTCCCTATTACTCCCCTATCTGATGGGGGGCTGGTCTCCTTGATCATCTTATGCATTGATTCCTTCCTGAAAGCGAGGAACCAAAAGACAGAACATATGTGGATTTCAGAGCTTTGATGCCAGATGTAGAATGTTCTCACCGCAAGAGTTTCGGTATCAAAGGTGCGGTTCAATGCCATTCTCTCCTAGTAAGTATTCCACGACGTCAACGTGATTCCCCAAAACAGCCTGTCCGATCAATTGATACGTTAATTTGTCGAATGATGGCTGTTTTTCTTCAAGGTGGTGTTCGCGGAGCAATTCATTTCTCAGCTCTCCCTGATGCTGGGCGCTCGTCATCAAACGCTTGACTATGGGCATACAGCCTGCACTGGCAGCAAAGCACAAGAGCTCATTTCCCCAATGTTCCTCAACCAGCTTCTCTGACACATTGTTGACAAGATCGAATACAAGGTCCCAGTCCTGCCGTTCTTTGTGCCATGGATTGGTGATAAGTCGGGCTTCGCCCCACCTGATTATGACAAGCCGGAAAAACTCATAATTTTGTAGCTGCTGACCAGTCCACTTATCCAAGAACAGGATCCTGAGTCTCGACACGCTCCCCCACCGAAGAATCTGGTCGGCAGCCTTCATAGCTGACCCTTGAAGGAACTTATCGCTGTCGAGGTCTGACTTCTGAAGCATATCAAGTAGCGTGGATTCTGAGCCATAGATTGAAGTGATGCTCAGTGGATCGTACAGACTGCTGTCAAATTCAAATCTGGGGGACATCGTGCAGCCTGGACGGCAATTTTGTTGAGTCCAATTCCGAAGTCGAGTGGATTCCGCTTGACATATAGTTTCGATGTCTGCTAGGCTTGGAAGAGGTAGAATATTTATGCAACCGAAATGGTCTACCCAATGGCATGATGCGTAGACGAAGAATTCGCCAAAGCCACGGTCGACCGGGTCGAACCGAGCCATATCGTCTTCCCAGGATTCCCACGTGCAGTTTGGGTCATACTCGAGTGGCGCTACATCATCGCTGCACGATTCAGAAAATTGAGGTAGTTCTGCAAATGCTGCTTGCTCCTCCGAGAACAGATCATTATTGCCAATATCATCCAAGAGCAGATACTTGATGCAGATATCGAGCATAAATGCATCCAGACTTTTGGAAACGTTGTTCATCTGACCAGGCGCTTCAGAGGCTGAACCTTTTGGTTCACACTGTGTGAAAACCCACTCCTTCACAGACTGGTGTATGATTCGAATTTGAGGTCTCCTTGGTTCATCGTAGTCGGGGGAAGCAATGAATGGATAAATGAGACCCATGACTCTCTGATGGTCCACCAGCTGAGCAAGACCGTCCACAGTTCTGACGTTCTGGGACAGGCTCAGTGTCACGGCCCAGGCGAGTTCTACTATGCTCAAAGACCTGCGACTGACAGCGAGTACTTTCAGAGCTGTGATGGCAAGTAGCCGATTCTCACGATCATCTGAAGTAGCACGCGAAAGTATACTGCCGTAGACTTCCGAGAGCTTTTCAGGGAGGGGTATCTCTTCCAAAAAGCGTTCCATGAAAGGCTTTGCCCTGATTCGACGCAGTTTGATAAGCTCAATTATCATCGTCACCCATATGGCACTTCCTTGCGCTCGTTGAGACAAATTTTCTCTGACAAGTGCCTTGATATCCGGTCGTAGATAAGGCAGTCTTTCAAGCGTTTTATTGACGATGATACGATCTCGCTCAGGATCGGAATGAAGTACTATCCTAGCCATATCGTCTATCTGTTCCAGGATCTCTTCCCGTGGACGACAAGATAGAATAATCTTGAGCCCCGAAGCCTTTTGGCATATAGATTTCAGAAATCCGAGAAGTCTGTTCCACGAGTCGTCATCGCACTCATCCAAGCCGTCAATCACGAAAACAACGGGTCGATCAATTGTTTCCAGCATATCTTGCAAAAAGTTTTCCATCATGTCGATATTTTCGGAGGGATTAAAATCAGAAGCTTCAGCCTGTTTATATCGCTCGTAAAATGGCTTCTGCAGACCTTGAAGCTTGCTTAGCAGTGAATAAACCAAACCAGAGAGTACAGAGGTGGCCTTCCCTGTCTCATAATCCCGGCAATAGTACTGGCATAGTACGGGTCGCGGGAGACGATATTTGTTTCTTAAACTCAGCCTCTCTGCAAGATATGCCATTGCAAAGGATTTTCCATGGCCCATATCGCCGAGAACCACTAACTGCTGAGACTCCGAGGTATTATACCAGTTTTTAAAGGTAGGGTTTTCCAGCAAGAATTCGCAAGCCTGATCAGCCCGCTGTTTCCGCCAGTCACTAAGGAGTGAAGTTTGCCGGCTGAGCTTGTCAAACCCGAGCCATCGAGCAACTAGAGGCGGTTAAAACAATCTGCGAATACCGATATATAAATCCTTACATTCGTTGGCGTAAAGCAACTTTTGGATGTCTTCCAAAATATCCAAAGTCGCTTTTTGTATAACAATTTGGAGTTTATCAGCACTTGCCAAAAATTCCTGGACAATGGTAGGAAGGCGGTCGGTCTCCAAGACCATTTTCATTACCATCTTTGCACCTTTCCTGGTTAGTATATTAAGGGCAGCGTCGTAAAACTCCAGTATTTTTTGGTACACGGATACGAGAGCCTGAAGATGATTAGGACCGGTTATTCATGGGGTAAGAGGACCAGAAATGACAGAAATCGCGATACATATAGATTACCTTGTGAATATCTTTTCTATCCACTTTCCGTCCCAGTGTGTCACACTCATCAATGTAAGAGATCCGTTCTAGCATGTCCGCAATTTGTTTCGCGAAGTCCAAATCAGCGTTCGCAAATGTAATGGCAATCTGTGTAGATAATGGTCGGCAAGCGTAAGTGATGACACTCACTGGAATTGGCATGCATTATCTCTTAGCGAGCAAAACTTACCGCTGTCACACTCCTGACTGCACCAAAAACTGTCGATGCGGTTGGTTCAAGGTTTGCTAATGGACTCGCTAAATCCAATGCCAACTTGAAGTTGTCGAGGGGTGTCTTCAAGGAGCGTAAACGCTGCACCCCCTCAAAAAAGCAGATTCTTGAGTTGCCTCTTTCTCAATATTTTCGAGCTCGTGAAATAGCTGTTCGGCATTCTTCCCACTTAGAGCAGTGGTTATTTCCTCCCCTAGGCTCTCGACCGCTTCACGATACGCCGCACTCCAAATGTCCGAAGACGAATGAACGCTGCTTATGCTACCATGAAGAGAAATTCGGGTGCCGATCACGTCTCTATTCATAAGAGGTCGAGAGTCCAACACTTCATTGTTCTCGGTATCAATAGACTCTCCGGCGAGATCCCTCCTCTCTTCCGAAGGCGGTGAACTACCCGTTCTCGAATGAAAAGATGTTGCTGTACTTAGCACCGGATTAGCATTGCTTGAATTATCGGAGATAATACATACTTTGTTGCACGTATCTGTTTTGTTTGGGTGTAATTTGGGGAATCATGAGCCCTATTTCTCAACTGATTGTAGCGTCGGCGAAATTTTTGCCGGAGCCCTTCCTTTTCTGTTTTCAAAGACGTCATAGTGGTGATAAATTTTAAGCCTTTCTACGATCAAGAGCAGAAAGGGTTTCTTCGTGAATTAGACTATCCTTTATCCGCAGTGTGTTCCATGGAAAGGGAACTCAATTCTGAGCTGGTGCCAGTCACGACCCCGCTTTCGACTTGGTAGAAAGTACCCTTTGCCCCGCTAAGCGACAAGTTTTCATTGGACAAAAAAAATATCCCATTGCCGATTCACATGCAATTTTCAATCACACTGCATGTTCTCTCTGCTCTCAAAAAGCACTTGAAAGCCAAACGCTGTCTACATATTCTGTGAATGGTACTTTAAGAATTATCACTCTCAGTAAGCGGTAGAAATGGACCTTTTACTTTATGTAAAATAAACTAACGACTTCTTTTGGCTAGGAAATTACCGGACTTAAATCATCCATTTCTCGTTATTTTGACTTTCAAATACGCTGTTTCTCATAGAAGCAGATACATTGACAAATTCGCCCTTCGAGCTCACATATCCATGCGATTCACCTGCCATGTCAAGCTCGAGATTGGAAAACGCGCCTTCACAACCACCATCCCCGACTGCTGGCGGTTTATTTGCTTTGCCGATCGAGATTCGCCATGATATCTTTAAGCGGGTGCTCGCTGTGTCTGACCCCTTGTATCTCTTTCAGGATCCCGGAGGCCCAGTGAAGTCTTTCATGCCCTCTACCTATAAACCGTATGCATGGCTTGCATTATTGTATACCAGCCGACAGGTATCCTATGAGGCCAGGGCTGTCTTATACGGCGTGAACCGATTCATCCTCGAGGAAGTGGAACTAGCAAATTACCGAGGCAAACTTCTGAATTCCTTTATAACGTGCATTGGATCTGTTAATGCAGGCCTTTTGTCACACTTACGCATCACCTTTCCGGCCACAGAAAGGATAGATGGTCAGTCAGGAGAAATCCGGCTCACAGAGGACAGTCTGCAGGATTTGCGGCTTCTTCAAAATGAGTGCACTAAGTTGACTACACTGGAGGTCCTCGTATACAGCCAAAGTTCCAGCTACCTAATTACAGAGGATCAGGACAATACCGAATTTGCTCGCGATGTATTGTTGAAAATCAACGCAGAATTCAGATACATCCCTTCTCTGGCCAGAATCATTCTTAGGGTCTCCAGCGGATCTCCAGCCTCTTCGATGAGGGCGTTTCTGGATGGCCTTGGATGGGTTGTCTTGATCGGCGATAGATAGATCGCCTTGGCGCAACTGAAGAGGAAAATGAATGATAGACTCCGCTCTACGTGCCAAGCAGAGAGCGCCTGTGGCATTCTCCACATGATTCCTTTCCCTACTAGAATTTTTTCAGCTTTGCGAAAACAAGGATTCTGTTGCTTGATTCTTGGATATGGCGTAGAGAGGAAACCGATTTTATTCACACTCAGCTTGTAGAATATGTCAAGTCATCCATTGACGATTGAAAAATAAGGTCATCCGCAAGGACATGTTGGGCAGCTTTATTGCGCACGGCATGACTCAAGAAGAAGAAGCAAATTCAGAAACTCTAGTTCAGATGTACGTTGCTTTTACGGGCTTCTATCAATGAGACAAGCTCTGATTTGCAAAATAGTGTGGCAGGATCCGACACCACAACGACAACAACTCGGGCGACGTTCCTCCACATCATGAGTTCCCCACACATTTATTTGATGTTCCGCAAAGAGATTGATAATGCCGGCTCGTTGTCCTCGCCCGCCACTGATGCCGAGGCTAAGAAATTACCTTACCTCCAAGCAGTCATCGAGAAAGGGTTCCGCTACTGGCTCCCGAATGGTTTGCTGGCGTCGAAGATTGTGCCCAGAGGAGACGCTACAATCAATGGCTCCTTTCTTCCGGAGAACTCTAGCATTGAGGTCTCGTCGGATGCCATAGGCATCCAGGCATATAGATCAAACATGTTTGATATGCCATCATGTTTGGCAGTATAAATAGGATCTCAGTATCCTATTCATACTTGCTTTCTCTTCTTTCTCTCTCTCTCAGTCTTGCTTCTAGGTAGAGAATATCATCATCATCTTCTCTGTCATCAGGTCTCCAGCATGGGAATTCAGAGATCGAAAGAGATCTTTGGGGCCGACGCAGGTGAGTCTCGTCCTGAGAGGTGGCTATATCTTGGGGAAAGCGAAGCCGAAAAGGCTAGGGAGAAGAGAATGCGCAGCACTGTCGACCTAGTGTTCGCTTCAGGGAAGTATACCTGTCCTGGTAGACCGGTGGCTATGATGGAGCTCAATAAAGTCTTTGTGGAGGTAAGTAGTTCCAGATTCAAAGTGATGTGTTGTTGTTCAATTGCCAATCTTCGACAGGTCTTGCGCAATAACGATATCAACTTGGTGAATCCTTCTCGGCCATGGCAGTCTTTCTATGCAGGGGTCTAGATGTAGAAAGAATTGCACGTGCGCATTAGCAGACGGGGGTAGTGATATGGTCCCTGGAACAGTTCGAATTATATGGGCGAGGGTGGGGTGGATGTGCCAAGTCGTATCGTGTCGAACTTTTCCAATTTAGCAAGAGACCGAAGAAGCTGTTTCTAGCTGATAACAATATCTTTCATCGCCCCCCAACCGTATCGCTCCTTATTCCAGATCCCGAAAGGTGTCATTGAAGGGCCAAAACATATAATCTGACATGTGCTAAAAAGAGTAGAAGTAGTTTCTGATGAATATGGGGTTTCCCGTTGCTAAAATGGATTTTGGATGCAAATCCGGGAAATCAGGCTCCAGATCTAACCACATTAAGACAAAATAGAGCGTGGTGCGATATGTGCAGGGCATCCTCTGTACGGAGTTAGAGTCTTCAATATACGGAGGGACCCCTATCGGTAAGGCGTGGGTCTGCGTAGGGCAGCACAGACCAGCATTGCCACGGGGGTCTCCGGATTGTTACAATTACGCTGCAGGATATCCGTGGACCGAGAGAACCACTGGAATGATTCGATGAACTGTCCTGGAGCCCTGGAGATCTCTTTGAGAGCGTGTCAGATCATCAGGGACCGTTCTTATGTGTTATGTGTTACAATACAGGTACTTAGGAAATCTCAGTTGACCAGAAGAGAACATCTAGGGACCGTTGTTATGTGTTATGTGTTACAATACAGGTACTTAGGAAATCTCAGTTGACCAGACGAGAACATCTAGGGAGTGGTTAAATACCACTCTGTATCTCTTAATTCGGCAAAATCGAATGGAGCAATGCGTAATATATGTGTTTACCGAGTGACAATACGCGATCTCTCAAAACCGGGCCATTGACCATAAAATTCCACTGGACCTGATGAGAGGTATAACGTTGCAGTTCACCGGTGATTAGTCATTTGTCCATTGAACTGGAAATGATCATGTTGATCAGAGAAGCTGAACATGATTTCACAATACCATTATCATACAGCCAGATTTCTGTCACTGCCATTTTAAAAATCATGTGGACGCCATGATTGACAATCGGCGCAACCTTACCGGAGTACAGTACCTGCGATTCTATCAGTGGCCAGATCATAGCTGTCAAATTTCGGGCCTGCTTGGGGTCGATCTGATGCACAGAGCTTTTGGGCTGCGCGACTGAGGCAACCAGGTGGCTTCTTTGGGTAACGGGTGAGTCGCTTGAGACTGCGCCTCATTGGTCCAAAACGGGATAGCAAATTCGGGGCCAGGAGAATCCCCACTTCACACCATCCACCATCAAGTAGATGGCCAGCGCTGCTTTGTGTACAAAGGTTAGTAGTGGGGAAACACAGAGCAAAACGACCACCTCGTGCTCTATATATACATATTGAAACATATTCCCACCGTTTACCTCCCAAACGCAACGAACGCGATGGCGTCTTCGAGTCCCTCCCGAAAGCCTCAATCGCAAATGCAAGTACCCTCGACCCAGCTGAAGCGAGCAACCTGCAACTTATGCCGTGAGCGCAAGGTGCGCTGCGACCGGGAAAAGCCGCAGTGTCAGCGCTGTCGCAAATCGGGCCAAACATGCGTCTATCCCTCGGACAAGACAGACAACAACGAGATCAAGTCGGCTTTGAATTTGCTTCACTCCCGTTTGCGTAAGTATGCTACAGACACTGTTTCACTAGCCAATCTCTCAATGCCAGTGTGGGCAGAGGTGGGAGGGAAGGTTTCTTTAGCCTTGTGCTTACAATGACAGTACAAGCGGAAATGACGCTCCAAGAACAAGGCCTTCAATTCACAACTCCTTCTATGAAGCTGAACCATTCCGTATCCTCAAGCTATATGTCACAGGAGTCTCAGTTTGTGAATGACCTACTATCACAGGGTGATCAGATAGACTACTCAAATATGGTATTTTCAAATTTTGGCCCCAGGTAAACTCTGCCATGATTTATTCCAACGAGCTTTAACTTATGCTGATTGCCTTTTTAGCGACTACCATCAGCTACCCGCCATGAGCAATATTGTGAACAGCTCTGTCACAGATGGGACTCCTTCGGATCTAGACTTGAATATGACCGACCTAAAAGACAATCCCCCAGGCCCCACATTCAACCCATTTTTCGAGCATCCCACTCCCTTTAGCGGAATGGAGCTGCAGTACGTGCCCCACTACAACAAAATTATGAAACTTTCATCTAAGGCTGTGTCTTGCAGATACCAGCCGTACTTCGATATAGTGCAGAAACACATCATGCTAATAGACCAGCGGGAGTTTTTGCGATCCGTCGTCCCAATGAAAACCCACCAATGCATGTCCCTGAAATATGCCACAGCTCTCTCTGGCTCCACTGCGTGTGGAGAAACAGCCCTAGCTATGGAGTCTTACATAGCAGCCCGGTTCCATCTGGAACGAGCCGAGAATCTAGCCGATAACTCTACTTTCTTAAACCTTGAGACTGTTCAAGCTTTGCTTCTTGTCGCAAGGTTTGAATTTATTCATATTAGCGGACCGAAAGGGCTTCTTACCATAGCGCGGGCCACTCAGTTACTTAGCTTGCTGGGATATGACGTGCTCGATCGAACCTCATCAGAAGGTGAACAGAATAGTTCTCACGTGATGCCGCCAAAATCCCATAGCCCGGGATGTATTCAGATGATACGAAGGACGTTTTGGATTGCATTTGCGATGCATTGCAATGCTGCTGCAAGCTTTGCATGCTGTATACCAGTCCGAGACAGCGGGGTAAGTTTCTATTGATTATAACCTGCCTTTTTCCTCTATGACGAACTATTCCAAATTAGATCGGTACCGCAATGCCAGTTCCTAACCCAATGACAGACTCTGATCTAAAGCAGCACGTCTATCTCTCAGATGGAATTACAAATACCATCACGAAGGGACTTTCCGTATTTTCCCTCTTTATCTTTGCGATGAAACTTGTCGTTGACGGAGACCGCCACCGCCAGGCGACCAACAAATACGTACAGGACAAGGCATCTGATTATAATTTTTGCCTTGTCCACGAGAAAATTGGCACAGAAATCAAGCTCATGTCGAAGTTCCTCTCGGAACAAGAGTTTCTTGACGGGCCAGATGACGAACTTCGCGTGCTCACTTGCATCGTCGTCATAGGGACTCGAATAGACTGGCTCAAGACAGCTATTATCGGATCTCTAAAAGCCGCATTTCTTGGTCCTATTGCCAAAGAATATCGCACTTCATGTGTTGCTGTCACGAATGCTATGTGTGATTTGCTTCTTCAGGCAAACTTTACCGATGCGAAACAAGTATGTTTTCCTAATCTCTACCCGTACCATTTACCTTGTTCCCGTTCTTGGAAACGACAGTAGATCATGCCAATTTAACAAGACTCTTTACTGACATGCGCTCTACCCCATTCCAGATCCCCGCCTACAAAGAAATGTCACTCTTCATAATGCGGCCGTTAGCCTTAGCCGCCGAATTCCAGCTTGAAGTCTTGCAAAACCCACAAGACATGAGCTACAATGCATTCTCGTCCACGCGCGAGATACGACAGAACCTCGAACTATTGTGCAATGTGATGGTGGTTTGTAAACCTGCAACTGGAGAGTATGATCGAAGGATTCAAGCTTGCACAGCGTTTCTGGAGAAAACAAGATTTGAGAGAGTTCTTAATTCGAGTCTACTAGGGAATGGTGTCGGTAGATGACTAGTTTGGACTTAGAGTAGTGGGGTTAGGAGACTTAACAGGGAGATGATCGGTGGTCATGTACGGCAGTCTGGGCGTGTGTGCATTTCATGGTGCTCGAGGAGCATGGAAGCGGTCAATACGGATAACTCGTGGTATACCATACATTGTAATTTCCTGCAAATTTGCTTGTCTTACGTCGTCATCAGCCCTAAGCTGTTTCCTTGTGGGACAAGTACAGTTTGTCAGAATATCATGCGGAAGAGAGAACAATCTCCAAAGTACTATTACAAAACAAGCCTTCCGGGTACAGAATTACTCCAGCGGCTTCAGCGCTGGCCAGAAAGTGAGTAGATGCTACGACATGTGCTCGAGAATTTAGAACAAAAGAGGCCCAAAGAACAGATACCCTAGAGCACTACTTGCTAGGATTCCTGAGGCCTAGTCCAAATACAACCCAACGTTAGGGCTTAGGTAGACGAAGTTTGAACACCAAAAACCGAAAGAAAAAGTCATGTTAGTCCGAATAAGCATTACAAGAGAGTAGATGGGAGAGAAGACGATGAATCACTTCTACTAGCCTAACCTTCGCTACCTCAACTACACCTACCCTCCTCACGTGCAATGTCTCTTAGCTGCGTAGACATGGGGTAAATACGCCTGAGCCAATTTTTCCACTACAAATGTCAGCTACTCCAATATTTGACAAAACAGGGGTTAGCTTCTGGCGCGTCTGTGCCTGGGAGCCGCTGTCAGACCCTCGCATCGTTCTGCACATAAACTGGAAAACCCAAACACTCCCCATACTTATTGGTGGCCTCCCCAGCAAAAAGAACAGCGCAGACCTGAAGATACAAGGCTGGAAAACTCTCCCACAGCCTTCTCTAGATGCAATCGTCCGAGTCAGTCCACGCGCCCAGATTTTGCAAGGGAATTATCATACACCCACATTCTTGATTCATGGAACTGGTGATGATTTGATCTCTTGGCAACAGTCTCAAGGTACATATGACGCGCTTCGTGACGCAGGGATCACTGCTGGTTTGGCGTTGATCGAGGGGGCTCCGCATATCTGTGATCTCAGCAGTAATCCTGAGTCAGATGGCTGGAAGGCGGCGATCCAGGGGTATGAATTTATTAGTAAATATGTGTGAGAGGGAGTGATAGAGGTATGTGAGTGTGTATTTGAACTAAAATAGATGTAATGACCACATTCTATGTTTCTAAGAGTCAGAAAACCTCATTTTCACTCAAAATTACGTCTGCTGTGCACCCTAAGTCAGCAGATATTTCTCTGATTAGTATTTTTGCAGAAGAGAAAGGTCTGCAGTTTAATCATATTGCTTATTTCCATAGTCGTTCCTATACTTTCCTCCAACTTTCTAGTGATTCAGCTTCAATTCACCTTCCCTCCTTGTGCAATCTATAACAGTCTGGAGTTATGGCAGTGAAGGATTCCATACTGGGCAAGTTAACTGTTATCCGCGATTTTTTTTTCATCATCTATCAAATGTGATACTAGATCTAACCAAATTCCAAAAGAATTAAATATTTCCCAATCTCAAGATTGTGAATTCCAAATCGCCATAGCCTTCGACATAAAGACCCATTTTTTCCGATAAGTTAGAGCCTTTAGTAGACTTGCGCGAATGTACTCCTAGCTCTTAATTTGTCACCATATTTCCAAAGGATCAAGATACCGAAGAAGCAGGCCCAAGTCAAGCCAGCAAGGACAGTACAGCCCTTGCCAATACCTAGATTGTTAAACAAAGGCTGCGCAAAGTGAATAGCACCACAAGCCACTGCGCTGCGCAGGAATGCTAGAATGATTGTTAGACGAGGTCTGTTTAATCAGCCAAAATAAGAAGACCAACTCACAGTTTGCGGCGAAGAGACTGGCGGCATAACGAGGATAGGAGATTGGAAGATAGATGAAAATACACATCGTAATCTAGGAAGACTTTCAGCACATAGACGTTCTTGCAATTTGTCGGTTAACTTACCACAAAAACACATGACATGTAAAGCACAATTCCAGTTGTGGGAACAACCCAGTTAATCCAATCACGAGACGTCCAAGCGAAGATAAGGATCCCACAGGGCGCTATCAAAGCGGCAAAAACAGCAGGAAGAAGTCGATGTTCAGAGGAGCCGATTCCATTCTGGTAAGTGTATGGCTCATAGTGGAATTTGACGAGCGCCAAGTATGTGCCGGCGCCAAAGAAGCAGGCTATAATAACGCACAGGAAGATGGTTCCCATAATACCCATTGAGAATCCGTGGATCTGGGTGTAAACAATTGGAAATGCTTCGAAGTACGAGTACTAAGCGCGATTCGTTAGTTCGCTCCCTGTGACCTATCTCTATACTCTCCCTGTGAAGAAACTTACAAAGATACCGTATATCAGACCCGTGTAGATATTGATAAAGGCAACAGACGGATCCCTTAGGGTAACCATGAAAGGCGTGGTCAAATACCCGGCGAGAAGCGACAGGAAATGAATATTCCCTTGTTTAATTTCCGAGTCCGATCGAAGATTTTCATTTCCGGTAAGTTTCCTCAAACGTTTAGCCCGGTTCAAGAGAATGAAATCGGCATTAGTTTCTGGCAGGAAAAAGAAGAGAAGAATCCATGTGAAGCCACAGAGAATGAGAAGCTCATACATGGGCCACCTCCAAGAGCTTAGGGGTACTGAGAATCCTGATAAAAGCGGACCTAAAGCTGGTCCTGCCAGGGTTGCACATCCCCAGAAGGTGAGACCATAAGGGATTTTCGGAAAAGAAAGGATATCGGCAGCTGAGGCTCCGCCTGTTGCCAGAACTGGGCCTCCCAAAAATCCCTGAATGAATCTCAAGACAATCAATCCTACAAAATTTGACACCTGGGAGGTCACGGCGGTAATTACTATGAAGAGCGTGAACGAAACGAAGTATGGGATATTCCGTCCAATTGCCGGTATCTCTGACAAAGGGCTGAAGAATAATGGCCCAATACCCTAGAAACGTCCTCGTGAGTTTTGAAATTTTTGTTGAAGAGACTGATAGAGACTTACATATCCCAAAACATACATCGAGAGTGCCAAAGACGATTCTTGGACACTCACACCGAACACCTGTACGAAGGTCGGCTGAGCTGGCGTAATAATTGCGGATCCACAGTATACTATAAATGGTTAGTATAAAGATACACTCACAAAATCCCTCGTTCACTGACCAGCGAAGGTAAGAAGGCAGATCTGCGAAAAAGTAACTGTCTTCTTCGCCAGTGACCACGCCTGTGGATTTTCAGGATCAGTCTCGCTATACCACCCAACGGTCTGATAACCAGACTTTGACTGGCCTGGAGTTGACACAGGCTCGGCTTTTTCCAGATCGACATCCGTGTCTGTAGAGCTGCTGTTCGCTTGAGGTGCAGATTCTTCAGTTAGTGTTTCTTCCGGCGGCTGGTACTGGAATTCAGCCTTCTCATCGGGGTATTGGAAGACCCGAGGACCAAGAACTAATCGACAGAGCTGGCCAAATGGCGCATCACGAACGCTGAACGCTGACATGGTCTTGAATAACCTCGAGATGCTTTAAAAAATTACCCTTAATCCAGGATTGGTGATGGATTGAGAAATAGGTTGAAGGTCAATTTCCTGGCTTGTGTTCAGCCTTAAATAGAGCGCACAAGTCCTCTATCACTACATCTTTACATCGCTTTCTCGGTCTTGCCGCCGAAAGAGGACTCATTTCTTTGTCTAGTTTAGGGGTAGGGTAAGTACGCAAAACTAGAAGCGGGTAGATCATCCCGAGCTCCGCTTGATCTCGGTACGCTATTCTAAAAGTGGAATAGCCTTCGGGGAATCTCTTCCACAAGAGGGGCGATCTTATTGGCTGTGCGAACCTTCGATCTGACATGGTCGGGCTTCTCGGCCGACCCCCGAGCCCTACCAGGAACTACCCCTGACGCTTTCAAGGGATTTCCGGCCAACGATGCCCTGGTTTTCTGTCTCTCCTGCATGGTGTCTAGAACAGACTTCAAACACTAAGGATTGCGGTTCAGCATATCGAAAGGACTGACTCACTCGGTCTGTTACCGCGTTGGACCCATGGAATGTGAAGGAGGAGCTGGCCCTCTTTATACTATGAATGTGACTCGTAAAATGGTTGGCTATATCATGACACGTACAGAGAAGATTACCCTATCATCCACTGCCTCGCTCTGTTGTCGAAGCCTTATAATCCTACCACTACTTTTCTGCATGCCAGAGAGCCATGTATCTTGTAGACTATAGGATAGAGATATACTTCACTATGTTTGTATTATCCAATCTATTCCGCATTTGTGACCAAACATAATCGTCCGTTTCTCGGTATGGGTGGTCCTCATACGCTGTTGATAACAGAGTCGTGGTCTAAATATATCACCAACGTATATATCCAAGTAGTCACTCAGGTAAATGGCGTATATAACTCAATGTTATCTTTCGTGATCGACCTGGGTCCATCCACTCGTTACAAGATATATCTGCCACACTCGTTGGTTGCTGCATGTACTCATGCAAGCCTGGGATCCTGACACGGTGCTTTAGTTAAGGCTAAATATAATATAGAAAGTTAAAAGGGAACTAATTTATAGTCATTAGTTAGTAACTCTAAGGGATAGGAATTAGGTTACCTAGGAAAACCAGTCACATCCTAGGGAATAATATAAAGCCCTTGAGCTAGTAAATTCCTCTAAGAAGGAAATCCGGAATAAGAAGGAGCCCGCTATAGGATATAAATTAATATAAGAAATACTACCTAGTCAAAATTATTCTTTTTTGCCCTTTATTAATCCTGATTACAGTACATACGACCATAGGGTGTGGAAAACAGGGCTTCCCGTCCGCTCAGCCGTACTTAAGCCACACGCCGGTGAGTTAGTAGTTGGGTGGGTGACCACCAGCGAATCCTCACTGTTGTATGTTTTTGTTTTTTTTTCTTAAAAACATTTCCTCATCGGTAATGCATCATTGAGACGCAGTGTACGGAGTACTGATGTACTCACTAGATGCAGATATTCCTAGGGGTCGAACAGGCAGGGATATGAGCAGGAGCAACACCTATGTTTCAAATTATTCGTGAACCTCGCGGGTGGCACGCAGCCCGCTGTCACGGAAGACCGACGGCAATAACTCGGGTATACACATGACTCAACGGGGTGCTATTGAATCACCTCTTCTAGCGAACTCGAGTATATAAAAATTGAGCACCTTGAGTTAGCGTTAATAAGTTGAGATACTCCCTTGACATGTATTATCATTCTTTATTTCTCGTCTATACTAATAATAACTATAAATCAATACTCGTATTGCCCTATATGCTTGCGGGCTACCGTGTTACTATACAAATAATGATAAATTTCGGGGTACGCATCTACAGCTTGCTACAAAGATATACACTCCACATTTTTGCTTGAAAGTAACCCTAGCCACTATGCCCCTACGTAAACCCTTGGCCTGCTTTGAGGTTGTCATGAACCAAGTCTGGAAATCCGTTCAAGACAAAATCCTGGAGTATAAAATTTGCAAGGCCTTCGTGATAAACATTCGCTACATTTTGAAGAGTGAAGCCATGGCCGGGGATATTCTTTACATGGATCAGCCAATAAGGACTGGCCAGTGTGCGCAACTCCCCAAAAGATCTTGAGCGTAGTATCAATCTAGATAAAATTACATCTCAAGATTCTCTCGCACGCTTAAAGACGATCCAAGCATCAGTTGAAAAGCGGCAACTGGTAGATGTCAAAGGTGATCTTCCTGAGAATAGTTCCGGGAAAAGCGAGGGCATGAGCTTATGTTGTACGTCTAGAGGCAGGTCAGTCGCTCTACAATGATCAAACTTTGTAACTTTAGTTGTAACGGTACATTCTCACGAGGAATTTAGAGCTGCAGGAATATTCATCGAAGTTGACTATTCAGTCGAGCTTTGATAGTTGTATAATAGGTTCGAGCTGAATGAGTTTATTAGATACTTGTAGTCCCCCCCCCCACTCTCTGACAGCTCTAGAGACTCCTCTCGCACGCTGTAATGTACAGTTTTCATAATCTGTAACCCTTGATTGCCCTCGGATGATTCGATAATTGGGTCTTCTTCTCGCTCCCAGCCCTTGGATCTTTGGTTTGTTCTCACGCTACGGGAGAGCCTGTGAGACGATATATTCATTGGTGTAGCAGTTCCCGACTGAGAACCAGACTTTGATGGCCCCCGATATGTATATGTTATCCCCGTATCATCATCGTATACTGCAATGAAGGACTTGAGGAAGGCCGTCAAGAGGCAGCAGGCACTTAACCCTATATATATCTCTGTTGAGACCGCAGCAAAGGACCCAAGGAGGGTTGGGTCTTTCGAGGAGAGTTGGACTAGGATGAAGTGTAGACGAACTGCTGCCATGGGTATGAGCCTAGCCAATGATTTTGTTAACAGGAGAAGTCCCAAACCAATCATCTATTGAATGGACCTACAAGATGCGACTCTCAAGGGCAAAAAATACAATGATCTTTTTCTTTGTCGAAATCTTGACTTTACGGATTGCAAATGCCACATACACAAGAAGCAAAATCTCGGTGGAAATGTCGAGTGCTGTGATGACTTCCCAGCGGGGACGCTGTCGCCCCGTCAGTGCTTATACTCTTATTTGTGATAGGGGCATGCCATACCAATCCACTACATTCAGTGGCGCTGATTTCGGACCAAGGGTGAGAAGAACACCGAGCTCCTAATAGAAGCACGGATACGACCGTCCACACGACCGTCACCAGCAGGGGAACGTAGGAAAATTTACGTTGTATCCTGGAGAATAGACCCTTATAGAACATGCAGACTGTCATCTTTGAAAGCCCCAGCACAATAATGGAGAAAATATCGGCAGCATATACTATCTTCTTAATGTTAAATTTCTTCGAAGATTTGAATTCCTCCACGACTTACCTTCAACATTTGCTCTTTGCCTGTAGTCTCAATGCCATCGATCGGAGTTCCCCACCCATAATGGACCTCACAAAACACAGTTATAATCTGCACAATTGCTACAAGCTATTAATTGGTTAGCCCAGAAGCTCAAGCACGATCAGCTTATAATGGGATGGATAGTACTATACCACGAAAGCCCCAAACGTGTAATCATCTCGCTGCAGGCCTTTCCTTTGATAGGCCGAGAAGGTGCGTGCTGCGAGAGAAAATAAAACCAAACACAAGTTGACTGCGGTGATGACCACAACCAGTCCACTATGGTTATGGTCATTATCCGTCGTAAGAGGAGGGCTCACATAATCCAATGTTGAAATGGCCGACATGACAAGTTAGGGGCCGTGTAAACACCGGGGGCAAATTTTGGATAATTTTTACATTTGGAACATTAGATGGAGGGCTCAAGGCATTTTCAATTATGTCAAATGGGAAGTCCTTGAGGCCAAATGATCACCCTCGGACGATGACCCCTGGAGAAATGCAACGATTTATTCCGTCGACGATAATAGGGCTAGTCATGTGCTATCAAAGTGTCGAATATGACCGGGGTGTGGAAAAAAGGCAGAGTGGGTGTGGTAGAGAACCAACCGGGTTGCACCGTTTACAATCCTTGTCAAGCCATACCAAGGCTAGGAAGCGCAAAGCAGTCCTCCAGAAATACCATTGGAATTTTATTCCTATTATGTTGTAGACTGATTCATTTTTTTTTTTAACACCAGGCTGCAAGATGGTTTTAAAGATTCGACCTTAAAGTACAATGATACGTTCATAGAAGACGATGCCCAGATATGCCCAGATATGCCCAGATGATTGGAAAGGCTTATCTATCTCCCGTCCCAATTCGCATCAGTCCAATCAGAGGCCATACCAGCATGTGGCCACTTCTTCAATGGCTTAATATTAATGTCTTGGCAGCTTCGAGTCTAAAGACATTGTTACATCGTGGCTATATTCCCCACTTAATAACGGCCTGAGGAACCTGGTGCATGCCCTGGTCTAGTGCCGCAAAAAAATGATTTCTTCGAAACGAAAGCCGCTCTAGGCACTGATAAAACACGCGACCAGCTCACTAGCGATTAACCGAGATGAAAGCTTGGAATGGCACGGGGGAATGCACTGTAGAGGTTCCCTCATTGCATCGATTTTCCCGTAGAATTTAATATTTACCTCCCCTGCCCCCCCCTTCCCTTTATTCTTGTGGACTCATATCCACCCCAGTGACCATTTTGCCTGGATCGGTATCGCATTATGGAATACTCAATGAAATCGACCGCGTTGGAGACGCTGGATATGGGTATAGATCACAGGAAACCAGGGGCCTCCCAAGAAGGTGGGACGGCACTGGACGCCGATGAAATGCATCGCATGGGAAAAATTCAAGAGTTCAAGGTTTGTTCACTCCCTCTTGCAGGGTTCACATCTACATCCATAGCTAATGCCCTGCGACGTGGATTAGAGAAACATGCGACCTCTTGCGGCATTAAGCTTTGCGTCGGTCTTGCAAGCTACTTGGGAATATCTGATCATGTGAGAGAGCCCATTGAAGATTTCCTTTCTCCAAGGACTTACAGGTTAAATTACTTCCAGGTCAAACTACCAAGGATTAGAAAATGGAGGCCTAGCAGGCATGTTCTGGTCATACATTTGGACATTTATCGGATTCGGATTCATTATTGCCTCGTTGTCGGAGATGGCTTCGATAGCACCCACTGATGGAGGTCAATACCATTGGGTATCGGAGTTTTCTTCGCCTCGGCACCAGAAGTTTCTTAGCTACATCACTGGCTGGATGTCCGTACTGGCGTGGCAAGCTGGAACAGCTTCTGGATCCTTCCTCACCGGCACCATCATCCAGGGATTGATCAGCGTTCGTAATCCGGATTACGATCCTAAAGGCTGGCAAGGCACCCTACTTGTGTTTGCAATGGTTCTGGTGTCATACACTTTTAATGTTTATGCATCAGACCTGATGCCAATCCTGAGTAACCTCTTGATGATCCTTCACGTCCTTTGCTGGGCAGTGATCTTGATTATCCTATGGGCTCTGGCTCCTCATCGATCTGCTGAAGCAGTTTTTGTCTCCGATTGGCAAAATCTAGGGGGGTTACCTACAATGGGACTGAGTGTGATGGTCGGACAAATTTCAGCTATCTACGGATGTCTTAGTAAGTTTCACTTCTCTAATTCATATGATGAGATTTCCGTGGAAAGAAGAAAGTAACCAGCCCTTAGGCTCCGATGCGTGTGCGCATATGTCCGAAGAGATCAAAGACGCCGGCCGGAATGTTCCACAGGCTATGGCCTGGGGATATTTCATCAATGGAATCATGGCTGCCATCTTACTGATTGCCTACCTCTTCGCCACCCCATCCGTCGAGGATTCTCTAAACGACATTACCGGATTCCCATTCCTCTACGTGTTCAAGCAGGCTACCAACACGGCAGGAGTCAACGGGTTAACAGCCATCATCTTGATACCTGTCATTTTCAGCAACATCATGTTCAATGCCTCCACCTCTCGGCAAACATGGGCTTTTGCTCGTGACAACGGTCTTCCCTGTTCCCGATGGATTTCCAAAATTGATTCTAGGCGCAAGATTCCTGTCAATGCTATCGCCCTCACTTGTATCTTCAGTTGTCTGCTTTCTCTGATCAATATCGGCTCTGATACTGCATTCAACGCTATCATCTCTCTTAACACCGCTGCCTTGATGTACACCTACGTGACCTCAATCAGCTGTGTGATCTGGCGAAAGATCTGGCATCCCGACAGCCTACCTGTTCGTCGATGGGATATGGGGCGGAACTGGGGTTTGGCTGTGAACATTATTGGTCTGTGTTACTGCATTTTCGCGATGTTCTGGTCATTCTGGCCAGGTGAGCTGCCGGTCACTGCCGAAAATTTCAACTGGAGTGTCGTGATCTTCGGGGCGGTTTTCATTCTCAGTCTTATCATGTATGTCATCAAGGGACGGAAAGAGTATTCTGGCCCAGCTGTGGACGTCAAACGTGAGGACTAGATTAATGTATAGCTGACCAATATAATGATCTGCGTCATTTTTTTCTGCCCATACCTCCCGGGATTTTTGATGACCGCGCGATCACCCCATTCGGTGTCTGTGGGGCATACTTTAAATAGGTGATGACAGAGGAGGTGATGATGATGATATTCTCTATCTAGAAGCAAGACTGAGAGAGAGAAAAAGAGAAAGCAAGTATGAAAGGGAAACTGAGACCCTATTTATACTGCTAAACATGATGCCATATAATACATGTTTGATCTACATCATGCATGGATGCCTATGGTATCCAACAATAGGCAAGCCGCAACCAACCCTTTTTTTTCTAATTGGGAGACTGTCATTCCCGGACATCCTCGTCTAGTATAACTGTGATAGGCTCAAGCCCTTATCAACCAGATAGGATCAAAATGGTGGCACAAACACTGCACTTCTTCTCAACAATCAATTCTTGTGTCAAGTTGACAGATGGCAGTGTTCGCAGCATTCGGAAGAAAAAAAGAAACACAAAACATACAACAGTGAGGATTCGCTGGTGGTCACCCACCCAACTACTAACTCACCGGCGTGTGGCTTAAGTACGGCTGAGCGGACGGGAAGCCCTGTTTTCCACACCCTATGGTCGTATGTACTTATTCTAGCAGAAAGCATTATTATATAGCACAAATTGAAAGACTAATAAAAGTTTTCACCTGATACTTCGAGTAAATCACCCTTCATTTAGATATCTGCAAACGAAATCGATACTCATCGATGATACTTTAACAAGTCAAACAGTTCTGGTGATTTATTTCCAATCCTGCAAGACCAACACGTAGTTTTTTTGTTGACCTATATATATAAGTGTAGACGGTCCGCCTGTGCGGCTCTATAATATCTTTCTTACAGGGGTTTTTGCTGGTTTGTTCAGCAGTCTTTTCAATCGCTTTCTCGTTGGACTTCCCGGTTTTTCTTATATATCCATTAAGATAGTTTTCCCCTTTTCATTCAGTGTTATTGGGTTAGGCAGCAGAAAAAGGCGGAAAAAGCATACTCTGTGCAAGCGACTTTTCTATACATAACTTCTGATGTTGGTCCATTCAAACCGGAGTTCAGGAAATCAAGATTATGGATAGTACGTAATATGTAAACCAAGACCAAAGAAAGCAAGGCAAATCCAGGAGACCGAGAACAGTAAGAAAGGAAGCCGATAAATACATAATTCTCACAACTGGATCGTCCGGACCAGCTGAGCAGGCGTACGCTCCAACAGCACCTGACAAACAGTGTAGAAACGTAGCTGCTGACTGAACAACATTGTTTCGATACCCGGGAGTTACTTAGACTCCGAAGATATATATTTCATCCTTGACTACTAGTGGAACAGGCCGCCGCTGCTTGTCGAAGATATAGCAGCGCGTTCGGGGCACTGGCTTGCCGATGCTCACCCGTTTATCAGCTTCATCAAAGCGTTTGTAGGTCACAAAAAGGGTACATTCAGCCGGGCCCTAGCAGTTATGAATCATTCTACCCAGACGCAATTGATCGATAAGATTCTAGTGAAGTGCCTCCCAATAAAAAAACCAGTTGCAGGTTCCGATAATTTTCGGGCTCCAGAGTCGCCAGAAGAGAAGGTGCTGCGATTGTCGCACCAACAACGCTCAAGTGCGCCAGCAGGTCATTACCATTCTCCAAGACAAGTGTTCCTCCAAAACCGATAGCCGAGAAGGTTTGAAGCACGCAGCAGTCAAATCCGGAATTTAACGGTTCCTTTCATAAACGAAGAATCCTTACTTAGCTAGGCCCTAACCAATTATAGTGAAGGGGATACAATATTTAGATGAGTTTGGATGTCTCTATATACTTCCTATAATAATTAAAACACTTGGATGTGCGACTCTAAGTCCGAACCCTTCATTTATTTGAGAAATACTTCTTGGCGTTAGTATGCCTTCTCACCATCCTTGTAAAGCTGCGAGCGCAAACCACCGAGCTGCGCACGTTCGAACAATTAGTTAAAGCGAGAAACGACAACATGATATTTCAACAATCAACGCTTCTATCGAATTTTATCTCTCACCGATAGCGAATGATAATTATTTTCATCATATTACAATAAATTCTGAATAAATACCAAACTCGCATTGTTATGGTATCGAAAAATACATCACTGAACTCCGGAAAACATCCGTATTCCAATCACCAAGTAAATCGGTGAATAACCTTACGCGAAACAGTCTGTCGTGTGTGAGTGCGATCACTGCGTAGCCGTTATTCGATGCGATTGGCACGGGTTGGTCTTTCACCGCTGTTTGTTCATTCTGTCTTCTTAGTGGTATTCCGTTGATCATTCTACGGATCAAGCGGGATGAATGGAGCCGGCAGATGAAGGCCAAGCTAGGGAGTGAGTAGCAGAATTCTCCAGGCTTGTGTGGAAGAGAAAGTGTTTGAGAAGCCTGGCATCGATCATTACTTGGATGACCTGTATTGTATCTCTCTGGCAAGTTTCATGTTGTAGTTCTTCGACGTCAACCATGTATAACTAGGAAACCTGCTATTTACAGATTACGGGTAGTATCAATCTAGCAATTAGCTTAAATGATATCTCTTGCCATTGTGGGCTCTTGCTTTCAGTTTACATCCAGATGACCTTCTTTGCATCAAATTCTTTGGCCTCGTTGCTCCATGGAAGTACATAACCCCGTTGGTTACTCACAACCCTAATCCCCTTCTCCTTAAACTCCGTTGAATAATGCGTATGCCCAAATACCCAAGTGTCCACGCCATTCCACGGTTGTGTCAACAATTCTGTGGCGAATGCAACACTCCAAGGATTGTGCGCATGCTGTGGGCTCGACGTACGGTGCATAGTGGGTGCATGGTGTGTAGCGACCAGTATGGACCGTTTTGATGATTTCGTAGGATTCTTCTTGTGGGTATAATAAATTGACTGGGCTTCTTCACGTAACCAATTCAAGTCGGACTTGTGTGCCGCATTATGCTCGTCTATCGTCCAATCCTCGATCTTCTGGAAGTCCTGGATTTTGTAATGGACAATATCTCTAGAATTTTCCGGTATATCAGACCAAAGGGTACACCCCAATATGGTGACATTGGTGTCTGGGATATCATATCGTCTCTGGTGGAGCAAAACGAATCGTTCATTTAGAGACGGGTCCTGTTCAAGCCGCCTAGCTGTTTCAAGTCCAGACTCCAAGGACCCCCCATAGAACTCATGATTGCCGAGGATAAGAAAAACCAACTCAAAGTTTTTCGTTTGCCTTTGAAGGAAAGCAAGATATTGATCATAGTCTGCTAAACGCCCAATATCCCCGGCCAGCAGTAGGTACTTAGAGACGACTGGCACGTCAAACAATGTGTATTGCTGATTTATCTCCAAATGAAGATCGGAGAGAATCTGAAGGGATACAGATGGCTTGCTGAATAAGTGTTGGATGAAATGGGCCATCATGGCCTTGAAGGTGCTCCAGAAATTGCGAGAGTACCATCGCCTTTTCAGTGGGTCTGGGGAACCATGATCATGTGACTTAGAGTGGGTCAGCTGATCCCTTAGGCGCTGGGCCCGGCCCTGCTTTCTCTAGCATATATTTACAGTCACCAATGCCACGATGAATCCACCATTTGACGAGCAACCATGGCAGTCAACCAAGTGCTTGTCTCGGTAATATCTATCCTCCAGGATGCAAAAATACCAGTATGTGTGATTGGAGAGCTAGCTCTCAACTACTATAATGTGCCACGAGTGGTGCATGTGAGATACCCCTTAGCCCCAGCAATTACTTCTCTTCTCATCATCACCAGGACCTCGAATTTTGTGTTCCAGAGGCTTCTTTGTCAACCGCGGTATCTACTCTTTGCTCCACCGGCCAGTATAGACCTCGTCCGGAGATGGAGTACGATATCTTCACGCAATACAAAAAGGGGTTCCCTGCCTTGCGCGTACAGTCCCATCCCAGTCTTGCTATTGTACTGTTTTCAGATACCTTTTTCCACCTTTCGCCGGTGGAGCAGATGATTGTACCCCGTTCCGAACGATCCGGTATTTCAGTTTACAGCCGTCAAATCCTGGATCAAGTCCCTGGAAAAGCACTGGAAATCATCACCTTTCCCCGTCTATCGCCTTATTTCATTGGTCTGTGTCGAAGATTTTTTGAATCTGGCGACGACATGGCCAGAATTGCTGCAGAGCAACTGGTAGGCGGTATGAAATTGGATGAAGCATGGATCCAGCTTAACCTGAGCGAGGCCTCACCGAAAGTGCAGTATCTAGCAAGCATGCTAGTAGACGAACGATTTTCTTCTGCGGACGAGTTCTGGGATCTACAAACATCACCTTTCGCGGCAAGCGACCGGGAAGAGGAACTCCAATGTATTCCTGGATCGGGATTCCAATAGGGTCAATGCGAGTGGGCCTGCGCTGTCCCATCCTCTTCAAGCAAACTCTATCGTGTGATTATATTAGGAATTTCTATTGCTAGTCTTGTTTATCAACTATTGCGCACGGTACGACCCCCGCATTATACAAGGATCTCTGGGCCGTAGCCGCCAAGATTGTGATAGCAATGCAGCAGTATCCATGTGGCTGAGACAACCCCACGAATCAAGTGATAAAGAAATAGACGAGCAACCTTTATAATCTGTTAGAAGCCTCTCTAGGCAGATGGAATTTTCAAGATTCCAATTTGCTGAATTGGAACGTCTACCCATACCATGCTTCAAGACCGACTGAACGACGCCGCCATTAGTCTCCACCGAGCTCTCAGCCAGAATAATGTGCAATTTGGTATCTTTGGCGGCTATGCGATTGGAGTACTTGGTGGTGCCCGCGAAAGCAAGGATATAGACTGCCTTGCATCCATATCCAAACCGCAGGTTGTTGCTCTGCTCAATGGGAAAGATGGATTCACAGTGATTCCACAAACCCGCCAGGATTATGTTGCATTTCTCTGGTCCGACAAACCTGATCACAGTAATCCGGTGCTTGTAGAAATATTTTGTGAACAATTTTCCGGTATTATCTTTTCTCGCTATCAATCGACGCATGCTGATAATTATGCTTTAGGCTCTCGACACACCATGAGAGATATACAAGCCACTGTCCGAACTGTGAATGGGCAGAAGCTTGGGAGTGGTCTTTCATGTTTTCTTGATCCATTCTATCTGTTCAAAGGGAAGCTTCGTGCTGCTGCAACTCGAGCTAAGTTCCATGACTCAGCAGATCTTCGCTGGTTGGAAGGTCGACACGGTGCTGCAATCCAGGCACGAAAAACTGAATTGAGTCTTCAATACATCGGGCTGGCAATAAAGCGATATCCCGAGCTCGAGATGTTATTCACGAGACTCAACGTTGATCTTGCAGGTGCTCAAAATTCTGCACGAAATCTAGAGCTATCCAAACTCCCAGCGCCGGCACCTGGAGATGTCCAGCATGGACTACTAGGGTAGGTATAGTTGAATCCATAACCGCGTTAATACATCATGTGTCTATATACGCTTTGACTGCTACCCGCAAGTACATATGCACCTTGTGAAGCCCTATAATGCGTGCGTGTTTCTAAGGTTGAAGTCGAGTGCTGTGTTTGATTTTTCTTCAATCCTAGATTGACTTTATTACTCAAGCTTCAACAACGCAGCGGTACAGGCACCAGCTGCCAAACCCTCATTTCTGGTAAATTTTGATGTCTTTATGCCTAGTTATGGCCTAGTGGCTGGGTTAAAACTGGCGTAGAGAATTCAAATACATGAATCACTATCCAAACACTTTTCTTAATGATAAAAGTGTCCTGGTTTGCTGGCGCCGACAACTTTCATAATGAAGCCTTTAGCTCCCACAAAAAGGAGGATATATTTAGCCAGCTAATGGAATAAATTGTTCCAAAGGGTAGTTCATCACTCCATACTCCGTACATGTCCTGTTATTTAGCCCCAACTTAGCTCGCCGCTTTCCGCCAAGTTTAACGTTAAACCACTTCCGTGGACCTATTATTCACTGGGAAGGGGGTGTTTATGGGATATCAAAATAAAAATTCAAAAAACATACAACAGTGAGGATTCGCTGGTGGTCACCCACCCAACTACTAACTCACCGGCGTGTGGCTTAAGTACGGCTGAGCGGACGGGAAGCCCTGTTTTCCACACCCTATGGTCGTATGTGGTGGGATGGAAGTGGAAAAGGATTATATAGAGTTTAGCTACTCAAGTAACGAATGATGTATGGATAAGGTATGGACCCTTCCGTAATGCCGTCCTGCGCCCAAGTTGGCACTTCCAATATTCTTCCCTTCTTCAAGCATAGTGGGAGTATATGCAGACCAAGTCTCTGAACTGATTCAGCAACTGGAGCGCGATTTGCTTCGTAATTGGGTCTTATATCTTGGTAGTTGAAGGTGTTGTGAGAACTAGAGACAAGGAAAAGAAAGGGCGGTGGGGTATGTGTAGGGAAGCTCTGTAGCCCTTGGATGAAATCGAGAGAGAAAATGGAATAACTTGATTGTAGTTGAAGACGACGAGTACTAGCTTTGCAGTTCCTTCATTCATTACCTACGTTGAGGAAAAGTAATAGAAGGCTAGGACGATAGCTTGTCACGGGGTCACGCTTGAGACTGCTAGAGAAAATGTATGAATTGTTTTGTATGATTGGGTAAGATATTGTCATTTGTCTGAGATCTCTAGTGGTATAGTGACTAAAGGTTAATTGTATACGACTGTTTTACGCATATATGAGCCGACGCTGAAGCAGCTCTGGTAGGGTATCCCAGTTAAGCATTCATTGCATTACACGATACAATCCTTGTCATTTTGGTATCCAGCACATACGACCATAGGGTGTGGAAAACAGGGCTTCCCGTCCGCTCAGCCGTACTTAAGCCACACGCCGGTGAGTTAGTAGTTGGGTGGGTGACCACCAGCGAATCCTCACTGTTGTATGTTTTTGTGTTTCTTTCCTTTTTTTTTTATTCATTGGGTTTAGTTAGTGAGTGCCATTACCGTTTTACTACATAGACAACGTGACCACTTAGTTAAAATACCGTTCGTTTTTCTCTCTACTCATAGCCCTACTATATTACCTTACTCCAGTCCATAGCTAATAATTAGACTAGATTTGTTATTACTATCATAACTACATAGTCCGGGTTTAGCAGTCTCATATCAAAGGACATAGTAAAGCTCTTATAGGCACCAGATAAGTAGGTGGCAATAGACTGTAACATCGCCCATGGACAGCGGCTACTTCAGAAGCAGGTATCTGAAGGAAATCCCGGGCAGCTGCAGCCATCCGAGACATACTATCACGATGGGAGTGCCACCATTCAGTAAGCCACATACGATCTCCGATTGTCTCAACTGGAATTTGTGAGGTTAAAAAGTATTCTTCAATATCAGAACCAGCAGGCTTTTGGATAATTGGTGCTAATCGCTGTAGTATTCTCACCTCAGGGTCCTCTTAATTTGATCTTGTTATATCCTTAGAAGTAACTTTATTGACTGGCTCACTGATATGATGATAATTTTGATGAATATTCTCCTGAATTTCATTAATAATTATCTGTCCCGTCTCAGTATCCACTCATGAAATAGAAGATCACCCTCCACCCTTGGATCAAGGATTAATGCAGTATGATAAGCATCAGTACTATACATAAAGCTATGATACTTTTCATACTTCATAAGTAGAGTTGCAAGAATAGAGCCATCAAGAGTCGTTGGCTCCAGTAGCGGGACACCACATAGCTTGGGATCGAAGTTCATTTTTTGTTATGCTTATCGTTCAGTTGCCATTAATGCTCTTATGTTCTCCACGTTTTTATATCACAATTTGGTAAGTACCTGGAAATTGTCATTTTAGAATTTGGCAAATCGGGCAACTCTGGTTGATACCCCGGACTTGATGATTGTAGGACAAGCATTGGCCTGGGGGCGTCCAGACTAGGAATACCCTCTATCAAGCAATGAAACTGAATATGAATCTCCAATTGATGACGGTGTTAGCCGTCCAACTTCCGAGAGTCTCATATCAGGAATTCTGTTCTTCGCCATCTCGATTCGCTGTTTGCAGCCACCGTTTTTATTCTGCATTGACCTACCAATCGTTGAGTATCATACTCGTATTTTTCCTTCCTCTTCTTCATACATTCTTTGTTTTTTTTCTAGCCTATTATCTAAATTCTTATATAAATACTATACATAGGTGACTTTGACCAGTTTGGTAATATGAGTATTGGCTCTATTCGGCCGAAGTCTTTGTTTCAGGTGAACTACGCCTCCGAACACCTCCCAGGAAGACCCGCTCCGTATTCTTGTGCCCTATCACAATCTCAAACCTGCGCTTCATGGCCTGGTTTACCATAATCTTCTGTCAAGGCGTGTTGAGAATGCTTCATCAAGATGTTCGGCCGATTTCCCTTATAGTCTGTATTTCAGTGGCTCATATGTTCAATGTAAAGAGGCTACCAATACCAGCAAGAGTCTATATTATGACTATGATTGAGCTTTCCCATGTTCATGTCATGCACTGAGCAGCGGTTAATCAATCGTCACGTTAAACCCCCTCTCACATTTTTGCCTTGCTCTAGTCTAATGCTGACGTGAAGGTCATTTTGCCATCGCTACCATCCGCTCACTCCCCTGAACTACTAAGCCCTGCGAGCGAACGATCGGCCAGTTGCGTTCTATCTCTACTCTGATAGATCCCGGATCTCACCAAGATCCCTTTCCACACATTTGATTGGCATAAGGGCCTTCGTTTTCAAGCTAAATAACATCACCCTACATAATCGAGGACCTTGTGTCAGACTTTGTAGAATTGGTCCTTCCAAAAAACCCCCAAGGTGATCTAAGATGTCCGTGTCTCTCTTGAAAAATGCAGTTTGATTTTCGAACGAGATGGTTTTGTTATACAGGTGGCTAGCTCCTACACTCGTTTGGCCGAGTCAGACCCCCTCCGTGTCTTGCTCCCCTTCTGATGGTGGACTTGAATTCTCGTTACTGATGGCAAAGTCAACCCAACGCCAGAGCCCAAGGGTGCAAATTAGATAGTTTCCCAGTCCAAAGAGAAGAAATCCTAGGAAAAAGCCAAGGATCTGCCAACAGCAGTCAGTAAATATTTACTTCAGACTACCATTCCTTCAAAAGCAGTAGGATTATGACACGGCAGTAATTGGCACATCACTTACTATCCCAAATTCATGATAAGCGAAAAGTCCCATACCCAAAAGGAAAAGGTAGAGACTCTGGCCTTGCAGCATAACAGGTATCTGCCAGTGGTAACCCAGGATAACTGGTAATTCGATCGGCTTTGGCTCAGTGCCATTAGGTTTATGATATACGGATAGAAGCTTGCGAATCAACCGAGGACCATGTTCGTAACTATGCAGCCTCTGTAGCGCAACAATCTGTTGTGATGCTGTTGCAATACTGAAAATGGATAGTATAAGGCTACCCAACATGATTGCGCGAGTCGCTTTTAGAAGAGAATCATTTGGCCCGGTAAAGGTAGGCCACGTTAGTGAGCTTGTGACAATTGTGCTAATGAGTGAGCTCTATGCTCAGATCAAATTGATTAGAAAAATGTTTAACTTAGGGTGGTTGTATCATATTTCAAGGTTATAGTCAGAATAAGAGGGTACCAGGTATTTTTATATATTCGAACGTTTGTAGACATACCGCTATGAGGACGACTTGTAGATGCGAGAGCATATTTTTGTACCATTTCACGGTGAGTTCATCTTGATGTATTTCATTGGTTTCGTTCAACAAGGCACTGATAGGCTGGACGGTAGCCTTCCATGCACTGTGGTGGAAAGGGAAGACATTATGAAGAAGATTTTTACAGTTGAACATGACTGCGATGATCCCACGATGATTTCCAGGGAGAGCTATTCGTTTGTTTCTTTTTTCTTTCTTTTTGTTTTTCTCAGATATGTAATGTTTGGACGGATACAACCACGTTGTGTACTGCTCTTTATATATTTGGTTTCTTCGTAAACTTGGAGACTGGAGTGTCAGTGAAGCACTAGTACTAGCTAGGTATCACTACTTCAACAGCCTCATCGGGGCAACGCCAGAGAACTTCCAAGCATGTGGCCACATGTGCCACTTCGAGCCAGGGCAGTATATTTGATTTTATTGAGACTACCCAGGTAGCAGTATTACGTACAACTTGCTAGAAGGACCAATAACACTTGAGAGTCACAGATTACGAGTCTGCGGAGAGTGGTAAGGGGGTGGGCCATTGATTAACACGGTCTTGCAAAATAGCTGAATCGCATACTGATGCCTTGCATGGATCTTAGGGGGCTATGATCTAGTTCTGAGCGGGTCTAAGGTTAACCGACCAATGAATTGATGTCCGACTTATCTGGTCTTGCATGACGTCCCGAGGTCTGCATCGCCCTCTCGTTTGTAAGCTCACAATCTACATATCACATTTATCTCTGCCTCACGCA